TATATTTAAGCTTTACTATATGTTTCATTAAATCCTTTTACTTTACCTTCCTCATCATTTTGTCGGTACACTCAGCTGCGAGTTTTTTGGCGAGTTTGGTGACCTCCTCTGAGGACTCAGCGATGGCTTTAGCTGTAGCTATCAGGTCCTTCTTTGTTCCTCCCTCTCCTCTACAAACAAAATCAAGGTCACCTCATTAACACGATATCAAGGTCACCTCACAACCTATCAACATTATCATATCATTTGTAAGAAATCTCAACTTTTTGATTGACTGCAGTAATCACCCCTCCCCATGAAATAGATGCTCAGTTGCAAAAATAATTTACAGAAAAGAAACACATAAGTGTTTTGCTTCCTTAAATATATTCATTGAAAATCATGAGATTTTAAGCTCACCTGACCAGCTCAGATTTGCCATGAGTAGAGATACCTCAAGCAGACTTAGTTTTGCCATGAGTCAATTAACCTGAGCAGACATTTTTGCCATGAGTAGAGAAAGTCTGCCTGATCAGCTGACTTCGTTTTATCGTTAATTGAGTTTGATTGCCAGAACTGCAGATTTCATCCTGTGTAGAGTTAGCTCACCTAACCAGCTGACTAAGTTTTGTCATGAGTTGATTTAGCTCACCTGACCAGCTGACTAAGTTTTTTCATGAGTTGATTTAGCTCACCTGACCAGCTGACTAAGTTTTGTCCTGAGTAGAGTTCGCTCACCTGACCAGCTGACTTAAGTTTTGCCCTGAGTTGAGTTAACTCACCTGACCAGCTGACTAAGTTTTGCCATGAGGAGGGCCATTTTCTTGGCGGCAGCAATGATGTCATTGTCTTTACTGGACCACTGTTTAGCCTCCATGTGAAGAGCGTGAGCTGCCATCTGCATAAATCATATTTCAAACTTTGTTTTATTGATTCAAGAATGAAATAGTGTGTGTGTGTGTGTTTGTTCATTGCAACTGACAAATGATTATTTAACAAATACAGATAGGCATGATTTCAGAAAATAAGGTATTCAATACTGATGAAAAGCTTCCCAAGAATGTAAAACAAGGTCAATGCCAATTTATTGAGATACTCACCATAATGGGTTGATTGGCCTGTGGGGTGGGGAAGGCTGCCTCATCCTCATCATCTGTCTCTGGGGGTGGGGGTCTAGGGGGTGTGGCATTGTCATTGGGTAGAGGGGGGCGAGGAGGGGCGCCATCTATAATGTGTACAAACATGACTTATAAACAGTTCTTAATTTCCACAATCAATATATTAAACATTAACATTACTGGTTATGTAAAATCTCCCATTTATATAATTTCAGAAATACCTATTAGATAAATCTGTATTGACTCAGTGACATAAAAAAAAATTTGCATTGTAATAGCTTCATATCAACATTTTTATAAGATAGTTTATTTAATCAACTTCAATTGATTCCATTTCTGAAAATCAAATCATACTGTTTAAAACATACTGTGTTAAATTATTTGTGGTCATGCAAATGAAATTAAGTAAAAATTATTTTCCTGCTTTTTAAGAAAAACAGAGAGAGAATATTTTCTGCTGTCTAAGAGATCATTCAGATCTGGAGAGGTGAAGAGGTTGTTAGGTCAGGGTGCATCATAAAGGTCAGAGGTCAAACAGGATCACTTCCTGGAAACCTGTCAACAAATGTGAGGTCAGATTATCATGCTCTGACCCAGAGCTGTGAATGCCAAACAAGACAATATATTTTCCCCTTCATAATTACTGTAAATGTATTATATTTGGCGTGTACAATACTTGGCGGAAATTCAATTTTCAACAAGTTAGTGTGGATTTGATTTAGCGCTGTCTGAATTTGCTAGTTATAAAAGTTATTATACTAGACATTTAGCGATGTACTTGAATTAGCGGACTCTGCTTTCCCCCAAAATCACTAAATAGAATACACCGCTAAATGTAATACGTTTACAGTATTGATAATTGTTGTATTTTCATTCCCACTTTCAGAATAGGCATCCCCAACTCTGGATCCTCAATCTATAAACTACATGTAATTACAACACTGGCCATAGCAAATTGTCATAAGTGAAATAAAAATACATGTACTTAAGATGTCTTTGAAAATGTGTATGTAAATATTAAGTGAAGAGAATTCTGTTTGATTAAGAAGAATGATTAATTCTGTGGACCTTAAAAACTAAAGAGATAATGCAGTCATACATGTATTACTCAGTTCAAAAGTCGAGAAATCTACATTGTTATTTCTATTTCCAATACAAGCATAACAACCCCCTTGTGAGCCTATAACTCATAAATAATGAGTATGTTTTTCTTTTTTAAAAAATTGAAAATGTCATCAGACAGCTCTGCATGAAGAAAATTATTCTAAAATTTGACAATACTTTACAGAACAGTTTTATTGAAACAATGTTTATATTCCCTTTGCCAAAATATATTACTATTAATTCTCTCTTTTAACAAAACAACAGATGGATACACAACTTCAACAAAAATTGGGTAATAAGGAAACTTGGAGTATTCTTTAGAACTGAAAAGAAAAATCTTTTAGGAATGGGTTGAAATAAATATTCTAACTGGTTCATTGGATAAACTAAACAAAAAGTAAAATCATCACACACAACTGAAAAGGAAGAAATAAATGATGCACACGAAGGCCAGGTTAATAATATACACTCTTGTACAGCACCTCTGCCATAGTACCCAAACTCCTGAGGGGGTGGGGGTACGGGGGGTGGGGGCACCATGGGGGCACAGGACTGTCCCTGGTAAAGGGGGTCCTGATGCAAGGTCGCTGAAAATGAAACCGTCCATTCATTACATACAGGATAAATATATACAACTGGTACATTGTGGATATACGATATGCTACATATAAAACACTAATCGTTATAAATCATTAATTTACTGATATCTAGCTTGAATAAGTACATCTTACAATAATGAAGCATGGATACAAATTGTACATCTTTGGGATATTTTTTCCGTGCTGTTTCAAATGCTTAATTTACTGCTGATGCAATAAGCTTATAATGATCTGCGAACAGCCAACATGTCTTATAGTCTCTGATTAAAGCTACATATATAATGCAGGGTTGTTTATAAATATCAGTCTATTCATAGGAACATTATAGGTAAGTGCTTTCTGTATATATAAATAAAGTTTAATGTGCAAATAAAAATAACTTAAAACACAATAAGATTTGAAAAAAATAAACAAAAAAAAAATAATAACAAAAAAAAAAATCTTTATCTCTAATATCTAAAACACTCAAATAATGGTGACAAAATTTAAATTAACAAAACGAAGAAAATGAGATAAAATATAGAAAGTGAAACATAGGAAAATTAAGTTTTCCTAAATAAAAAACAAGCAGTGGATTTCCGCTGTGAAAGAAATAATAAAACGGGGGCAACAGAAGACAGGGGAGGTAAGCCTGCGTTATGATGGGAGATACCTTCAGGTCGGAACATCACTGGTCCGTCGGCAAACTGGTCCGGAACTAACGAGGAAATAAAGAATGAGATGATGAGATGACAGAGGATGTGAGGATAACCACAGGGAGACGATGGTATTACACATCCCTCAGTTAACTGTTATGAAATGATGTACTAGTATACAAACAATATAAACACTATAGATATATAGTCTTATACAATGTGAGTTCCTATCCTGCAAAATTCTATCTGTGCTCTATACATACAAAATACATTTACTATGTTTAAAATTACAAGTGATGAGTGATTGTATATAAAATACAATTCATGTAACTATCAGATACAAAAGATATTTAATAAATACAAGTGCTGTGAAGTGGAATTCATTACGATGGTGCAAAAATCAAACACATTTATCATTTTGTTTGGTACACTGTGGTTAAGATTTCCTATTAAACACATTCCCTATGAAATTTTGGTAAAAAAAATTATTTTGCTTGAGCTCATTCAGATTAAAATACAAAAGATAAATAAACTCTACAGAGTTGTATTTCAATCAGATTGATATAAGCTTTTCTCAGTTTTTGAAAACATTGTCAAAATAATCAAATTAACAACACTTCCAGTTAATTTCTTGAAAGTAAACATGCCTAGAATCTGTTCTTCTATAAGAGACTGACAAACCACAGTGGACCAGCGGTTTAGTTGTGGGAGACATGTGTTAGAATCCTGGGTGTGACACAGTGCAGAGTCTGGATTACAGAATTTAACACAACACATAGGGTACACAGTCTGATTACAGGTGACACACAGGGGGTAAATAATCTTACATGCAGGAGCAGTTTCTTCCTGAGGAATTTCATCCTCTGTAAAATACAACAAACAACATCACTAAACAGAAACAAATACCACACTCTGAACCACCTAACCATATGCAATGGAGCAGGCTGCATCATTTTCCTGCTTTGTAATGATAGAATATTGTCACCTAATGTAATTAATTTTGATAGAGGATTGAATTTATCAGTAACAACCAAACTGAAAGCCAATCAAATTTAATAATACATGAATCTGGACAACCAAATAAGATATTTTCACTTATACATGAAATTTAAATTCAGTATTACAGTAATGTTTTGCCTTTGATCTTTTTTGTACAGAATATAAATCTGTTTTTGAAAATGATCCATTTCCTCAATAGTTAACCTTAATATTAAAAGCTCTCCCTTTCCTTTCAAAGAATACTGTAATTTTGAGTTTTAACATCTTCATTCATGTGAAATAATCAATGCGTCTCTGCCCCTGCTTTGCACACAGATAAAAAATGTTTAACACATTCAAAATCAACCAATGGATCAGGGAAGGGAGATAACAACTCTCAAATTGACAAGGGAGGCAACACCTCTCAAACTGAGCAGAGCGGCATGCTGGGAAGCAATCTACCTCTAGCGGACACGTTTCTATAGTAGGGGTCACTGTGGGGGGAGAAGGCTGGAGCCCTAGGGGGTCTCGGACTGATTGGGGCGGCCTGAGATCGGACTCGACTGGGGGCCACAGGCTCCCACTTTGGGGGGCCATACAAGTCTACAGGAGAAAAGCCAAGGCCATTACAACACAGCTTAATGTGGTATCTATAAAGCGGTGTATCCAATTATAACAGAAACTGTGATACAATGCAAATATTCTACAATAAATAGTTGAACACAACTAGTCAACAACATGAACATTAATACAAGGAGTTAACGTGATACAGTAAATTTTATATGAATCTCTAGAGGAGGCATTCACATCTATAATTATCTAAGGTGTTACATGGACAAACAAAATATTCAGACCTACTTTATATTACAAAGTAAATAAGTAATGCAGTAAAAATATTTTTTGGTAGAAAATATAAATTGTTGTTCAGGGCAGTTAATCTATTTTGTTTATTACAGGTTTGATCATCAACTTCTAAAAATCCAATCTATCTAAATTCTGCAGTATTCTGCATATAAACAATGATTAATACATTTATTGTATTATAAATAAAGGTTACCAAATTCCTATACATATTCTATGAACGAGCTAAATATAAATGAAAATTAATTATGCAAGATCGTAATTTAGATTTCAAGATAACATTTTATATCTAAATTTCTAAATGCTTTTATACATGAAGCATGTACATTAAATGAGAACTCTACATGAAATACATAACATGACCCTATTGAAAATCTATATACTGGTACCTGACTCTATAAAGGTTTTACCTGTTGACACGTACCTGAGATTTTGAGCTCGGACAGGTCGGGGGGTGGTGGAGGGGGAAACTGATCCACACCGGCGTCAACCGTTACAGCACCCCTAACGTCACGGACAGCGTCAATCAGCTAAAAATAGAACATTCAAAAAACATTTACAGTAAGTCAGCAAAACAAAATGAAGGAATAAAATCAAACTTTCTCCTTGTAACAAATGAAGTTCATTAAATTTACACCAAATCTTACAAGCCTGTTACAGTGAATCGTACTACAGAGGCATTAGATAGATAATGGAAAAAAAATAAAAATTATCAATTAAATTTCAGAAAATGAACTACTTTTGTATGTTTTCACAAAAATCACAATACATGTAAGTATCTCTTACTGGTAATGTTTATATTATATGGTGTAAATGTTACATTCTGATTGGCCTTCCTGTATGATCATTATATTACACTCCTGTAAACGTTAGGAACATTCTGAGTGGTGTAATTAACAGCTATAAATGTTACATACATTCTGATTGGCCTTCCTCCAGTTTTGTTGGGCATTAGTGTCGGCTGGATTCAGAGAGACACCTTTAGCTCCCTGCACCATTGGAGCAATAGCTGAAATTCAGTCACATCAAATAACTGATTTGAATCCATAAATGAAAATACATCTAGTCAAAAATCTTACTGAAATCAATGAATAAGAATTCTCTAATTTACAAATGTGAATGAAAATTATTGGTTTACATTAAATTCATTAATAAACATATTTGAGGCCAATATCTTGTAAGGCCTCTGAATAACAAATACTCACCCTTCATATGATACCAACTTACTCAGTTTAAACATCATAATGTGAGTTAGTGAATTAATACAATGTACAGAAGATTGTTCATTACTGAAGCAGAAAATTTTAGATTTATTTAACATTTATTTATACGGTTATTCAGAGTAAATCTGCTGTTATCGTTATCCTTTCTTGTTTTACAACTGAACGTTTACATGTATTTCATTACCTCTGAGTAAAAAATTACATCTCCTTTTTTAAAATGACATTAACTGCAGTAGGTTCAAAGCAAGTTCAAAGAAATAAAGACAATGGATTGTATACATACACTCTATAAGACCTAAATCTGTATTGATACATTAAAACAGATTTCAACCAATTCACAACGTCATGTAAAATAATGAATATTTCTTTATCTTTCATACAAGACAAAAAAAAATTCTAACAGAAACAAAGCGATCTGAGGGAGCTAATTCCATACTTGATCTAAGGTTAGAAGCTGCTTGGTTGACGTGGTCTACATATTTGGGATCTTCACTGTTTTCAGCTTCTTGTTGAGCAACCTGTAGGACGCGGTTGGCCCGGCGGGCGATGTTAGAGGCATGGGCCCCGATTCTTGGAGGATCCTTCATCTGGATCGCATCCTCAACTCTCTCTGTGTCTCGTAAAATTCCCTCCTCTACAAATGCATCAAAACATATCTAATGATATTGGCAAAATAAAATTTTGAAGAATGGATCTGTTTGTAAAAGTATTAGAAACACTTACAAATAAGACCTGTTTGAAAATTTTTAAAAGAAAACTTTTCATTTTGATCACATATATATACTATAGATTCACAAGTTTCATAGTATGGAATGCACAGACAAAATTTTCTCCAAAGTGAACTGCTTTGAAGCCAACCAGATAACTCACCTTCAGCCTTGATAAGAGCAGAAGAATCGACAGCCTCGTCCACCAGGCCTCGCAGTCTCTCCATGTTGTCCATCCAGCGTTTCTTCATCAGGTCAAAGTGTTCCTGAGCCGCCTGATTGGTCGGATCCTGGAACACAATCTTAGCAGCCGTCGTCAACTGTGGGGTCAGGTCGTCCACCTACAGAGACAAAATGAAAGTGATTAAGAATGGAACTTTCTGAAAAACTGACAGTATTTAACATCTATGGTGTAATGAACATCATCTCTGAAATACATTACGAACTAATTCCTCAATATTACCCTCTTCCCCTTTCTTGAATAATCAAATTTCTCTTAAAGAGCAAGGTAATTAATTTTCTGCTTAAAGCAAGTAACTATAATTCCTTAATTTTTTTTTCCTTCGCAAGGTCACAATTTACAGTACCAAGAACACAGAATTTCTGAAACCACCATGTGAGTAACAAAGGTAAAAAATTTGTTTCTGTACCTGGGCCGAGGTTTTGAAGATTTCTTCCACGGTTTTCTTGTTACGGCAGCCTCCAGCAGTGGCCACCATTTTAGCTGTGTCAGCAAGTTTGTTGGCATGACCCTCAAAGTTTCGAGACTTCTCAGCAAAGTTCTGATCTCTTCCTGGGGTACCTGTCAAAAGAAAGGAGGGAGTCTTCATACTCAGCAAAAACGTAGCTTCATGTGATGAGTTGAAAGAAAACAGACTTATAAACAAAACATGTGTTTTATTTGACACTTGTAGCTAGAAAAATTGCATATGTATAGAAACCTCCGAGACTCATTGAAGATTGTAGATAGATATGGAGCTTGCCCAAGGGATCACTTGGGCCTTCTAGGGCCTTTCAGAGAAATGACTTACCTAGGGGAACTATAGCTGCCTCACTGAGATGCTTCAGAGGGGTAGAGATGTCAATAAAATCTTCAGCCACCTACAGGTTACAAAACAATGTTAATCATCAACTAACTAAAACCTGTCTATAGTCATCTTATATATATTTGATAAAATATTTCCAATTTTCCTGATCCCTCTTTCCCTACCTGGTTGATGAGAGCCTCCTTGATTTTGCCTTTCAGCTGGAACAACTTCTCTGACAGGTGGTTAGCAATGGCTCGGGCCTGGGGCGAATTTCCCTGAAAATTTTCAACAAATAAAAGTTTAATCAAATTTATAATCTTATCTCATTTTCACTGTTAACAAATCCAAAATTTGATTTTGTTATTTCTGCCTTTTACCTGTCCATTTCTGATGAGGTCTGCGAGCTGATTGGTTAATATTTCTGTCTCGTCACACAACCTGAGGAGTTCTGTCCTCTGAGGCTCAGTACAGGAGTTAGCTATCTTTCTTCCCTCTGCCACGACTAATCGAGTGGCCTGTTCACCTGGTAAACATAATTATAGCTACAGTAAACTTTTACTCATCCACACAATAACATAATCAAGAAACTCTATATATAGCGAAAATTCATATGAAGAAGCATTCCATGGTGAAAAATATAGGTCACAGTCAAGATCACAAGGTCACTGACCATGGGGTCATTTGACAGAGCTTAATTAGTGGAGTATGCATACCAAATATGAATTCTCTATCTCTCATGGTTCAATAGTTATGGTGAAGGTTAAAGTTGACAACAGAGAGACGAACGGAGAAACAGATAAACAGACAAACAGACAGTCAGGACAAAAACAATATACATTGTATATGTTCCAGATCTATCCATCCGGATGCATAAAAAAATGAAACAGAGATGAACTAGTAATACCAGATACCCACCTAGGCCTTTATCGTCCATTCCAGGATTGGCTAGCCATGTCCTGGCCTGCTCCACTTTGCCGTCAACAGTTGGAGCTGGTCGTCGTATTCCACTCCGCTCAGTGTTTGCGATCGCCACATTGGTCATGTTCTGTAAGTCTCCGAGTTTTTTCTGAATCTCTCTGGCAAGTGACATAGCTTGTGGGGAATCTCCCTGAATAAAAGAAACATTACTATCAGTTAAACTTTGTAAGTACATGTAAAAGAAAAATTAATCACTGGACCAAGGAAAAAAACTTTGAGATATCTAAGTACTTAAGGGATAAAATTATTTTTTTAAATAATTGGTTGGCACTTCAACATAAGCATAGTAACAGTGTTCAAGATACTGAAGTTCAACTCTTTATTCAGGACTTGATCTGAATTCTCTGATTTGAAAATATCTGTGTACCTTTCCAAGCTGCCTGAGCTCACACAGTGCGTCCACCATAGACTCGATGTCTCCCACGGTTTTGAGAATCTGGTCGCGGTCTGCTGGGTTTGTACATCTTTCTGCAATCTTCCTGGCGTCATCTAAAACCTGGTGAAGGGCCTTGTCTCCTACAAGTAAATTATATGTCCATTTACGGTACATTAACTCTCAAAAGTGTGGTACCTCATATTCACTTTAAAATATACAAAGTATGTAGTTTTCTCCCTCTTCTGAGAAACAAATGCACTTCTTTTTTCAAATTTTCAGGTCGAGTTATCATTTGAACAGAAGAAAGCAACCTTTCACTAGTAATTCATATAAATTTGTAGATAAATAGAAGCAAGAAAAATGATTACATTTCCTTCATGTTGGTGAACTCTGACCTACCTAAACTACCAATCAAAGCAGCAGGATCCTGCAGCCAATCAGTGGCCTGTTTCATCTTCTGCTCAATACCACTCTAAAAAGTTATAATGTAAATCAAATTAACAGCCTCATAAATCTTTCCACACAAAAATTCCCGCAATGAAGTTCTATATTTAACTTCAAAGAAAATAATCTTTCAGCTTCTTTTTACTTTGTATCTGAGATTTGCCAATATTCCTGAGCTTTCAGGGAGGCTCTCAAGCTGTATCAAGACCACTCACCTGAGCTTTCTTCATCACGGTGATGTCATCAGCATCCCATTCCTCCTCATCATACGTTGTCAGCTGAAGGACTCGGATTATTTCATGGATTTCGTCAGACATCTTTCTCACCAGGTAGTCTCTGTTGGCTTGTGTGTCCTGGGGATTTTTACCTATACATCAGTAAACAGGATTATTATTTACACTTTCATTTTGAAAAATTCAGTAATCTGAACCTTAACAACAGAGTTGCACTTTTAAACTGAGTCAAAAAATTTTTTGCACATATTTTGATTCTTTGACAGCATTTGAAGTTAGTTTACCCGAGTCTTTGACGGTGATGTATGTCTTGATCCCACTAATTAGGACAGGTGTGAGGTTTTTCACCTGTTCCAGGGACCGGGTCAGCATCTCACGGTGGACTTGGTGGGTCAATTCCTTCTCCCTGGCATCCACTTCTTTAGTCATCCGAGTCAACACAGGGGTCAAATTCTGAAAAAATGAATCAACAACTAAGTCAACACCAGTCACAGGGGTTCAATTCTTAAAAGAAAAAAACATCATCCTAGTCAACACAGGAGTTAAATTCTTAAATTCAACATCTGAGTTAACATACGGGTAAATTCTACCCCTCTAAATCAATATTTCAGTCAACACAGGGGTTATATTCTTAAAAAAAACAACAACAACTGAGTAAAGCAGCTCCTCCCTCCCTTACCCTCTACATTCACTTACCCTAACATAAGTAACCAGGTCCTCCATTCTGTCCATCACCTCTGTAATGGCCAGGTAACCCCCCTACACCGTCCTCCCCTCCCACACACACTTACCCTAACATAAGTGACCAGGTCCTCCATTCTGTCCACCACCTCTGTAATGGCCAGGTAACTTTCTAACCCCCCCCCCCCCCAAACACACACACACTTACCCTGACATAAGTAACCAGGTCCTCCATTCTGTCCACCACCTCTGTAATGGTTAGGTAACTCCCCCACACCCCTCCCCCCCCCACACACACTTACCCTGACATAAGTAACCAGGTCCTCCATTCTGTCCACCACCTCTGTAATGGCTAGGTATTCCAGGACGTTTTTACAGACACGGATGATCTTCCTCACCTCCGACTCATCAAAGGCCAGTAACAGTGAAGACGTTCCCTGTAGGATACCTAAAACAAACCAATAAACATCAAGACAGTTACGTTACAGTGGAATTAATTTACCTCAAATACAACTGATTACAGAAAAGGTAAGAATTCTGTCCAGGTGAAATATTATCTCTGATATTTACCCCTTGATCCCTCTATGAGTTTCTTGCGGGCGGGGGCAGAGTACGGATCTGTCCGTAACATCTCAGAGGCCTGGAGAAGGAGAAGCGACGCCTCCTCTACTCGGTTCAGAGCAGGGGGCATATCCTGCTTCAAAATCTGGTCCTCACTGCTATTGATTGTGTCATATCCCACCTATAAATAAAACGGTACAAAAAATATAGGTCACAGGCAAATACACACACTGGAATATAGGTCAGTATTGATTGTGTCATATCCCACCTACAAAAAAAAAACAGACAAAATAATATAGGTCACAGGCAAATACATACTTTGGAATATAGGTCACCTATTGTGTCATATACTGCCTACAAACAAAACAGACAAAAAAATTTAGTTCACAGACAAAAAAAAACATATATTAAATATCAGTCACAGGCTAAAAAAGCTACAAAATCAATACTGTATACAGGGTTATTTTCGCCCCGTTTTATTTTCGCCCTTTAACAGTTGAAAACAATTTTGCCCCGTTTTAAATTCGCCCAGTCACAGTTCTGTTTATGAAATTATACTATATTCTTTGAATTCGCCCCTTTTTAATTTTGCCCAATCGAGGTCAGGGCGAAAGGGGCGAAAATAAAACGGGGGCGAATATTTCCCTGTATACAGTATGTGCTTATACATATTATATGTGACTTTACAAAACTGTGAAACACTTCATTATATTCATACCAATGACAGTAAACATGGTAAAGCTTTATGCGTTGTCAGTCTGATTTTTATTTAATGCTTGAGGATCATGGAATAAATACCAGGTAAGTTTTTGGATATTATATTTCCAAAAAAGTATTTTAAGAACAATTTTTAAGCAATACAATAAAGGGGAGTAACTCTACATTGCTAAAACCATTGGCTCTGCATATTAAGTATTTAATATGTACATGCATGATAATCATGTTGATAATACTTAACATTCTACATGACAGAGAAACTTTATCATGATACAGAATCTCTGTTTCTAGCATCATAAAATATCTTTACCATCCTTACTTTACACATGTGCAGACAGCACAAATACAAAGCTTTCATAAGATTCACAATCAAAATACATAAGTTACCCCCCCCCCCCACTCGCCCCAACCACTTCTCTTTAAAGAGAACAAATATTTTTTTTGAGAAAATTAATTTTACACACTTAATGTTTAAATGACAATATTGTGAAAAATCATTTATCTAAGGAGAGCACATTTTTATCTGGTATTTCTTAATTAAGGAAGCATTTCTCTAAGTTTCTAAAATTCTTATTTTATTTCCTGATTTTTCAAATTAATCTTTGGCAATTTTTTAAATCAAGCTATGATAAAAAACAATCATATATTGCTTTAAAATCTTTACAACATTCAAGGAAGTTTGTACTTTGAGAATAATCTCATGCAACACAACAGGAATATGGGGCTACGAATATTTTGTTATTTGTTTTAAAGACAATACTATGTAAAATGCTATTTCATACAATTTTTCATCATCACAAGTCTCAGGTTTTGTGCTTGCAAGGGTTAAATATCAAAAACATTTCTAGATTGTAGAGTACATAATAGATGAAAAAAAATTCAGAGTACATAATAGATGAAAAAAAATTCGAAAACTGTCATTTTGTTCAATTGTCTTAAACTGTCTTAAACATTTTCATTTATCATAATTCCTTTCTCGGTCCACTCAAATTATCTCTCTTCCCTGTATTCCATTATCCCTCTATCCCTATATATATCAGTATCCCTTAATCTGTCTATCCCTTTACCCTTCTTTCTCTCTATCCCCATATCCCAGACCCACAAATACCCCTTAATTGAATTGTCAGTCTGGTAAAACCCAGACTTTTCTACTGATATTCCTTTACCCAGATACATGCATTAGTCACAGACATCTGCAGCTGTTGACTGAACCTAAACAATGGAGAAATAATGCACAAACCAATGCATTATCAATATTATTTTCTCTCAAGGCCCTGCTTTGTCTGCGATTATAGAAACCATATTTCCTTTCATCAATAAAAAAGCAATATGACTCATAACTGATAATAAATCTCAAAAACACCAATCCTCAGCCAAAAAATGTCTTGCAGAAACAATTTACACTTCTTACTACATATTTATGTATACATGGTATTGTACAATTAACTATAGATCACAGAATTTTCGTGACACCTTAATTTAGCTCGAAAAACATTTACTCCTTATTAGCGAGATGAAATTTTCAGAAATTATGATTACTGCTCTATGCAAAAAAGTTCAACATACAGTGAATAATTCATATGAAAAGATTTATAAGGATAAATTAAAATTTTATTATCATCTATGATTAGATGTAGACTGCCATTATAATTATGAGAGTGTATACAAACACGTAGTTGTAGGTGTTTTGTAAAACTTATTAATTGTTAAATTAATTTCTATGGCTAACGATTACGGTAGTTTTGCCATCTAGTAGACGTGCAATGTAATTATTTAATTAAACAATCTTGTATAATTTCACCCATACGTATTGTTCAGTGATTACCTTTAATCAAGGCACTTGCGAAGTAAACGGGGTAAAGACAATTAATTAATTTCAATAGTATAATTAAAAGTTCAACAATTTGACTACTACTTTTTTTTATTTGGACTCGGAAATAAAAAAAAAATATTCTGAATGTATAACATTATATTGACTTCAAAGCGGGTCAGTCCTGTGTTTCGTTATTATCTAATCGGGCTCAAAATTGACACAATATATAGACTTGCCTTTCCTGTCTGATATGTGCGATTTACATGAACAGACTTTCGTAAGATACAGACGGAAAATAACAGTTCAGACAATATATACCTAAAGAAAAATGCTTGCAAGTACTGTTAAGAAATGTATTTTTTTTTCTTTCCGCGAATTCAAACGACCGCGATTTGCTGAAAATTGAACAAATTGCGATCTTTTCCGACCGCGATTTTAACCTGCTATACAGTATAGATCACAGAATTTTCGTGACACCTTAATTTTGCTAGAAAAACATTTACTCCTTATTAGCGAGATAAAATTTTCAGAAATTGTGATTACTGCTCTATGCTCATGAAAAAGTGATTTACAGCAATAGATACCCTGGTAATGAAATTTTATTCATTTCACCTTACCAGGGTTATATGAACCAGAAGGAGGAGGTTTTAATTTTCACATATTAAACTGACAATGATCTACTGACCAAGGGGAGAGAACTATTGTGATTATGTCATCTCTGTTTGGATTCCTATGGGTCATTCCTACTAAGTTTATATAGAGTAAGCTAAGAGTTTTGTTCTCTTCTACTGTCACAAATGGCAGGAATTTATTTACTTTCACAATATTTAATTGAGCTATCCCAATTCCTTAAATTTCATGTATTAAATTCAGCAAGCTACTCCAGCTATTGTTTGTTCCAGTGACTATCCAGTATCAAAGTAGTTTAAAGTATTGAAGATTTAATACATTTTGACAGTATTTCATAAATTTATAGTAAAATGACTCAATAATGTAAAATATTGGCAATTTGAATATGAGATTGAGCAGTTTAACAGTTGATCAGAAAATTTTACGTATTTTAGCGATACAAAAAATTCTCAAGAAATTATGGAATTTTGAATTCTTCACATTTATTATCAATTCCAGTGAAGTGTAATATTTTGCATTGTGTCAAAACCTATTTTGACAGCTGAGCTCAAGGTAAATAGTAAATGCTTCCTAACCACAACCTTTATGTTTCTTGTTGGTATTTTTCTGAAATAGTCTGTTTCACGTGCAACCAATAAGGGATAAGGAGAAACTACCAATTGTAAAGCTTGCAGTTAGGAGGCGTGTAGTATTTACTTTGAGAGCATTAGTCAAAATACCAGTACGTTGTGATGTAATGCAAAATGTTACACTTCACTGGAATTGATAATATTTAAGAATCTACTGTATTTTAAGTTTAAACGTTGGCTTATCATCTGGTATGACCTACCTTGACCAGATTGTCGACGGCCAGTTTGACTGTCTGAACTGGACGAGCCAGGTCAGGCATAGCGTTCCCATCCTCAGCTTCCTCATGGAGAATGACCAGTCTGGACACCTACAAACAAACAGACAAAGTCTTAATGTAACACCTACAAACACACAGACAAATAAATCAATAAAGTATCACCTATAAACACACAGACAAAGTCTCAATATAACACCTACAAACACACAGACAAATTCATATAAGGTGACATCTACAAACATATAGACAAAGTTGTTAAGTAACACCTACAAACACACAGACAAAGTCATTAAATCATAAAGACAATGCCATTAGGTGACAAAGTCATAAAGTCAAACCTACAAACACACAGACAAAGTCATTATGTCAAACCTACAAACACACATACAAAGTCATTAGGTCACATAGGAACTACTGAATTTCTTTGCTGCAAATTCTGGAATGAAGTAGAATTTAAGAAGCTTTTTTATTAGGTTTTCATTTTTTTTAAATTATCTTCTCAAAATGATCAGCCCTTGACTCATGACATTCTACCTGTCACCCTTGACCTCAGGGTGGTACACAGGAGAGAATCTGCTATACCATATCTAGGAGATTTTATGTAGCTATGCCACTGTGGGAATCTGCTTTACTATATCTAGAAGAGTTTAGCTATACCACTAAGAGAATCTGCTATACCATATCTAGGAGAGTTTAGCTATACCACTAAGAGAATCTGCTATACCATATCTAGGAGAGTTTAGCTATACCACTAAGAGAATCTGCTATACCATATCTAGGAGAGTTTAGCTATATCACATGAACATTTCTGAGTGGCCAACACTGCCACTAAGGACATGAAGGAAGTTTCTTTTATTGCATCAAAGTTGGCTATTTTTCTTCTTTTACTCTTTTACTTCAAACTTTTTGCAAACTGTATCATTCTTTGTTTTGTATTTAATGCACTAGTAGAAATCTTCTGATTATAATGACACTTGGGTTAAAATCTGATATCAAAGTAATGCTTTAACCAAGTTAACATTAATCCTTTGCTTATCCCATGATACTTAACTTGATATACAGGTTAACTCATTTAAAATGATTTAATGCTGCCACTATGAAGACCAGCTTATAAAAATACTTAACATTTGACATTTTATAATTATCGTATTTGTATTTAAAGTTGTAAAAGGAATAAAGGATATGGAAGAAAGCCACAATGACTGCATGTGCACTACTTATATAGAGTCAATATTTTTTTAATCAAACATAACTGCTACTTGGTTTACATTAATTTAAGGAATATGTTTGGAAAAGACATGAAGGAGCAAATCATGTCAATGTGTCAGAATTTTTTATATTTATTTATTAACCTGCATGTGTTAAACATTAAAGATTGGGAAGATAACTTGGTAATTGTTCTCCTTCACTAATCCAAAAGTGAAATCTAAGTAGGCACTTCATGCCTTAATCTGCGGCTTAAATCAGCACAAAGGAACAGTTATTTAATCTCATGCAAGAATGAAATCCTAAGATTGTAAAGCTTTAAGGGTTAATCTCTCTCTCTCAGCAAAACAAGCCATTGGAGTTATATGCTCTCTCTCTCTCCCTCTCTCTCTTGTGTAACATGTTATTGTTACATCCCTGTATGCTTTAAAACATGACATACACAGTAGTTCTATGTAGACACGGTATAGTTCTGTGTATACACTGTCAGAGAATGCTCTGAGAGCTTCAGGTGAAGGCTCAGCGGGGGTGTCAACATGTGGTTTTTGTTGTCTTAATCGACTTCCTATCCCCAGAAACATACCTCCCCCACTGAATCTAACTACTGTCTTCCTTGATCCTGTTTTATCAAACTCAGCCCCTAACTGACTTCAGATAGCCTCTTTTCTAAATTTACAAACCATCAAAATATTTCAAATTCCTCACAACATTTGACTCTGTGATATCTAGATACATTCCCAAGGTTATGAATATGATGCCATAAGAACATGTTTTTACTCATCAGCATCTTGGACTCCCAGATTGCTAGACTGAATACAGATCATTTCTTTTATTTGTCTAAAAAACAAGTACAAACTATACATTCCAATAGATAGTAACTTTGGATATCAAATTGAGATTACAAATAGCCTTGACCCTTCTTTATGCCATTCATTACAAAATTGATTCAGTTTCTGGCAAATTCCTGAGAAAATGATTCTGGTCAAGAACATAGCATAGGTGAATTCTTTGGTGATTTCTGACCGCCTGTGTAACATTAATGCTAGCTGAATAATGGCCAAGTAAGATGTTTACATGAGTTAATCAGGAATGTCAAAATCTAGATCTACTGCAAAAAAATAACTGGCTTCAAAATATCCATCCCAGACTTACAGGATTGACTCAGCAGAACAAATAAATAACTCAAACAACCACATGCACATCTGTGATGGTCATTCTGAAATAAGGAAATATGCATGCTTGTCTGAAGAAATGGACTTAAACTTGACTACTACCTTTTTTACTTTTACCAATTTATATATTAAACACTGAAATATCTCAAAATTACATTCACTAAAAAGTTTAATAGGTGAATCTGCGACAAGTGCAGTATACAATGTTCAGCTCTGTAAAATGTCTTAGACCTCAGACAGGAAACTGTGCGGTGAGATGTAATTTTTATAACCTTAGATCACCCTGACTTCTTTTCCTTCCCTAGCGATTACATGATACACAGTGTCTGTATTGTTCTTCAGAACTCTAAAACATAGAGGGGCTCTTACCACGGAATCTCAAGTGTTCAGCAAGTCAGAGGGAGTCGATAAACTTTATATATAGTGTATACTTTATCAACCATTAACAGCTACTGGGCAATGAATGGCGAAACATTTCCTTATTTAAAGTACACTACAAAGCCGCAGGATGAAATATTTCCATGGTGGACCATATTAATAACAATTATAGTGTAAGTCATAGCTAAGGGGGTGTTTATAAAATATAACATAAAGCGGTCATCATCTTTTCATTTAGTGAGGTCAAAGGCTACAATCCCTACTCCTCACCTCTAGAAATTTAAAATAGTCGCACCATATTCAGACGTTAAAATTTTTAAAAGTTTTTGTTTGAAAAACAGCTGGTAAAATAAAGATGTTGATATTCACTTAAATTTTTCACAGTAACATTAATTTTCAACTATACCATTGTATACTGTCAGTCCCAGTATCAACAAGAAGTAAGTACATCAGACAGGGCTACTTTTTACCACTAAACATTGACTAATACGAACAGCTGATACATCATTAGTCATTACCAATACTTTGATCTGTCCTGACTAACTGACCAGAAGATACATATTACTGGCTTAATAAGACCACAGTGCCCAACAGGTGCCCCTCCAGCTCAAGGGTATAGATTTTTTTTTTTTTTGAAAGTTGGAGGAAGTAGAGTATCTCAGATTTTTAAGTTGATCCTAAATAAAAAAGAAGTATGAATCTTACAGATAGTAAATGACAGCAAAATCAGCAATCAAAATGTTGTATCTGCCCAAGCAGCCCTCAATCAAACCAGTGGTGACTGACCCCCAATAAACAGAGGGAGGGAGAAGCTGATGATATGTAGGGGGAGGTTGTACAGTATTATTTTTATTATTAAGACTCAGGCATGAAACCAAGATCTTAATTGTGATCTCACTCTGAGTGGAAGACTTAGTCATTCACAGCATTTGGCAGAAACTCCATCATCAGAATTCAGATAGGAGAAGCTTTGGAGGGCAGAGAGTCAGGGGTGATACACAGCTGAATCACAGCTCTGTAAAACTGTCTGTCATACCGACTCAGGCAGTGCCACTTGTCAATATCTGGTGTGGTGTATTGTCAATCTAATCTTACCAACTACCCAAGTACCTGTTATGTAACTTAAACAGCAAACCTCATTATGTTTCCAACATTGTTAACTGGATAATAATTGTACAAGACATTATAATGGTCACAGTGTGTGCCTTCCTTCAACAGCAGTTATTTCCTTATTGTTAGGCTTCTTATCTACTTGTATTCATGATGAAAAACGCGAGCACCTCTTCAATTAAATGTCTGGTAGTACAGTTAGATTACCACTCTTTGTGTATATATGTAGGACCAGCTATTAACAACACTTGAAAAATATTGTCACAGATTCCCCCAGCATCAAGACTTCAGCATCAGTAAATATGTCTGATAAATATCTGATCCTCTGTCAGATTATATCTGATAATGTGTCTTATGCAAGAGAAATATGAAAATCTTATGTGTAGTAGATAAAAAGGTCATAGCATGGAGTGCTAAAAGCCAAAGGCTCATCACTACTTGTCTCATTTTATCAATCCAGTTCAGATAAATCTTGCATACATTCTTCAGAACCTTAAATTAAGGTAAAAAAATCTCTTTTCAGATTAAGTGTTTTATAGCTACATGTATGTTCAAGATATCAGTTTATATGTTAAAGATATCAAAATATTGGTGATTTTATCCAATTCAAAAAAAAAAAAACCAATCCCTTGATGAACTACTGGTTAAACAACAAACACATGCAGGCTGTAATGGAAGGATTAAAACAAACAAACAGACAATCATGTTGACTAACAAATACCAGGTACATAGGCTAGGGTTTCTTTTTTTATATTCAATGGAAAACTAGGGAGTAGAGTGGCCTAGTGGATTTATGTGTGTTAGCTTTAGATTTCACCTCTCTCATCATTATCTCTCTTCACAATTGTTCAATACTTTGCACTTCATATAATTAATACATTATTTGCTCAACATTGAACCTCCACAAACCAACTGAGATGATACCGTCAGAGGATTCACTAAAATTATACAAATCTGATGACATCTGACATACGGTAATTGATAGGTTGGAACACATTGCAAAAATGAGATAAAATAGCTACATTGAGATATAATTTCCAAAATGTGATGTAAAATTACAGAGAGAAATATGTTGTTGTAAACATGAAGTTTAGGATGAATAAAGAGGATAAAAGAAACACCAAAAATATATAATTCCTCGCATCTTTATGTCGCAGTTGGGCCTATAATATTAAACCCCATTTTGACACCTGGCTCCAACCTGTCAAGATCAGAGGGGATTGGAAAACTGGTTTAACATGTTTAACATTTCAATTTTTGTTGGCACCGAGAAAAAAAAGTAGAGCCAAAGAGAGGTTTTTCGAAGCAAAAATCCATCCCCACTTTGAAAACCTTGTTCGGATGAATAAAGTGAGTTAAATATTGAAATTACAAAATTATCAAATATCTCTGAAGAAAGGACCCGACTGCTGAAGATGTAAACACTAGGAGCAGATAACTCTACCTACCTGCTGAGCCACTGGTTCCAAGATACTTTCTATCGTCTTTGTGTGGAACACCGGCATCTTAAAGTTATTCCAAGTTAACAAACTCAATCAGCCACAAATGCAGCCTGAAAATTAATTAAACACCACCTCCCTTTCTAAGAATGCTACAATAATACTACACAGTCATTCAACTCGGGAAATTCCGGAAGTAACTTCCACTTTGTAGACGAAGTTTCGTATTTTAATTATTTCAACACGGTGTGAAAATTTCAGCACTTGAACATCTTTCTCGAATAAACTTGTCAATATTTTATAATTTGGTCTACAACATTGCTTTTAAAATTCCAAGAAGCTTGGAGAAAATAAGAATAAGAAACTTGAGAAGATGCCCGCTAATTTCCATATTTGGCGAATCGACCTTTCTATAAGCAGGGTCAACCGGAACAAAGTACATTTATTTATTTATTTATTTATTTATTTATTTATCTATCTATCTATTTATTTATTTATTCATGAAAAAGTAACTTTTTTTTATTTCGAAGAAATTATAAAAATAAATGTACAATCCACTATGAGTTAATTAATAAAATATTTCTTTATTCAAAAAATGATAATCCCTTTTCTTTTTGGGAATTAAAATGTGCATATATTTTTGCAGTCATCTTGACATTTGATATATTTAATTATGAAGAGAAACTAGTAATTGATCACGGTAGAATTTGTTTCTGTTCTCTCTGAACAATTATCAAAATAATAAAAAAAATAATATTAATTTAAAAAAAAAAAAAAAGATAATATGATTGTAGCATCGTTTTTGAAAGAGGTTGAACAGAAAATTGTCAAAAACTCTAAAATTCAATTTAGGGAGGATCGGGGGGGGGGGGGGAGGTTTAAGGTTTTTTTTTCCACAAAAAAAATTATTGATAGTTTTTGATACCTTACCACATTACCCTGATATGACTATAACTAATTTAAGTGGAGGTAAGGATTCAAAAAATTAATGAATTTGTAAATAAATAAAATAAAATAAAAAAAAATGTCCACACTCTAAAATTCAATTAGGGATGAGAAAAGGGGGGAGGGGTACACGTAGGTGTCATCTTTTTTCGCAACAAAATAAAAAAAGTTATTTTTTCATTCGAAAAAGCCCCCCCTTTCAATATACAGACATTTTAAAGATAAGCTTCATTTTTGTTTCTAGAAATGTTTTTCTCTAGAAATATAATATATTTTCGTGTTTTTAAATTGAGTAAATCGATGACCTAGCATCGTTTTAGATAACTCAAGCCCCCGTGATATTATATTTAGTTAATCACTAGGCATGATGTTTATTGGTGTGGCACTTAAATCATGCGCGGATCTAGAGGGTGGATCAGCATCCCTCCGTGGAATTTGCAGAGTTATTAAATGTATATACTAAACCAAGTAAAAGAAACCTTGGAAACCCACTCCCACCCCCTCGCCCCCACCTCTCTACGAAATAGGTTTTTCATGTTAACGTGAAATGAGTTTAGGTTTTTTTTGTTGGTTGGATTTTTTGGCCCTCCTTGAAAACACAGATCTATGTGAAATTGGTATGAAAAGATTTAACAGTCAATGACTACCCCCTATTCCCCTCCTCTCCCCATTGGCATCCGCACCCATCTACGAAATAGGTTTTTCATGTTAGAGGGTACCTTCTTGTACCATTACATCTATCTATGTTCTAAATCCCACCCCGTTTGGTTGAAAACGAAATGAGTTTAGGTTTTTTTTGTGGGTTGGATTTTTTTTTGACTGGGTTTGGTGAAAATCACCCAATCAGATTGCAGCACACGTGCATGAAAAATTCCTGTTGTAGGATATCCTATTCCATGGCTATGTTCAAAATTTCAAGCGCCTCTAAATTATTTTTCTATGTTTTAATTTTGGTTACATGTTTTTTTTTCTGCTTGAATATTTATGTTTCTAAGACACATTTTTTTTATTTTCCATTATAAATATAACAAGTGTATTTTAGCATTTTAAGCTGATTCTTATAAATGTTACTGTAGTGTAATGCTGAATTCAATTTGCTATTACGAATTACACATGTATCTTACTTATTTGTTTCTTGCATGATGAAAACAATGTGGATCATTTTTCTAATAACCATGAATAATATGAATTAATAAGGGGGCGACAATTTGATTAGGGAAGGGTGAGGGGCTGGTAGATTTTGGAAATAAATCATCTGTCCTTGAAAATGTTGAACTGAATAAATATTAATCTTCCACTAAGAAGAAAATCTGTCTGTGGGCATATTACATACATGATTATTAAACAGAGCATATAATAGTTATTAATAAGATGTAATGTGTTCTTAGTACATGTATATACTTAATAATTTACACATGGTTCATAAGTTGAAATAATTGCCATGTGTTTAAATACATATTGTAATTAAAAATATATAAAGAAGTACCCCCCCAAAAAAGCCAGAGATATACATCCACAGAAATGAAAAATATATATATATATATATATATATATATATATATATATATATATATATATATATATATATATATATATATATATATATATATATATATATATTTTTATACATACCAACACATACATACATACACGTATATATACATGTCCACACACATACATACTGCATATTCCCCTTCCAGCCCAACTCACTAGGTCCAGAAATCAGATATAGATCTCTTCTCTTTTGTTATCTAAGAGGTGAGAATAACAAACAATAATCTAGCTGGTATTACACGTTAGGTACATCGAGTTTTTCGGAACTCTTTGGTTTATCAAAGATCGCCTGAATATTAGCGTCAAAGTAGTACTTCCTGTTCAATTTTAACCCGAATTTTCCGTGTGACTTTCATTTTGACACAGGTTTTGAAACTTTTAACTTTTACCAATGAAGGTATTTACATTGACCACAAAGAAATTTATTCATTTTATTGTCATTTTTATGTTCTGTAAATCAATTTGCGATGCATTAATGATATTTTTCTAAAGTTATTAAAACCGGTTTGTCCTTGTGGTTAGAGAAGATTTGTCTCTGTCAGGGCATCATTAAGACTAATGTGTTAGACTGTAAACATAAGTTTTAATTGAGATTTAAAAATGAATAGTTTACCAAATGTAGCCTATCAATAGTTTATTTTTTTTTTTACATGCCTTGTTTTAGAAAGAGGTTGAAGATGAATAGGTTCGACATGCTGAAAAATAACACTTAAGAAAGTGTGATAAATATTTTAATCAAGCTATTTTGAATAAGCGTTTTGAAAGCTCTATTGCCAATTAAAGCTATATAGCTAAATCAAGACTTTAAATTTTGATCGAAATATATCAGTATTCATTTTTTTTTTTTTGGCTTGAAAATTATCAGTTTTCGTTTAGATCTACATGTATTAGGTTTTAAGTTAATACTTGAAGACAAAATATTTTTTATGTCCTTTTAATTCTTCATTTTTTTTTATTTTCTTGTCATTTCAGGGGATGATGATAGAGGATTCACCAATTAGTGACATTCCTGTAAGTACCGGTATCAAAATCATGGTTTAAATTGAGACGTACAAGTTAATTATAATCATGATAATCGGTTATTATACCCTCCGCTTGAAAAGTAGGAGGGTATACTGTAATCGGTATGTCCATCCGCCCTTCTAGCTGCTGTACGTCCATCCGTCTGTCCGTCTGTCTGTTACACTATCTCTTATCTGCAACTCCTCTTTATTACCACTGAGTGAAATTTAATGAAACTTTCACAGAATCTTTATTACATAATGCCATTGTGCACCTCCTATTTTTACTTTTGGATCCGACATATATTTTGGGTTTCCCGGCCACAGCAAAACATGGACTTTGCCTTTATAACCATATGGGAGGCGGGGGTATCATTTAGTGAGCTCATTGCTCACAGTACCTGTAGTTTATCTCAAGATTTGTTTTACAGTGCCAAGGTAAATTTAAAAAAAAAATCAGTTATCTAACTATTTGATTTCAGAATGTATACCATTATTTTAATCAATATTTGGTAAAGGACCACTTGTCAAAATGCGCATCATGAAATAAAAAATTAGACATTTATTCCTCATATTTACATCATTTCCATTGGTGTACATGTACTTCATTTATTATCATTCTTTTGTTTTGTTTCAGGCCCGTGTAAATAAAATCATTGTACAAGGCCTTAACAAGACAAAGGATGAATTTATTCAGAAGAAATTGGCACATATATTTAAAGCAGAGAATGTGGCAGAGGTAAGCAAAAAATAGACAATATACAAACTCACCCATAAGTCAACTTTCATCTACATCAAGGATTTTTTAAAACTGTAGAAAATTAAAAATCATTTTGCTGTTCATGTGAATTCTTTAATTTTATAGTATTTAACTGAAAATATTTTTATTTTGTGCTGTCAGACTGCTCTGATATTTTCTGGATTGATGTTTTTTTCATGAATGTTTATGTTATTCTTTTGCAATTTAAATATTTTAATAAAATCCCAAAAGTAAATTTTAAGGAACGTTTCTCATACTTGAAAGTTGTTTTCCTAATTTTCTGATCCCTGATCCTGTTTTGTAGATGCTGGTTTTGTGTCAGACTGCCAAATATGACCTGAGAAGACTAGACATTTTTAGATCAGTTCAAGTCAACATAGATACAGCCAAAAATGGTAAGCATGTCTTCAGTTTTCTGCAGAGTTTTATATAAAACAGCCTATTTTCAACATATTTCTAACATGTTGGTGAAAAAAAATACAAAAAAGAGTTAATGAGTGATTTTTTGTGTAATATACAAATTTTACATGTCCATAATATGCTGTAAAAATGGAAATTTTGATGAAAGACTATAAATTGTACAATTTTCTATTTGTCAGTTTTCATATTCTTGTTTCAGAGGCTCAGAGCATTGTTAAATATTGTTAAATCATCAAATTTTTCACTCACCATATTTCTAAAATATTGAAAATGTCAAACTTTAAACCCTTCAATATAGCAATTATATCTACAGTATGTTAATTAATAATGTGATTATATCTTATTACAGTGGAGGGAGATGACAGATACAATGTGGTGTTTGAGGTGAAGGAGAAGCGGTGGTTTGGTGGTGGTGTACACGCCACATTTAGTGGTGACAACAATGCCACTATGGTAGGATTGTCAGGATTAGTTTGCCTTAGCAAAAGCTTATCTCTTGTACAAAAAGTAAATCTAAAAATAAAAATTTATTCCATCGATTGAGTCACTGAAATGATCAATTTACATACTAGCACTTGAACCCTTGGCTTACCTTAGAGCAAAAGACATTTTATAGCAAATTCTTTTGTCATATTAGTTTTTCTCAATTTATTTAGTTGTTGTGAAAAAGCCCATGAATACAAATTATCAAAGGTCTGTTTATATTTCCAGGTGGGCAGTCTACAGATGCCCAACACATTTGGCCGAGCTGAGAACGTAAGACTGGAGTACAACAAAAGTTTGAAGGGGGACCATGGAGGGGTTTTCCGATTCAGCAAACCACTGAATGGCAACCCTGATGTCAGGTGAGGAATTCAAATTAAAAATTAAATTAACAACACTGAATCTTACACGATTCTGGTAAGGAATCCCTAGAATAAAACTAAATGACAGAATCAGACAAAAAATGGTGAAAGTCTGTGAACGTTTTCAAATTATTACAGCTGCTTATAGTAATATTAATAATAATTATTCATTTAAACTAATACATCATCTGTTTTCCATGTTTATGATTTTTATGGTACTTAGCTCTGCATTATTGACAGGTTTTCCTCATCTGTGTATAAAATGAACCTGGAGTATCCGTGGAGTGGATTCAAAGAAACCTGTAGAGGACTCAATATGGACTTCACAGTGAGTAGATTAAAATATCTGATATTGTGTCAGAGTCATTCAAGTTAAGAATCAAAATTACCCACTGTTTATCATCAATACTTCTGTGAGACAAAATTAAATTCTTGAAACATAATTTTGCTCATCCCTTTCAGGGGAAGTAATTTAGAACATATGTATTGCTAAAAATATCACTTTTGTGGCTAGAGAATCTCACTAAGAAATTTATGTTTTTTATAAAAAAAATTCTCCCATATCATTTTCAAAACATTTCTGATGTCAATCTTTTAAATATATTGTTTCCTGCAGTTGTGTCATTTATATTTTGTTGCTGTAGTTTCCCACCAGTCTCGGGGACCACTGTCTGCGGTGGGAGGGGGTGTGGAGGGACCTGAGAGCGCTCAACAGGACGACCTCCTTCACCGTCCGAGAGCAGGCTGGCCATTCCCTCAAGTCAAGTGTAAAGGTATAATAGTGTGAAATCACTTAAAATTCTAGTTTGAAAATAAGGTAGTTCTGGTCACTGTCTAAGGAATGCTTACAAAGTCATGACATACAAAGTCAGAGCACAAAAAATTATATAATTTTACCAGGCTTTTACATTATCTTTTATTTTCTGCCCCTAAAGATCATTGCCATAGCTGTATTTCAAATGATTTGAATTAATATACTTTGTATATAGGTTTATGAATTTTTTATTTGTGTTTAGACCAGGTGATGATATATTGTATATACTTTACATATATATTTAATTTGTGTTTAGCACCAGTTTACACGAGATGAAAGAGACAGCCAAATCTTACCTAGTCAAGGATCTCTGTTTAAAATGGAACAGGTATTGGTGTATTTAATCAAGATTTTTTTTAATAAAATCTATTTATTCACATGTTGAAGACTGAGTCAATATGCAAAAGCATTTTCATATTAGAAGTGATCCAATTTATATTTGTAATGCAAAAAAGGTTTAATTAATACAGGATCAATGTCAATAATCTGCATGTTAAAGTACTTACCTGTGATTAAAACCATTTCATATATATTGTGTATAATTACATAAATTATTAGAATGTATTGGTTTGATTGTAGGAATTTGCAGGTCTGGGAGGAAACGTTGAATTCTTCAAACATGATATGGAACTTCAGCTCAACAAAAAACTTATACTAGACACAGTAAGGAAACAAACATTAAGGAGACCTTTCTTTACAAACATGTCTGTGACTCAGATTTAGCATTAAAAGGACACTTGATATCCTTATTTAAAATCACATTTAACTCTAAATATATGAAGATATGAAACTTAAACAATTTACAAATAATTCTTTGAAATAATTATTTGTTGTGTCTTGATTTTGTGTTCTTTAATTTTTCAAAAGATATTTATGATTTTCATTCATTTAATTTTTGTCCTGTATTTTTGTCATTCATGAGATTATTTTGTTTTATTCTGTATTTAGGTTGTACAGTTGTCATTGTTTTATTCTGACAACAGTTGTCCTTGTTTTATTTAAAATTGATTTTTGTCATTGTTTTATTTTTTCAAGTTGTACAGATTTTTTATTCTATTTTATTCAGGTTTAATTTTTGTTTTATTCTGTATTCAGGTTGTACAGTTGTCATTGTTTTATTCTGTATTCAGGTTGTACAGTTGTCATTGTTTTATTCTGTATTCAGGTTGTACAGTTGTCATTGTTGGGAGGGATCATGAAGAACCCCAACCCTAACGCAGAAATACGCATCAACGACCGCTTCTTTCTAGGCGGGCCTTTAAACCTCCGAGGATTCAACGCAAAGGGTGTGGGCCCTCACAGCGAAGGTACGACTCATAGGGATGGTATGGATTGTGTGTGTGTGATAATGGAATGATTAAGTATTTCTGAAGGCCGACTATAAATTATATAAGGCTGTGAATTATCTGCCTATGACTATGGAATGAAATAAAGAAAAGTTAAACATTTTATTATATATGAGGAGATACATATCAAAATCCACTTTGATAATATAATCTTAATTTGTACTTTATTATTTTTCTTGGGAAACAAGTCTGAAAAATTGGAAATTTAATAAATAAGTGAGGGTTGTGTAATCATTAAAATTTGTGTGTGTGTTGGGGGGGGGCACCTTATGAATAGTGACTTACTCTTATTTTGATGTAAATTTATTTTTCTGGCCTTTTGTGGTTCAGTATGATTAATCATCTTCTGAGCATTAATTGAATTTATCTCTGTAATTAACAGGAAATGCCCTCGGTGGTGACACCTACTGGGCTGCAGGACTCCACCTGTACACACCCCTACCATTCAGACCCGGAAAAGGGGGATTTGGAGACTTCTTCCGCACACATTTCTTTGTTAATGCGGGAAATGTCTATAACATACAAACAGGTCAGAAAAAAAGATTTAAGACGATTTTAATTGTAACTCTCCTGCGATAAGAGCATTTTACAATTTCAGCATTATGTTGAACAGTTTGTTTATGTATCCTTGCATAAATAAATGCACGATGTTTATGGCTTTAAAATTTATTTAATGTTATAGAAAGATAAAAATGTTAAGCAGTGATGCGTTTATGATTTTATCAAGCTGAATTGTGTATATTTACATATCTAAATTCAATTATAGGGTACTTGAAAACGAAATAAACGTGACGTGGTCTTTATAAAAAGTACAAGATTTTCTTGATTGTACATACATTCTCTAAAAAGTAAGTGGGTTTTTTGAAGTTATAAGAAGGTAAAAAATCAATGTGTCATTTAGATTGCCGACATGTAATGATCAGATTCATGTTTACCGTATTTATTAGTCCATATATCTCTTCCCTCGTCTGAAAAGTCTCACATCCACTGAATTTTCTTATTAAAGTACACAATAAAATATTATGCAATGATACTGTAGACATAATTTTTTCCGATGTGTCAGTGCATCTTTACAATTATTTTTGATAAACCAGTATATCAATGATGCGATATATCCATTAATTATCTGTCCCACCTGTTTGTTTACACAGCAACCAATCCTTAGGCCTAGAAAAAAAATATGTTGTATTGACTTTAAAAGAACATTTTATACAAATATAGGGTAGGTTGGCAAATAATCAATTATTTTTTCACTTTTCACGATTTTTTTTTGCTTGTTTAAACAACCGTGAATGCTGTCATTGGTTTTAAAAATGATTAAATTATATGAAATTAAAATGGCAGTTCTCAGCATTTAAAACCATCGCAATTGGTACTTTTCAAGAAATCGTGAAATTTTGCCACCATGGAATTAAAACGATTTACAGTATATTGCATGTTATAAATTCTTGTTACAGACACCTTTCTAATTCCGTGAAATCTCTCTGCAGTTCATGGGACAAAAGCATTAAAAATAATGTTGGGGATCGGCACTATAAATTAGGGTCGGATACGGGCCCAGGCAGGAAACACATATTTTTTAACAATTACAAGTTATATATATACCTTACACGTATACTAAGTGGGACGCTAATATACATATATGGAAAAAATCTACGCTCGTCATGTAGATGGTCAATGTTTCCAAAAATTTGTGACCCCTAGCGTTCACAGCGTAAATTAATCTTATTAAAGTACACAATAATATGTTATCCAATTATATATGTCCTTCAGGTGACTGTGATGGCCAGTTATACTCATCTCAATGTTCAACAGAATTGAATGCCTTTCGGTTTAATTTCTAATCAGCCATCATCGAAGCTCAGTCAGTTGAGCTCTCGCTCCGTGATCAGAAGGTCTTGTGTCCACAGCCACAAATGACCTAGGCTGATAACAAATAGGTAGCAACTATTCCTTCGCCAAGTGCTCAGCAATTTGCAAGTCCTTCAGATAAGACCATATAAGTGGGCCTGGTATCGATAGGCATTGGCATGATAAAGAACCCTGACTGTTCAAGTGCCAAGTAAAGGTCTGAATTTGAAGCCCTTCACTGGTAAAATGTGAAGAATCTATAGGGGTGAAAAATTCTAGAATGGGAAATTAAATAATCAATCAATATTACTTGTATCTCTAATCTATGACAACTAAAACAATAATTTTTTTTTATTATTTTGTTTCAGTATAAATCAAGGCCTGCAGTTTGGAATAGGAGTTACCTTTATGTGATAACTTGTGATCATGTGACCTACAGATTATCATGTGACATGACAACATACTGTGTGCTAACATTATCGTTTGTGATTGAAAAAATTAAAAATGAATGCTTCATACATGTTTTTTTGATATCTAGATAATGAACAATAATCAAGCTTCAAAGTCCATTAAAAGAATTTAAAAAGGGAGCCAACCAAACGTGGACCTCATAAAACATAAGAGGTGGGATCTGGTGCTATGAAGAAGTAAGAATCCCATGTCAACCGGTCACACCAGCCTTATGGTCCTTGTCATGACCAGCAAAAAAGAATTGTAGACAACGCAGTGTAAATATTGGCTTCATAAATAGTTTGAAAAAGGCGAGTCAGCATTCAGTATAATAGATTGTATTTGCTAACAAAGTCATGGTATTGACCATAGAACTAGCAAAATTTTTACTCTAAAAGGCTATTGTTGCTATCCTTGTATTATCAACTTGTTTGTCTATAGCTTAACCTGTTCTAGAAAATGTTTATAAATCGAACATGCTCTTTGGTATTGAATCTAGGAAATGTTTATACATCGAACATGCTCTTTGGTATTGAATCTAGGAAATGTTTATACATCAAACATGCTCTTTGGTATTGAATCTAGGAAATGTTTATACATCGACATGCTCTTTGGTATTGAATCTAGGAAATGTTTATACATCGACATGCTCTTTGGTATTGAATCTAGGAAATGTTTATACATCAAACATGCTCTTTGGTATTGAATCTAGGAAATGTTTATACATCGACATGCTCTTTGGTATTGAATCTAGGAAATGTTTATAAATCGAACATGCTCTTTGGTATTGAATCTAGGAAATGTTTATACATCGACATGCTCTTTGGTATTGAATCTAGGAAATGTTTATACATCGACATGCTCTTTGGTATTGAATCTAGGAAATGTTTATACATCGACATGCTCTTTGGTATTGAATCTAGGAAATGTTTATATTTATACATCGACATGCTCTTTGGTATTGAATCTAGGAAATGTTTATACATCGACATGCTCTTTGGTATTGAATCTAGGAAATGTTTATACATCGACATGCTCTTTGGTATTGAATCAACTGGAGACATAAATTTAACGTAGGTACGAGGGTTGATCCAAAAGTTCGTGGAATTTCTTTATACTTTATTTATTAATAAGTGAAATTGGTTGAAAATTACAAATGAGAATATAGACACTTGTTGGATATTTTAAATAAAAAAATATTTTAAATTTTTGTGATAGCATCTCTATGGCAGTTGCCATAGAAACGGATGTTTGGAAATGTGGGGGAGACGACAACGCGTTTATTATCATTTTAATTCTTAATACTTGAAATGAGAATAAAACCACCCTCTGTGTTTTAGAAAACGAAATTCATGTCATTATTACTGTTTCTTAATGTTTTATAAACCTTTGTGTGTGAGTTTTACTGGCTATTTAGTTTATTAGTTGATAATTTATCGCTCATCGCAAGGTTGTTAGACAATGTGAAATTTCGGTAAAGTCATAAGTTTTGTGAAAATCCCGGGATCACTCTATTTTAAATGCGTATATTATTGAAATAGACTTGGGGAAAATGCATTTAGTTACTGGTTTTCCAGTGACATAAGAAATTGAAGAAAAATAGAACTTCCATTGATTAAAGGTATGGCCGCCTGTTTGAGGCTCAGTTTTAAGTTTTTATCCCCCTAGACAAACTAAAAGCGTAAATAGACGTTGTCAGCTGACGTACTGTTCTTGACATTGCTACTGAAATAGGAACAATATATGGAAAGGTGGGCGTATTCTGAAATATGAGTGAAAAATGAAGATAAGTTGGTGCGAGATGATACCCAGGCTTTTCTTGAGAAAAAAAGGAGAAAATGACAGCATTTTGTATAGAATTACGTGTTCGAATAGGACATTAGGGTAAGATGCTTCTATAACGTGACGTGTCATACCTAACTTGACGTTACGTCGAAGTCTCCCCAGCGTTTCACAACTTTCCATTTTCAGAAAGCTCGTGTTACCTAATAGGTAATTGGAACGTGGTGAAATTTTCCAGTATTGTTGCATTATGACTGTATTTTATAGATATGCCTATTGTTTGCTTTTATCAAGTCACGATAAATGTTTAGAAAGAAATTCCACGAACTTTTGGATCAACCCTCGTATATAGCTACATAAATACAGGAAATTGACGATAGAAGAGTGAAAGTTTTTAGGTAACCATTAACATCATTCAGACTCTGTATCATCTTATTATTCAAGTTCACTGGATATTTTGAGTCCACTTATGAATGAAAGTAACAATTGTTAATAGATAATATGTCATCAATATTTCTAAATATCAAGCTGACCCCCGCCCTTTTGTGAATTCAGAGACCCTTAGAGTGGGGCCATAATATGGGGTCACAATTTTCCATGGATAACTAAATAAAAATCGTGTTTGAAATCTGAAGAACAGCAGAGCTTAAGTTACTCAGGTGAGTAGTTCGGACCACGGGTCTCTTGATATTATTACAAAAAATCATTATATTTTTATCCTGTCTTCAGGTTGTACAGTTATTATTGGGAGGAATTGTCCAGTTTTTTGTTTTCTGTCTACCATTAAGGCCAATGTTGGCGGATTTTTTCCGTACATTTTCCAGATATTCAAATTCTTAGCTGTTCAAAAAACTAAGAGCATACATTCAATACTTTATTTCTTATAAAACATTTTTATGACTCCATCTTTAAGATATCGTTTGATCATAATGTTACAGAAAACCTATTATTACGAAGTACTTCTACCTATCAGTTGGAAAATTGTTAAAATGAAATAAATAGAGATAACAAACAATATTCAAGCTTAAAAATCCATTCAAACAAAACAAATCATGAGTAAACACGGACTTCTAATACTTTTGATTGTTAAAAGAACTAAAGAGCTGGTAAAAAATCGTCACGCGTTTTCATGTTTAATAGAACCCAGAAGCCGGGGAGAAAAGTAACGTTTTGATGTTTTAAAGAACCCAAAAGGGCTGGAAAGAGAAGTAACACATTTTCATGGTAAAGGGAACCAAAAAGCGGAAGAAAAGTAACGTTTTCATGGTTAAAAGAACTCAATGCCGGGGAGAAAAACAACATGTTTTCATGGTTAAAAGAACCCAAAAGCTGGGAAGAAAAGTAACACATACGTTTTGATGGTTTAAAGAACCTAAAGGCTGGGAATTGAATGATTGAATGTTGTTGAAGGTTCTTCTCGAGAATTTTTCACTCATATAGAGACGTTACCACTTGCCGGTGGAGATCTGCAAATTTTGTCCTATATTCGGCACTGAGGGTCATTGAGCAGTGAGGGTTGATTTTCGTGCCAGCACCTACTGCGACACGGGACCTCGGTTTATACGGTCTTATACAAAGGACCGGTCTCCACGTCCCACAGTGGGATTCGAACCTGGCGACGTAAGGATTGACTCTTTACTTCGCGACACTACATCTGCGCCTTGCAGGCGACCAAAAGCCGAGAGAAAAGTAACACGTTTTCATGTCTAAAACAACCAAGATGGAAAATAAAAGTAGCAAAGCCAGGGAGAAAAGTGACATGTTTTCATGGTTAAAAGCACCCACAAGCCGGGGAGAAAAGTAACACGTTTTCATGGTTAAAAGAATCAAATAGCCGGAGAGAAAAGTAGCACGTTTTCATGCTTAAAAGTAGAAAAGCAGCCGCAGAACTGTAGCTCTCTACTTGAGAAAATGCGGACAGATGAAGCAGAGAGCTACAGTTCCATGTAGGGATGTCAACGAGTACCCGGTTAACCGGGTACTCGATCGAACGTCCGAGTATCGAATACTAAAATCGGTACTCGGTTACTCGGATGTATATTTTTAAATATTTCTAAGCTTATTTATTAATGCAATAAAACATCGGTTTTAAAACGTAAAATGTTCATTGCACTTGTACATACAGTAATTAGGGTTTCCTATGCCTCTAAATGACCGTTATCGCATGTGGCAGTGTTTATACAGTAATTATCGTGACCAAACACCTGATGTACCTACCCAGGCTTTTCTCACCTTCGACTGTCGTCTTCCCTTATATTTAGTTTGCCTTAATTATTTGTTTTGATTGAACATCGTTTAAGGTCCATTATATTTAAACAAATTAAATAATTTTGTCAATTCTCCAAGAAGCCGTAAATTCTCGGGAAAGAGACAGACGATATTGCACGTGCGATTGTTGATTTGGATGCATTTGATTACATGCCAATTAATGCAAATGCTTTAAAAATCTTATGCCCATCGTTGCTCTAAACTACAACATACCGTATCGTAATTCTATGAAATTTAGGATCAAAGAGTGTACGAAGATCGTATAAATCCGCTCTGTTATAGGATAACTTGATCAAGTTTATACCGTACATATAGCTCAGACAACTTATCACTTGGACATCAAACGCACGAAAGAGTTACATTACAATTACGGAACAGATTATTTTTAAAACAAAAACACTGTGAACCATTTCTGATTTTATTTCTCGTATTTATCTGATAAATAAATTGAATTTAAAAAAATGTTAGATTAAATTTCGTCGGTTACAAAGTGGTCATAATTGTTACAACGCATTTGCAGGTAACCTCCCATCGGTTTTATTTCTACAAGAGTTTACAATGTTTTACAGTTATCAATTAACTTGTTCATATTTATTTACACTTTTACCGAGTACCCGGGTACTCGATCGGAAAAACGTCCGAGTAACCGAGTATCGATAATTGACCGATTTGACATCCCTAGTTCCATGTGTTGTAAAAACCTTCGATTTACGCCGACGAATTTTCTTCGCTCATATCAGGTATTATTTTTATATTTTATGTTTTCCCAAGCTTTATAAATGATTTCCAACAATTAACCTTACATTTATCTTCTATTCCTTAATGTTTATTTACCTTTCAACTGTTCAAGAAGGGTCGTTTGTGGATGTGGTCAAAGAAATGGGAATCTTTTAAACCGACATTACAAAACCATAAAAGACTGTTTCGGACCGTTGAAAGGTATATAAAGTATCAATGATTGGGGTAAAATATATTATTAATTATCGGATACCATTCCAAGAGCGAAGGAAAGCATCAACTACAATAAATAATACCTGAAGTGAACGACGAAAAATCGTCGTCGTAAATCGAAGTTTTTTAAAACGCATGGAATTGTAACTCTCTCCTTTATCTACTCGAATTTTCTCAAGCAGAGAGCTACAGTTCTCTGTACAGTTCTCTCTACCGTTCTGCAGCTAGGAGAAAAGTAACATATTTTGAGCCCAAAAGCTGGGGAGAAACATGTCAGAGGGTTAAAAGAAGCCAAAAGCTGAAAAGAAAAGTAACATGTTTTTATGGTTAAAAGAACCAAAGACCCATTGAGAAAAGTAACACGTTTTCATGGTTAAGAGAATCAAAAAGCCGAGGAGAGAAGTAACATGTTTTGACGTTTAAAGAGCCCAAAAGCTGAGAGAAACATATTAGAGGGTTAAAAGAAGCCAAAAGTTGAGAAGAAAAGTAACATAGTTTCATGATTAAAAGAACCTAAGAGCCGTTGAGAAAAGTAACATATTTTCATGGTTAAAAGAACCCAAAAGCCGGGGTGAAAAGTAACACGTTTTGATGTTTAAAAGAATCCCAAAGCTGGGAAGAAAAGTAACATTTGGTGTTTAAAAGACCACAAAAGCTGGGAAGAAAATAACCATGCAGTTTGAAATTTTAAAGAACCTAAAAGGGCTGGAAAGAAAATCAACACGTTTTCATGGCTAAAAGAACCCCAAAAATGGGTAGAAAAGTAACATATTTCATGGTTAAAAGAACCCAAAAGCTGGGAGGAAAGTAACATGTTTTCATGGTTAAAAGAATCCAAAAGCTTGGAAGAAAAGTAACGTTTTCATGGTTAAAAGAACCCAATGGGCGGGGGGGGGGGGGGGGGGGGGAAGAAACATGTTCATGGCTAAAAGAACCCAAAAGCTGGGAAGAAAAGTAAAATGTTTTCATGGTTAAAAGAACCCAAAAGGGCCTGGAAGAAAAGTAACACGTTTTCATGGTTAAAAGAACCCAAAAGCTTGGAAGAAAAGTAAAATGTTTTCATGGTTAAAAGAACCAAAAGCCGGGGAGAAGAGTGACATGTTTTCATGGTTAAAAGAACCCAAAAGCTGGGAAGAAAAGTAAAATGTTTTCATGGTTAAAAGAACCCAAAAGGGCCTGGAAGAAAAGTAACACGTTTTCCCCCCCCCCCCCCCAAAAGCTTGGAAGAAAAGTAAAATGTTTTCATGGTTAAAAGAACCCAAAAGCTTGGATGGTTAAAAGAACCAAAAAGCTTGGAGGAAAAGTAACACGTTTTAATGGTTAAACGAACCAAAAAGCTTGGAAGAAAAATAACAGGTTTTCATGGTTAAAAGAACCCAAAAGGGCTTGGAAGAAAAGTAGAACAAAAGTATACGTTTTGATGTTTAAAAGAACCCAAAAGTAATTTTTTTTCTAGGTTAAAAGGCCGGGGGGAAAAGTACAACGTTTTCTTGGTTAAAAGAACCAAAAGCCGGGGAGAAAAGTAACACGTATGTTTTGATGGTTAAAAGAACCCAAAAGCCGGGTATTGATTGTTTGATTGAATGTTGTTTAACGTCCGTCTCGAGAATTTTTCACTCATATTGAGACGCCACCACTTGCCGAGGGAACAACAAATTTTGTCCTATACTCGGCACGGAGGGTCATTGAGTAGTGAGGAATCTTTTTCGTATCAGCACCTACTGCGACACGGCCGGGACCTCGGTTTATACGGTTAAAAGAACCGCTCCCCAGTTCCACAGTGGGATTTGAAAACGTAAGGATTGACTCCTTACTCCGTAACTCTACATCTGCGCCACACGGGCGACCAAACGCCGGGGAGAAAAGTAACACGTTTTGATGTTTAAAAGAACCCAAAAGCCGGTGAGAAAAGGAACATTTTTCATGGTTAAAAGAACCCAAGAGAGAAAAGAAAAGTAACATGTTTTATGTTTAAAAGAACCAAAAGACCTGGGAATAAAAGTAACATGTTTTGATGTTTAAAAGAACCAAAAGCCGGGGAGAAAAGTAACACGTTATAATGTTTAGAAGAACCCCAAAACCGGGGAGAAAAGTAACACGTTTTCATTGTTAATAGAACCCAAGAGCTGGGGAGAAAAGTAATAAGTTTTAATGGTTAAAGGAACCCAAAAGCTGGGGGAAAAAGTAACATGTTTTCATGGTTAAAAAACCCAAGAGCTGGGGAGAAAAGTATCATGTTTTGATGTTTAAAAAAAACCCAAAAGCTGGGAAGAAAAATAACATGTTTTGATGTAAAAAGAACCCAAAAGCTGGGGAGAAAAGTAACATGTTTTCATGGTTAAAAGAACCCAAGAGCTGGGGAGAAATGTAACATGTTTTGATGTAAACAGAACCCAAGAGCTGGGGAGAAAAGTAACGTTTTGATGGTTAAAGGAAACCAAAAGCTGGGGAGAAAAGTAACATGTTTTCATGGTTAAAAGAACCCAAAAGCCAAATTACTATGTTTTCATGAATAAAAGAACCCCAAAACTTAGAAGAAAAGTAACATGTTTTCATAGTTAAAAGGACCAAAAGTGCTTGGAAAAAAGTAACACTTTTTAATAGTTAAAAGGACCCAAAAATTGGAGAAAAAAGTAACATCTTTTAATGGTTAAAAGAAAACCCAAAAGCTGGGGAAAAAATAATGCGTTTTCTTGGTTAAAAGAACCCAAAGCTTGGAAGAAAAGTAACATGTTTTCATGGTTAAAAGAACCCAAAAGCCGAGAAGAAAAGGAACACGTTTTCATGGTTAAAAAAACCCCAAAAGCTTGGAGGAAAAGTAACACGTTTTCAAAGTAAGAAAAACATAAGGAACGGGAAGAAAAGTAATAAGTTATCATGGTTAAAAGAACCCAAAAACTGGGAAGAAACGTAACACGTTTTCATGGTTAAACCCCCCCCCCTAAAACTGGGGACACGTTTTCATGGTTAAAAGAACCCAAAGGTCGGGGAGAAAAGTAAAATAAGTTTAAAAAGAAGCAAGTTCAGCACTGATTTTTTTTCAGAAATATCTTGCTTTGATTTAAAAAAAAAGTATTCGAATGGAAAATGTCAGGAAAGAGAGAATCAATATTTTTTTGTTAAAGTCTTTCCAGGCTGTTTATAAGAATTCAAGGATGAAAATAATTTATTAACCTACGAGGGGCCATAGCTAAGAAGTTGAAAGAATAAAATGGTACGGGAATGTTAGAAAGGGTGGACTAGGATAAAAGAAACAGTAAGGTCTTTCTCATATATTTATTTTCATAACTGCATATTTTGACATTTCATAAGTTTATGGAATTGCAAAACATATGATTTGTTTTAATAAAACAATGATGCACATAATGTTAACACTCTCATAAAAGAAATATCTCTCTTACTTCGTAAACATTTACTAATATAACTTTGTTTTATTCAAAATATAGCATTCTATTTATCTACTTACTAGAAGAAAAGTTTTATCTCCACCTAAATGATAACTATAGGAGAAAATCAGTACAATGTGTAATTTAAATAGGTATGTATTCTTTTAAAATGGCATCAATAACGTTTGTGTTATTTCTCAAATGTGCACATGAAATACACTTAAATCACATTATTACTTTGAGACATTAAATACATGTAGCCAAAAATAAAATTATAAGGAAAAACGAAGACAGATAAACATGTATACCAGTATATAGATTACAGGCAAGAAGTTCGCTTTAGCAATATCAGCATTTAACAATAATAATAACAAGCTCATTTAGAATTTGGTTTCCTCTCTGTTCCCACGAGTTAATTTCGGATGGGTGTTACCCACAGTAACAGAGCATACGTAGGTTCCGTCCGTCAGTCCGTCCAGTTTTGGTCGATCGTGAGTGGTGGTTTCTATATTGCTGTATGTCCCTGTATCAGATTTTGTCAGTGGAGTATGATTACCTACCACATTGTCAATCACCGAGTCTGCGCGATCACACAGAGGGTGTCCATGGGTGGAGCTTATGTCAGACAGCGTATCCTCTCGGTCACTTATTGAATGACACCGATTGATACATGAATGCCTCTCCTTCCTGTTTCTGAGTGTGGGTGAAGGAGAAGGATTTTCATCGGGAGATACTAGTTCTTCATTTTCCTCGATGATTTTGTTTTGGAGAATGAAGTTTTGATCCGTCACTGACGGGGTTAAAAGTCCTGCATTTGATGATAGGTTGAGATAACTTGATGAGGTGCTCCCCGAGTGGTTGGATTCACTGCTTGAGTGGGCGGGATCAGCACTGATTGATCGCTGGATGGCGGTTCGTGGCTCTGAGTTAGTAGCGGAATTTGTGGCCTGGTACTCCATTGAAAGTGACCTGAGTGGTCTCCCCTCCAACAGTCCGGGGGTAGAAGCACGAGCTCCCGAAAATAGCGCCCTCTCCCTGTACAAATGCAAAGAATTTAGTTAAAGAGTATATCCTTTTTTGCATAATGATGAAATTGAATGTTGCTTACACTAGTTATTGGAAAATTTTAATTTACGTTAAGTATAATTTTGCTCTCTAATAAAATCAGCTTAAAAAATTAATATTAACAATAAATTAAGAATAAACGATCATCTGAGATAAAGTTTAGTTACAAATCAGAAGTAAATAAAATATACAACATGAAGAAATACAAATATTTTAATTCATGCGGGCAAAGTAACAAATGTGCAATTTTACATATACCTTTCCAACCACAGCATGCTGTTACAAACAATACAGAGGACGGTATCAAAATAAATAAATGAGTTTGATAATATAGTGAAATATTATAAAATATACATCCACTGATCATTCTTGTTGTATGACGTAAATCCTTTTAGTCTTTGAAAGATACTATTCCATCACAGTCTTACTTTAGTACTGAAATACATTTTCTTCAAATTATTTTTTATAGTATTACAGAGATAACCTAGCTTGTACCTTTCTATCCCTAGTTCTCTGTACTTACCGGTTAGCCTCCCCTGGTTTGAACTGAACATGACCTTTCTGTTCATCCGTTGTAGCTTTGTTTTTACTTGAGAGAATTCCTAAGCTCTTAGCCTGCTGGATTTTCTGTAATAATTAGTGTGTTAGTAGGTTAACCCTTCCATTATTAGCTATATAGTCAACAAAACATTACAGTAGTTAAAAACAATCATTAGATACTAGTAATTGAAAGCAACTATTAGACAATCAATTTTATGCACATTGATATATCAGACGTTTTTTTGTGAAATATGATGTACGTGCAGATACGTTTCAGGTCGTTTATTTAAATGAGTGCTTTTTTATTAGTGTAGACACATTAGAACACAATGACGACATCGAGAGCCAAAAGTCATCACAGACCCCCAGTATTACACGAAGCATTGAGCGAACACAGCTAGAGGTAAATCCATACCTGTTCTTTCTACTATTCTTTTTTAAAGACTCCTAAGTAAACGATATATGAAAACTGTTAGAAATAATAAAACTCCAATATATAGTAAAAAACAAAACAAAGTAAAACACAGCCTTTTAAATCTTAGTAAGAAACGTTAATAACTACGTCTGTTGTAATCTATAACAATACTGTAGTGTTGACGTTGCAAATATGTGTTTTATTTCTCTACTAGTCTAAGAATATGCAAGCCAATTAGTCTATAAACTGATACACTCTACCGTTATACAAAAAGAGAAAATTGAAAGTGCACGTGCAATTAAGGGAGAATGGTTTACGTTTGAATTAATTTCAGGATGGACAAGTATAAAATACAAACAAACCAAGCAAAATATCAACAACAAAACACTGAAAAACCAATATAAAACAGAATTTAAGAAAAAAAATGAGGGGAAAAAACCTCAGCTGTCCGTATCTTCTACAATAATCATATACTAATACTCAGCTCTCAGTTATACCAACAAGTTCCATTAATTATTAGCTCACAGATGTTGCTCAATTCAAAATTACTCTAACAAATCTTGAATAGTCTGGATCACGTTATGATCGTTACTTTAAAAGCAAACCACTTCATTTCTTTTACACTTAAATGTGCTGCTCATAAGAAAGAGTTTATATAGAACTGAAAGCGTCGAAAAAACTAGCACGTACTATGCTATTTATTTCGAAAGTAATTTATTCAATATTGCTAAGGAAATTTATGAAATAATTATGAAAGAATCTAATACAAAAACAGCAATTTATATACCTGCAGTTGTTCATTAACCTGGAATAGTTTCATATGTTATTTGATAAAAAAAATTAAATTCTAAAATAAATGTTTTATTAACTATACTGAAAAAAAAGAAAAGAAACATTTAAGTGGATACTACGAAACATACAGTCATTCTGAAATACAAAAAACAAAACGTCAACAAAAAGGTTACAAACACGTCGTATTATCGTAACAGTTAGGGAAAACGGAATACCAAGGTCAATTCATACTCAACAGCTACAAACAGGGGAATACACACACAGACATCATTCAACTCCCTCCTCCCCCTCTTCTTCCTCTAGAATCGTGGCGTGATCTGGTGAAGAAGACATGGTATGCCTTCGCTCTCTCTGCTTAGTCTCAGAGGAAGAAGAGGATGTCAGCTGGTTTGGGGTGACACAAGGACAAGATTTTAATCGGGAACGGGAGAAGCCAGAGAAGGCAGGGTGGGGTTTAATTACCTTCCACTTTGACATGACTTTGTTTCGATGGCTGGAGGCATGCTTCAGACACAGTTGACTGATGGACCGGACAAAGGCACCATGGCCATGTTTAGAATCGTGACCAGACACGTGCTGGGAGTGGGTAGGCTGGCCCATCTCTGTTGGAACTATCAGCAGTACTGTCTTAGGTCCTTTCTGTGGCTACAAAGACACAAAACAGCTGAGTTAAAGGGTTGTAATCTTTTGGAGATATGTATGTATATCTTGTTTCTTGAAAAAAGAATAGACAGAAGTATGAGTTTTGCTGCTTATTTAAGTACCTGGAGTTCTAATTTCAGGACAGTCCAAGGAATGTAACAAGGAGCAGAAAACACTTCTTTAGTAAAGACATTCTGGGCATAACCTGTAGGAAAGAGGTGGGATACAAAACACTAACACAAGTCATAAATCCACTGTAGAGGATGAAAAGCATTAGATGTATCAACTTTACATGTAGGGAGGATTAACATCATCCAGCATCCCCTTTGAGCTTACCATTGATAAGAACAACATCACTCATGCCAGAGTCCACCGTGAAGACATCGATGTCATCCGAGTCTAACAAGTAAGAGTTCTCCAGCTGCAACTTTATCTTTTCCTTTGTCCAACCCTGAAAAAATCAAGAAAAACGTAATTCAGATAACTTGATCGATATAATTTCCAGAACATTTGTTCCTTTCCTTCTTTCTTCTTCTAGCAGACACTGAGTGTACAGACCTGGTATGCGGGTTGTTTCATCAGTATAGACGTGGCGATCCTGTTGGCACACACATGCCACAGCCTGTACTCCAGTGATGGCTCGCTGTCCTGGAACTCCTCCATGGCTTTCTCCATGTCATCTCCACTGATAAACAGCACCTGGAAAAATTAACAGCAGAAGAAAATAAGCACCACTTGGGAAATGAACACAAACAATTACCAGAGGAAAACAAAGTCATGCAGCATATCAAAAGTAACCAGTTTATTGTAAATTCTGTATATTAGCATACCTGGACAGCTGTTTCACAGGTTACAGTTGCTGATCGAGGTCTCTTTGTTAGCAGACCCATCTCTCCAATGATATTTCCAGAGGTCAAAAAGTCAATTAGATTGGCCTTGACCTGAAGTTCTGAGCCACTGGGTTTACCCTCGTAAATGATGGGTTTTCCTGGCTGAATGGTGGATTCCAACTGTAGAAAGCAAGATTATCTAACTGAAGTTTTCAGTTCACAATGAATTTTCCAAGACCAACAGGACAACAGGAGATGTTTACGCCTCCATGGCACCTTATCCCAATTTTGATAATTTCCTGTGCTACTGATTTGTTTTGCTTAAATGGACATTTGAGCTTGATTTCGGATCACCAAATTCACCAAGAATATAATGGTATATGATGAACAGTATGTCATCATTTCGTAAGTTCTATGGTCAATATAATGACCTTGTCAGAAAATACAATTTATCATTGAGTCAAATGCTGACTGACGTTTTTCATACTAATTGTTATTCCATTAAAATTTTATACTGAATTGATGACGGATTTTTCCGTTATTTCCTGATCATGACAAGGAGCACACGGCGGGTGTGACCGGTCAGCAGGGAATGCTCACTCCTCCATGGCACCTGATCCTACCCCTTATGTTTCGCAAGTCTGTTTGCTCTGCTCCTTTTTTGTATTGTTTTATGGACTTTGAGATTGAATACTGTTCATTATCTCCATGTCCTTCATGTATGCAAGTCCATTCAAACAATATAAATGTGGAGCAGAGGAAACATGGACCTCCGAATTATCAGAGGTGGGAGCAGGTGCCTTGGAGCAGTGAGCATCCCCTGCCGAGTGTGTAGTCCTTGTCGTGATCGGGAAAAACAGAAATAAATCTGTAGACAATTCCGTGTATAAATAATGGCCTAACAATTAGCATAAAATTTCCATTGACCATTTGTAACAGTATTCAAGGTCAAAAGTGCATAAAACAATACAAAATAGGAGCAGAGCAAACACGGATCTCCAATACATCAGAGATGATCAGGTGCCATGGAGGATTGAGAATCCCCTGTAGACCGATCACATTTGACATGTGCTTCTTGACATGATTTGGAAATAAAGGAAAATCTGTCTACAATTCAGTTTATAAATAATGGTCTAACAATTAGTATGAAAAACGTCAGTCAGCATTTGACTCAATTGTTGACAAGGTCATTGTATCGACCATAGAACTTACAAAATGATGACTTTAAACGACACTGCTGATATTCTTAAATGTTTCATCAACTTCAAACTAATTCTTAAGCCGTTTTTATACTAAATTTAACATCGGGAATTTCCGTATAGCTGATAAAATGTTCATGGTGGGTGTGACTGGTCAACAAGGGATGTTTGCTTCTATCCTAACAAAAAAGTACTATACATGTAGTTAACTATAGTTAATCAAAGTTTTCACTGTAGTATATCAAAATATTTTTGGTATGAATCTCAAATAGATGTTATTTTATTTTATATACCCCCTACAGGTAATTTTCTGATAGTAAAATGAACTATGTCTTATAATTATATTTTTTACATATATTTTATCATTATATCACATATAATTATATATTGTAATGTTATTCAATATATATACTAGTATATTAAGGTCTTCAAAAAAGTTGTCAAGTTTCATAATAAATCAGAGTATCAAAGTATTCACTGTATAGTAAACTATAATTAACTAGAGTAATTTTGATGGGGTAGGCACCTGCGATCCCACCTCTGAATTTCCAAAAAAAAGATTTGTAGATTTTTTTCTCAAGATTGACCATTGTTTGTTATCTTTCTTTTTGTTTACTTGTTAGAAAATGAAATATTAGCAAAGAAGTTTGGTACTTCAGAATATTTAGTTTCTAATATTGAAAACAAAGAGATAGTCTTCAAAAATCCGCAATTAAACCTATTTTTTCTTAAAAAAAAAAAAAAAAATTGTGATTTCGTGTAGTACATTTTTGCATGTTTTTTTTTTCATGAGTTTACTACCTATAGATATATATACTATAATAACAAATCGAAAGTTTCTTTCTAATCAATCTGTCATATTGAGTAAATTAAGTTTCTGTAAAATTAAGGTAAAAAAACGTAATTTTTGAACGGCCCTCATAGTTCTTTTACTGCAAATATAAACAAAAGAAGTTTATAAATGATCTTTTTTTCTGTCCTTGAAATAGTAAATGACAATTTTGCAACATAATATTAGTATTTTGACACTAATTAAAGTGCAGCTCATATTGCTATAATATGCACTGTACTCTCCGTATGGATTGAATTTAAATCTAGGTCACAGTTATTGTCAACACACGTTAAAATGGCGACCAGTGATAAAAACTATACAGATAGTCCTCAAGAGGAAACAAAACTATGTGACAAACACGGTGACCCTGTCGATATTTTCTGCGTGGATTGTGATGAATTCCTGTGTTCTACTTGTACTAAAGCAGATCACAGAGTTCACGACTGGGACACTGTGTCCAACATAGCAAACCAGAGGAGGAGAGGTCTACCCGCATACCTCAGGAGCATAAAGCGAGAGGTGATACCAGGGATTGATGAGAGGATCTCAATGCAGATCAGAAGCAATGAGAACGAGTGTAACTCGGGGATGGAAATGATTCAGAAGAGTTATGAGGAGATCATAGAGAGACTGATGGAAATCAAGAAACGCCAGGAACAAGCCATAAGGGACAATTTGACGAAAAAGAACGAACAAGTGAACCGTGTGGTGGCAGAATTATGTGAGAAGAGAAAACAGTTAGGTGACAAAGTGCAGTTTGCTGAAGATATGTGTACAGACAATGTAACTGAGGAAGATTTGAGTGATACCGAGAAAGAACTGACTGGACTTTTGTGTGACTTGGACGTTGATGTGAAAGACTGCAATCATTCAGTGAGATTTGAGGGTGGTGAAATCAGAGACGATGTTTTGGAATCTATGCTGGGACAATTGTCCAATAGACAGGAAACATAGATACCTTAATGGAACCAAAGTTCACGTTCTTTCTAGCATAAAGTGTGGCAGAAATACTTTATATATTGTGTGATTATGTTTGTGATATTATTTTTCAAAAGAATGGATATTAATGTATAATACAGTTGGTGTATATTTTTTATATAAGAAAATTATATGTTGTTCCTTCAATATCTTTACTAGTGATATGCAATAATGTCATTTTTTTTCAATTTTGATTTGTCAGTCAATGCAAATTTACAGAAGTATTGTGGACACCAAAAACTACATTTAAATGACATTGTCATATTTTCAATTTTGTTTCACATTTAAAAGACATTTGTCCTATTCTTGAGCTTTCCCTACAACTATCAGGTTGAGTTCTATTAATCGTTTGACTTCTGTCAATGTATCTCAGTTGGGTTTTTTTTCTTTTTCAGTAAATAGATACTACTTTTCTACTGAGGGGCAATCTGATAATATGGATTTTACCCCTCCATATGACGCATGTTAAATATATATGACTCCAGTGTTAACTATGATTTGACCATGTTTCAACTTTTATTTTATACAATCCTCATAACATTCATAATTATTATAACACACAATTTAAACAAAATGTGAACTGTTTGTCTACTTCTGGTAATCTTGATCCACCCAAGTTGTCAACCATCATGAAGCACACACTTGTAATGGAGGGAGTGTAACCATTTTTCCTCTGTTTAATGCCACTGTCTCCATGTTAAAAACTTCATACACTCAGTCTCTGATATGTCTTGAATTTCCATTACAAAATTAGTACACATGATGTTCCCTTATTCTTTATATTACACTATTTGAATTTAAGAAGCTGATAGATTTTAAACAAGAGTTATAGGCTATAATTTCTTGATGTGTCTTTGACATGAATCAAACATACTAAGTAAAGGTATACTAAGTAAAATCTAGTGATATGAAAATAATTTCAGTGAGGGTCCTGCAAACTATTAAACAAGTGTAGAGGGCAAATTTTCAAAGAAAAGATCATTTAAAAAAATCCAAAATCAACTGACCTACTAAAGAGCTAAAGATTTGAAGAAAAAAAAAAGTTTTTAAATAGAAAATTGCAAAGTAGATGTGAAGCACTAAACTATTCAAAAAGAAAAAGAAATTGCAAACTACAAGGATGTGCAAAATAGGGGATTGAAAATTCATACATTTAACTTATAAGGATCAAAAGTAGGTAGGTAATATTCTATAAATTATAATGTGGGCTGCTACACCACTACATAAAGCAGCATACAGACCTTGAATGTGAATTCACATTGTATAGCTTTAGTGATCTGTAAGTGTTTACAAATGATTTTTTTCATGGTTACTGTAAATGTATTATATTTAGGGTGTACGATATTTGGCGGAAATTGAATTTTCAACAAGATGGCGTAAATTGGATTTAGCGCTTTTTGAATGTGCGTTACATAAACCTTTATACACAAAGCATTTAGCGATGTACTTAATTTAGCAGAGGCTGCTTTCCGCGAAGGCGCTAAAAAGAATACACAGCCAAATGTAATACGTTTACAGTATATTCACAGACTTTGCTGGTAGCTGAGGGGATTTTTAGTCAAAATACTATTATAATCAGTTGCCTACTGGTATATAATGTAGGAATGATGATTAAATAGTAATGAACTAATTATTTACTCAAAAAGAATATGACTTTGAAATTTTCCGATTGGTAAACTCTTATATTTGAAAATAATTCATTTTGACTTCATTATTTCAGTGATGTAATGAATAAAATACATTTTTTCTATAGAATATTTTGAATATTTGTAATAAACATAAAACATAAAACACATTCAGCAGCATTTATTTGGTTATTCTGAATATTCAACAATATTTATATCTCAATGCAAAAATGAATAATTTCATTTTCAAATGTATACCGGTAGATGCATTCTAATTTTGATATAAAGTCTACAGAATACTATATACGTCAGCATTTGGGTCCATTTGGGTAAATGGACATACCAAATTATTGTAAATACACTGTATGGGGATTTTGAGTAGAATGTTATTTGTATATTTTAATTAGGCTTGGATATTTGGAGGTGTATATAAGTATTGTAAGTGGATTTTTAGTTAACATTTTATGATCAGTTTCAATATAAGTTGGCTTGGGGAATTTAAACAAACATATCTGTTATGATTGGTTTAATTATATTAAAGTAGGGTTGTGTATTTTGAGTTAAGATGTGATTTGAATACTACATGTAGTATTGTAAGCTTGAGGATTTTAAATTAACAAATTATGATTAAAATATGCTATTGGGCTTGGAGATTTTTAGTTAACAAGTTGTGATCAGTTTATTAGAAATCTTTGGGATTTTGAGTTAACAGGTAGGCAATGTAATTTTGTGTTAACATATTATGAATTTGAAGTATAGGGCAATCTGAAGATTTTGGGGATTTTGAGTTAGGACTGGGGACTTTATACTGGTAGATTGCTAGACTTACCCTGACCATCCCTGACACTATGATGTAGATTCCTCCTGGCGGGTCTCCCTCATGGATTATCACATCCTCATAGTTATAGCTGATCAGCTTGGCCTGATTCTGTTAAATATATATTGTATATTAATATAATAACAGAGTCAGCAGACTTAATGTATTAAAAATTGTTTTGGTTTTTTTATAACAACTAATTTGGAATTTTTTACTCAAATAGAGTAGATTTCTGGAATGTGGTTAAAATAAAGAAAGACCTGGAAAAATAACCAAAGAAGATTACCATTACTTTTTTCAGTCATTGCAAATAGATCAACCACAATGTCAATATAGAAAACTTAAGTCACAAAATTAACAACAGTTTGATCTTCAAATTAAACAATGGTTAACACTTTCACATTTTTGCCCGATCTCTAATAGATATACAATGTTTGTCAATATAATTGAGTCAAAAGATTTTTCCCAATAATAGTAAAATAGATAGCGTACCTTGATGTAGCCAATGAGTTTGTCATCGTTACGAAGCCAGAAGACGTGCTTTAACATGTAGTCAGGAGGTGGCAGGGGGAGACTGGGCGGGAAACTTAACAATCTCTTCATCTTCTCCTCTATCATCTACAACAAACAAGTTACTGGTCATCATTCCACTTTTTTTCATCATCTTAATATTGTTGAAGCTTTAAAAAAGGGTTGTTGCTGACATGCTGAATTAAGACAATTATGTTGACCTTTTTTATTAGTTTGGTTCCCTCACCTTTCTAGTTTGGTTCCCTCACCTTTTCTAGTTTGGTTCCCTCTGCCTCCTCCAGGATTCCGTCCATCAGTAGTTCATGGACCCCGTCCCTCAGGTTGTTAAGGACACTGCGGATGGCCTGCCGGGTCTTGATGGACAGAGCAATGTCTGGATGCTGCTTCTGTAACATCCCTGTGAATATAAAATGTTTTAATGCCTCAACATGTGATTTGTACAACATTGTGAGAACAAATTTTATAACCAGACAAGTCCATAACCTTTTACTTAAAGGAGGATGTAAACCACATCTAAAACTCAATCTTCCCATATTTTTTGGAAACAGTTCTACGTGATTTCTGGTTACTTGTTATTTACTTTGAGTACGATAAATCCCGATACTGACCGAGGCACCTGATGACATCCAGTCTCCCGTTGTCACTGGACTGTTTAAGGTTCTTGGCAATGTCCTTCTGATCCACCATGTGGTCAATCAGCTTCCTGACCTCCTCCTCCCCCGCCACATATCCCCTCCCCACGTCGTAACCGTAACTCAGATGTTTACTGATCTGTCGCTTCAGAAGCTTCACCACCAGCGGCATCAGGGGCTAGAAATAAAATATATTCTGACTCTAAGATTGAACATATACCACCTATTGATACTTAATCTTCCTACACAATGAAGTTGGAAGGGATAATATTAAAGTGGGTGTGTTGGGAGAAGGTGGGTGAGTTGGTGTGAATAAACGAAGTTATGCAAGAAATAGTTTATATCAGGATAGTGCTCCTTTGCAAGGGTATGCTCTGTATAGTTGCTTACTTGTTTGTTTTGGCATTAATTCTTTACTGATTCAATTGTTTATACCCACCTCTAGCAGTCTGAAGAGTCTGATGATTCTGAGGAGCATGAAGATGACGATGACCACCGTCACAGCTTTCCTATCGTCAGCGTACACTGCCGGGAGGGTGAAACCCACAATTATATCCACAATACCGATAGAGATGATTGCCAGACACAGATTGTTCCAGCCATGCCTGATGTACTCCTGTCTCTGCACAAGCACCTGTTATAGTATATATTAGAATACAATTGTTCAAAAGAAATCAAAATGATTTAATTCAGCTTTGACATCATTTGATAGTTAAGCATACCAATACAAGTACCTGTTACAGATACATAATAACAATTGTTGAAATAAAATCCACATGAATTAATCTTTGACAACAATAGATGTAAATGTGGAAAATAAGATCAGTGCAGTGTTTTTCACCTTTGCGACACACTCCATGATGTATAACGCTACAAACATGACATTGAGGCTGCGGAAGATGTTGCGTTTATCCTTCCACGCAGTGTGGTACTGACAGACGATGGAGAACGCCACGTTAACCATGTCAATGACAATGATGGAGACCATGGTGATGTAGAAAGCCTGGTGCTGCGTGATGGAATACAAATGGCGGAGAATCGAAGACTTAGGGCTGGGAATGTCTACTCCACCTATCAACTTGATGACGTAGCTTTTCTGAAATTTATAAACAGATTATTAGTACATGTATCATATATATTTCCATTATGTGTAAAGTATATACCATACACATAAGAAGATTCTGTGTACTTACTAAATTTTCATAAAACTTTGGTACATCCCAGCTTTTCTTAATTTCATCAACATCGATGAATCTGAAATAAGAATTGGAATGACAGGTTAGAATTGTTTTCTCCAGGATGTAGTAATGTCTTCATCACTCAGTCCTCCCCTATTGTACGTACTTTCCCTGTTTGTCTGCTGCCACATCTGTACAATCGTGTAACTTCCTGACCGCTTCTCTTGACAACATCCCCTGCTCAAATTGTCTCCAGTAACTCATCTAAAATAAACCAAGCTTTAAGTTAATTTTATTTGTTGGAGTTCTTTTCATGCCTACTTTTCATATGAATCTCAAGTCTCTGGTATCATATTTAATTAAAGACTTTGTTTTTGAAAATAGGATTTTTTTTTCATGGGAAAGACATGATATACTCTCTATACAGTATATGGCCCAAGGAAGACCATCATATGACAACATTTTTCAACTACACCTGAAGTATACATATGTAGAAGGCTAGTACCTAAAATTCATTTTTGCGTTTTTCATAATGTACCTTCTCTGCTTTGAGCATTCTGAGCACGGCCTCGTTGGTCATTTCCCTCAGCTCCTTCCTGGTGTACTGGGCGGGGAGTTTGGCATCACACTCAGGACAGATGGAGTTGGGTCGGATATCCAGGGAATCCTCTACATCCGCCTCCTCCTCCGTTGTTTTATACGGATCCTCGATCTCACAGCTCTTCTCCACCACGTCCCAGTCAGCATCAGCCAAAAATCTGAAGACATAACAAATGTAATTTAATGATATTGTCATGTACATTTATCAGTTCAATATATATTTACAGGTTATATAGTTACATATTTAAACATGATCAAATTAACTGTGTGTGGTACCTTTCATATATTTGAATGGGCTTTTGAAATGTTTTACAATATAATTTTTCCTCATATGCCAACATTTGGCATACCTGTGTTGAATGTAAAAAAATAAACAATCATTTTATTTGTTACATGCAAGTCCCCCTTCACAATATGTACATTGTGAAAAATTGTCTCAATTTATCTCTCTTCATAGGAAATTTCTCTATACAGACCCATTTTCACCTTTTTTAAAAATAAATTTCATACAAAAGAGTTAACTCCCTTAAAATTTGTTCCTCCAGTACAGATGTCAGACACAGTTAGACTCTGTTTCTACAGTTTTACCCTGCTTTATGTCAAGGCCTAGCTCTTACCTGTCAGATTTTAACATGTTCAGTGTCTTCTCCCTCATGTCTTGCATGAATCTCAGAGAATTAGCCATGGACATCTTCTTTGCTGGGGAAATGTCACTCATGCCTGCAGTAGATAAAGGTCATTTTGATGTGAGAGATTCAGAGTAAATGGATGCATCTCAATCAGATACTGTAAATGTATTATATTTGGCAAGTACAGTATTTGGCGGAAATTGATTTTTGAACAGGTTAGCATAGATTTGATTTAGCGCATTCTGTCATGTTCTTATTTATGAGTATATGTGTAAAACAATTAGCGCGGTACTTAAATTAGTGGAAGTTTCTTACTGCCAAAGGCGCTATATTGAATAAACAGCCAAATGTAATAAGTTTACAGTAAGTTCAATTGAGCTAAATATCTCTCAGTTGAACAAAAAATAAGCTAGATCATTGTGAATCATGAAGTGGCTATTCTATAAAATGTGGCGGTCAGTAGATAAATTAAGGTCATTTTGAAGTGAGAGATTCAGAGTAAATGGACGCTGCATTTTCTCCTCTCCCATTACCTTTGGTGCCGTGCATGCCCTGGAATTCAATTGAAAGACTAAATATTCTCTCAGGGCCAAAGACCTTTAAAAAATAACTAGATCATTTTGATTCATGAAGTGGTTATTTTTTAAACACCTGTATCAAAAGTTATAGCTTTCAAGTTAAAGTCTATCTCCTCCATATCTTACCCAGGGCTTTAAGAAGAGCTGAGCAGGTTGTCGCATTGATTAACAGAGTCAGAAACACTATCCCAGATACATGGATCAAAACCTAAAAAGGAATATACCACTGTACTATTTAGATATCACAAAACATGTACTTTATTGTACAGAAATTTCAAATCATAAATGCTATTTCAACACCTCCAAAGCAAGAAGAGGAGAAGCACTATCGTTAGGTAAATAGCCTACAGTACTTACCCTAATGCCCACAGTCTCGCTGTCGATTTCATCATGGTGAGCTACCTGTAGAGCCAGGGCCAGCCCCACCGCCCCCCTCAATCCCCCCCAGGTCATCACCATCCCCTCCTGCCAGGACAATCCGTACCCCGTGTGCTTCAGGATCGGAGAGAAGATGGCAATCACAAGTCCTCTACAACAGACAGGGAGAGAACTCAGTGGTCATTTGGTAGGCCAACACTTCATGAACCCAATAGAGAGAAATGCTTCAAAGACCTGAATGGGTCTGAAATTCTACTTTAAGGAAATATGTATGTTAAAATTTGATAATTAACCAACACTATGTTTAATATGCATATACATTGGCTAATTTAGACCACTCTTAGGACCAAACTCTGGATTTCAAAATTTTGGTTCTGCAAACTATGCTTATAAGCAAACAGCTTGCCAGCTATATGTTCAGAAATACATGTATATACATACGTGTGGTAGAAAATTATTGAAAATTGTGTAAAAGGGTTTCATTTTTGCTCAACTGGAAAGGTCCAAGAGGGAAAAGACCATGTGAAAATGATAAATTCAAAATCTTTGTACCTCTTCATCTATAGATAATACATATTTAAATTGTTTGAAATTGGTTTAGACAGTTAAAAATTGCAAAAATCCCTTAAAAAAATGCATATTTTTTCTGTTGTAAATGGAACATTCTGCTAGGTCAAAATATCATGGATATTTTTCTCAGTTATTATATTTGCTTGAAGTTTTGCATTCAGTTGCACTTTTCAAATTTTTGGAAAGATTAATTTATTATTAAAATGGAGCATGACCCCTTTTACTTTTTATTACTGTTTTCCTCAAATTGGACAAAATTATAAAGGAAAAAGGACATCATAAAATAGTGTACCAAGTAATGAAGTCCTACTGACATTATACATGCTATACCCTGTCCCCCACTGTATTGCACAGTATACACCTGTATCAGTCAGTAGATAGTCGGTAGACAGGTAAACATTCTGTGTTAGCTCTCACCTCCCAGTCACGTTTACCTGAACACTGTACAGACAGCTAAGTAATGCTGTGATATATAGGGTCATTAACACACAGACACTTAATTGTTTCCATTTAATTACCTGCACTTCAGTTAACGACCCCATTTTTCAAACTCCTCTAACAAAAAAAGTATACAGACTCCCAACAGTCAAATGTTTATATATGTCTTTATGATACTTTATATTGGTCTAACTTCTAAAGTTCTTGTTTATCATATATCTGTCTCTTCTTTGTTTACAGTCAAGATATTTAATAAGAAAGGACTCAAGGAGTACATTTTCATGACAATTAAATTAGCATTTCTGCTACATAAATGCCTTTAGTATTTAAAAATTCTATGTGTTGCAGAAGCAGAACTTACACTGCCAAATTGCAGAGGCAGACCTGACACTTAGGGTAGGAAAAAGAGGTTTTTTATAACTGACCAATTGGATTTGCTATTTTTTAGAAAATGATTTTTAAAGAATTTACCTATATGTATCTTTGAAAACTTTGGTCGGATGTGGCAACATGCCTTGTTATCCTTTGTAATATATATGTTTTGCAACTGCATAAATCTCCCATATAGAAATTACTTATTCTTAGGAAGATTTTTAAAAATTTTCCTATATATTAAAAACTTCACAGCTTTTGGTTTAAATTTTATGCTTATGATATGCTTCCATATAAATTAATATGTTTAAAAACATTTTTAAAGAATTTACCTATATATTTCTATAAAATTATTCCAAAATAACTAAAAAATTTGAATACACTACCTGATGACCATATAAATATGATATTCTTGAAAGAAGATTTTTAAAGAATTTTCCTATATATTTCATATAAAACTTTGGTCAGGCCCCGCCAGGATTTCAAAAATAGCTTTTTTCTGCAATCACCTTTCCTGGCACAGTGGTTCGATGATGAAGATTTTTAAAATATGTGTGTTTATTCCCAATTATCTCCCCTTGATGGCCCTATGCCAACCCAAGAATACTTTGTCAAGTTTGGTTGAAATTGGCCTGAGTGGTTCTAATTAAAATTAAAAGTTACAGACATGAACATAAAATAAAGATTTTTTCAGGTGAGCTAAAAACTATTGGGTGATGTGTGATTCATACTGTCAATAAAAGTGAGGATGTGGCAACATGCATTGTTATCCTTCTAAATATATAATTATGTTTTGTTACAACTGCATAAATCTCCATCAGAAATTACTTATTTGGGGGAAAAAATTAAATTAAAATTCACAGTTTTTAGTTTAAATTTTATGTGTATGATATGTCATAGCAATTAATATGTTTGAAAACATGACATATTAGAATAAAATTATTCCAAAATGACTATAAAAATACCTTACCTGATGACAAATATCCCAAAGTAAAGAGCAAACATATAAAACCAGTCAATGCCATGGATTTCAAAAATAGCTTTTTCTGCAATCACCATGCCATATAAAATAAGGGTGTTAAAAGTGTAAAACCTGATGTAATTAAAATTAAGTTACTCATCAACATAAAATTAAGATTTTAAAAAAGAAAAGTTTATGCATAAAACTTTTTTATTAATAAATGCACAAATAAATTATCACCAAAATATCTTATAACTGTGACCATTGTATATCAAAGTTTTTTTCCAAAATGACTCTTTAAAAATATTGACTTATCAGCTAAACAAATATTTTAATAAAAGTATACCTATTAACTTTCTTGGAATATAAATTTCAATATAATTTAAAACATTAGTTTTTACTAGTCCTATAAATTTCTGTGTTGTATACCTGTGTAGGAAGTGTTCAACCTCCGGGCTGATCATGGTTTTTTCTGAGTTCATGGTGACCCCCAGGACCACAGTGGCCAGTACCCCTGACACACCCAGGTGCTCCTCCCCTGTAAAGTAAAAATTAGAACATAGCCATTAGCACTCAAGTACTCTTAGAATGCAATACTCACTGATTTATAGAAATACTGCAAACATCCTTATTTTAGAGGTAAACATATTTTTGTGTCTAAATTTCATATCTATCTTAGCTATATGGAATGATTTGTTTGTATATTATTAGTATGTTACTAACCTATATAGAAGGTGAGGTATGTGGAGGCCAGGGTAATGGTTATTTCTACCAGAGCATCATTGAACACTCGCGACAAACAGAACAAGGTGATCTTGGCCACAAAATATCCCCACAATGGACCCCCAAGGGCCACCTGTAGGAACTCTACTACGATATCCCCACCTGTAAAATTAAAAAAAGACATTTATTTAAAATTTGGTTAAGCATTGAAATATTGATACATCTTCTCTACTATTAAAACAAAGTTACAGAATTATAATTTAAAAAAAAACTCAAAAAAAAACAAAAAACTACCACCAATACTTGGAATTGAGAAGAAAACTCTCTTACCCATATCTTCAGAAGCAACACAGAATCAAATATATCTAATAGTAAGTGAATTTTCAAAATGGCAAAAACCAATAAAAATAAAAAAAAAGTGAAAATGACAAGAAAAAAAAATTATTCTTACCGGTAAGTCCTTCTTCTGATGTTGCCATTTTTATAAACACATTATAGAACACTATGGCTGCCCCATCATTGACCAGGGACTCCCCCTCAACAACCATAGCCAGCTGTTTGGAGGCACCTGTTTTAAAAAAGTGGAAATAAGAAGAATGAAAAACAATCTGTCCAACTACATTTATACTGTACTTGATATACAGATGGATAATAGACCTAGCTCTACAAAAGACACCACACTGAGTGGTAATTTAAAAGGACAGCCACAAAAGTTACAGGATCTGATAGTAGCACTGAGAACAGAACCACATTGAGTATGGCTTACCTACATCTCTGAGGAAAGCCATGACTGCCACAGGATCTGTAGCACTGAGAATAGAACCACATTGAGTGGTGGCTTACCTAGATCTCTAAGGAGAGCCACGACTGCCACAGGATCTGTAGCACTGAGAATAGAACCACATTGAATGGTGACTTACCTAGATCTCTGAGGAGAGCCACAACTGCCACAGGATCTGTAGCACTGAGAATAGAACCACATTGAGTGATGGCTTACCTAGATCTCTGAGGAGAGCCACCACTGACACAGGATCTGTAGCACTGAGAATAGAACCACATTGAGTGGTGACTTACCTAGATCTCTAAGGAGAGCCACGACTGCCACAGGATCTGTAGCACTGAGAATAGAACCACATTGAGTGGTGGCTTACCTAGATCTCTGAGGAGAGCCACAACTGCCACAGGATCTGTAGCACTGAGAATAGAACCACACTGAGTGGTGACTTACCTAGATCTCTAAGGAGAGCCACGACTGCCACAGGATCTGTAGCACTAAGAATACAGCCAAACATCATCCCTATGTTCCAGTCCCAGTCATAAGTAAATAAGAACCGAGCCAGCAGACATGTAAACAGGGAGGCCAATGCTGCAATGGAACTGTAATTACCCAAACTCCTTGGAAGAGATTGTTACATGTACATCCTTGAAAGTACTTCATGGATTTGAAACATATGTGTATTGTCCATAGATTAAAGATGTCAAATAAAGTGTCAGACTACTTTCAGATTGAAGGACAGATGACACAAACAATAAAATGGATGCCTGGATTGGTGTATATTTTTTGGCCTAATTTCATTGCAAATGATGCAAATAATAAATTTCTAGAATATAAAGAATTTGTAAACCTTCTGTGGTGTTCAAAAGTCTGCCCTTCTGAAATCATCCTTATTAATCTATACAAATAATTTTCACTTCAAATTCCATTTTTATGCAAATTTGAATAAAAAATTAAAAACTATGCGGTGAAAGTTATTCATTTTACTTATTTTAACATGACCCAATTTGTTATTTTCAAATTCTTTGACAAAAGTTTGTTAATGTATCATCTGTCCTTAACATAATCTAAAGAAAAAAGTATGTTCAATATGTACCAGTAAAAGTTTAACATGTTATTACTAACCATTTCATTTAAAATCTGGACTAACATACACAAGCTTAGAAACTGATGTTTGTAATTGTTTTTAGTAAAGTTTTCAAAATAAATGTTCTTTTACTTACCCAGCCCTGGAATAGCCAGCAGTAACACTTGAATAAAAGTCTTCATAAATGTGTGGACCTCCATCCCAAAAGCCGATTCAAAGATAAGGACAGGTAGAAATATAAACAGTAACAGATGGGGGTCAGTCTCCACAACTCTGGCGTAGGCGTGGACCGTGCTGTTGTTAGTGGACAACAGTCCAAACAGAATCCCCAGAACTAACAGCACAACAGTGTAGGGCAACTGGATCTTTAAACCATGGATAATCTGTCTCACTAGAGCTAGTCACAAAATACACACAAAAAGGTGTAATTTTCCCCCCAAATAACTGTTACATTTTCTTTAATTAAAATATTTAATGATGGTATAAATATTTCATTACTTTGTTTCTGCAGCTGAACAGCTCCTATTTTGCCCATCACTAAGTACAGGTCTAGTTTTTAACTTTTGCTGTTTTATATCAATTTTGCATTAATTTCTAAACTGAATATGAGGTTACTAGGATAATAATTTAACTTACCTCCCAAAGCACAGGAAAAGAATATGAAGAAAATGATGTTGAGGGCCCCGTGAGATTCTTCGGTATGATAGATGAGTGGCGGTGCTGAAGTTGTGTTTGTTAATGAAATATTCGCTGTAGTTGATATGTTTGAAAAGTTCGACATGATGGATTTTTTCCTCCGTCACCTCTTTACAATATTGTGGTATGACTTATTCTGCAAAAATTGAAAACAACACATTGTTGACATTTCACCGGAAGTCGAAAAATTTAACGTCATTTCTCTCATGATTGTGACGTCATGATATCATGGGTGCACATTTCGATCACCCTAATATACAAACTAATAAACTTTGACAAAAGACGTAAAAACTATTATTGTTGGCATATTTGTTTAATATATTTAAAGTTTCAATGTATGTATTTTATTCTAAATCTTTATCGCTTGAAAAAAAGTATTCTCTTGACAATTTTATTTTATTATGTAAATTATAAAGCTTTTAAAAATAAAAAGTAATTTTTTTTTTGTTTTGTCGCATGAACTTTAGCCAGAATGGTATATACAAGTTTTGCTTACAACTCCAATTTGATATGTGTAACAGGAAGAAAAATGCGACCGTCCAGATCAAACCAGGAATCGAACCCGACCCCCCGCCGAACTCAGGAAAGCCGACGATCTTTACATGTCTTATTCTTAAAGAATTGTCAGATTTCATGAGATCACATGCAGAACTCGATTTTCGTTTGTTATATGTTCATTGTAAAAGTTTAAATCCATATTGAATGATGATATCAAGTTTCAACCCCTTGTGCAATTTCGCACATAATGAAGGAGTTACATGCAAGTTTGACACATGCACTCCAAATAAAATTGTTACTACAAAAGATGATTTAAAGTTATAGATATTATATAAAAGTTATAGTTGCACTATATAGCAACATTTATTTGTAAGCATTCTTATGGGAAGCAGTGAAAATATCAGTTACATGTATCTATGGCAGGCACGTAGCATCGATTTTGAAAGGGGGGGACTTTTTTTATCAACAAAAAGTTGACAAGCAAAAAAAAAAAAAAAAAAAAAATTGCCCAAAATCGAAAAAACGATTTCGGGGGGGGGGGGGGGGGGGGGGGGGGGGGTAGAAAAAAACTTTTTTCACTACCAATTCCTTTCAATATCCATTTTTAAAGCTTACAATACTATATTTCCTTCATATTACTTTACTTTAGTATAAAGTGGGGGGGCCAACCAGCCTTTCAATGAACATTTTCTATAGTAAAAGTATTGTTGGCAAAATAAGTGGGAGGGGCCCGCCCCCCCCCCCCCCGCTGTTGCTACGTCCCTGTATGGTATGGTAAATTCAAATCAAATTAAACTTTACGCTCTATTTTACATTAAAACACATATTATGTAGAAATGAAGTGCATTATCCTTTAATAAACGATTAACAATATTCATATCTGTACAAAATAAATAATTAAATAAAAGCCGATCACAGAATTTTGATTTTTTTTTTTTTTTTAAGTAAACTTCCCTGAAAAAAGTATGCAATGAATGTACATATATATATAAGTAATATAAAAACTTACCAATCTCTCAAACACTATGATTTATAATATATATTTTTAAAAATCCTTCAAACGTAACTCAGTTTAAACATTTTCATATACTGTTAGATTCTAATCCAAAATAAACTTGCAAACTTCGGCAACAATTGTTTTTAGACTCTAAAAAATTGTCTTAAATATATGAGATTTTTTCCTACATTTGCATAATTCGATGTAAACAGATAGATATTACATGAAAATGATAAGTATATGCAACCGCAACTAAAGCCCCAGAAAATGAATGGATTTTAATTAATGTGGGGGTTGTTTCGTCATCATTTGGCGAATTCTTTGATAAAGAATAGATTAATATTAAAGTATGTTAATAATTTATGTTTATTAATTGTGATTAGACGTTAAGTAGAGTACACGTGTTACTACAGAGTAAAAAAAAAATTCTCCGTGAGAGGAAATGTAACGGCTAATTCCTCGATCGGTGCCCTTGTCAGTAATGTGGCCTACAATGGTCCAATCAAAACTGCCACAAATGTCACACATGTTTTATTCATACAGATGACGTCACTTTAATTAAAATCTCCATTGATTAAAATTATACGTTAGACTAATTAGGAAAAAAACCTATCTGTCCATCTACGAGAGAGAGAGAGAATGGGAGAGAGAGATAGAGAAGGGACGAGAGAGAGAGAGAATTACAGGTGTCGTCAGGGCTACGTCCGAACGAATGTAAGCCATGTTTAGTCATTAAAAATGTCCCTAAATAAGAAAGTTATAGCGAAAGACCTTTCTAAAAGGTAAAGGATTACTTGTTTATGGGGGATAAACCTTCCTTCAAGCTGTCCGACATGAAATAAAAACTTGACATGCACATCTCCATTGTAAATAAAATCTTAAACAACTTTAGATTTTATGTTGATCCTACGTAGAAAGAGAAGAACAGATATTTTGGTAATAATTTTTTTTGTTATATCACAATCTTATAGCAATGTGTATTTCAACAATGTAAATTTTATATTTTAAATAACTTTAAAAGTGTTTCTTAAAAAAAGATACACGTCCAATATCAAAGGAATAAATTTGGTTTTAAGTGTATGAAAAACTCACATATAAAAAATCACTGTTAGGGGAAATTTTTTCAGTTTTAATCCAGGCAAAATAATGATCTATATTATGAATTTCAAAATTTAATAGAATTCTAAGGGTGGTGGGTTTTTAAAAATTTGAAAATAAAAATTTGTTTTCTTCTGTTTTAGGTCTTTGTAGTAGTACATTCCTTTATTATATGAAAATAAGTTTGTTTTTTTTTTATTTTGCTACTAGATACATAAAACTAAGAAAAATTTAAAAGATAATCAAAACTTTAAATACAATATCCCCTTTTACTAAAACCACACAAAAAAGCATATACTGAAAGGTTGCCACCTCCGGAACATACAAACAATGTTCAACTTCTGTTCACTTTTATAAATTCATTCATATAACAATTAAAATCATAATATTTAGAAAGGCGGAAAACTACACATTCTGAACCTTGTCTTAAAAAACTGAATGTCTCGTTTACCCCCAAGTGATGATTGATTCTTTTTTTTAACTTCAGATACTGTAAAACAAAAACAAAACAATACTCACCTACAACTAGTGAAAGTATCGGCTACACATATTGATTCCTGTTTGTATGTCACATCTTCTGATTCCTCTATAATACACGATTATGTCCCCTGACTCCCACCGGATAATCCCCACCAGATGTCGTGATTAATGTTCCCGGGTTTTTGTCAATACATACAGGCTGCCTTAACCTGTCATGGTTTATCAAACCAACTCAAGAAAGATTTCAGCTCGTGTGGAAAAGATGGCCAGGTTTCATTAATTGTACTGGCTGGGCGGAGACATGTTATTGCCGGCCTTTGAAAGTTAAAACCTTTCTCCTTGCCAACTGCAGCAACACGTGAAATCAAACCTGAGTATATTGAGTTCTTGATCTGTGGTCAATCATAGAAGAAAGTGGAAAAAGGATCGAGACTCTTACAAGAATTTATATTCACAGTTTGGATATTGGCTTAACATCACAAGAAGTAAATAAGTTGTTATAAAGTTGTAAAATTTTTCAAGTTTGAAAAATAAACATAAACCGATCGAACGTCATTTTAAAAGCAAAACATTTTGCAAAACAGCAAAAGTTCCTCTTGTGGCTGAAATGGCAGGTTAATTAATGTGTAATGGATTCATTAATTAACCTGCAATAAAAGGCAATAAATGTTGGACATGGTCTGACCGCGGACCGCTGCTCTATTGGCGAGACTAACAATCCGCTAGCTCACGTCACATATTGCCTCTGTGTGTCACGGGGGAAATAAACCAACGGACCAATGCGCGTTCTGATTTCTTTTCTTCTCCGGGAAAAGCCCCCCCCCCCCCTCCAAAAAAAAAGGATCTGTCCTTTTAAATAAAGTCAGTGCTCCTCGATCTTTTATTTTAAACAAACAGTAACTCGCTGGTCATCAGAATATTGGGGATATGGTATAGAGTTTTAATTATGTGAACTGTCTCGTCTACCAGATCAAAACAGTTATATTAGGGATGACGGGTGTGGCGGTCAACTGGGGATACTTTCTCCTCTAAGGCTCCTGATCCCACCTCTGGAATTCCCAGGGGGGAAGTACAGACTTTCATTCTTCTCTACTTACATATTTTTTCATTATATTAGAAAGGTCGAGATTGATTTTTTTTTCAACATTCTCCATTTTCACATTTTTAAGGAGGAGGGGGTTGGGGGTACAAATACCGGTACCCTAAATTAGCTTTTTTCGTTTATTTTTATATATAATATTGGCTTATAATAAAAGCATATGGGGAAATTAAAAATTAACTTCCATGTTTTATCTTATCACTGTCCTTCTCGTTTTATTATTCAAGCACACTGCTAGTTAATTCATTTCTTCGCCTTTTACGTTTGAAATGAAATTTTTTTTTTACAATAGCACTTTAAATATTCGACCAATCAAGTCTTGAGGAAGAAAACAGCGGTAAACATCTCGTTAGGTGTTACGCTGAGTGGAGGAAGGCTGCACATAAAAACAATTAATTAACAGCTGTTTTGTTGATTGTCAGTCGAGGCAGGACGAATCGTAAATCATATTTTTAATGTGGAAATAAAGTACATGTACACTAATATACATAACCGTACATCATAAACAAAGATAAACTGAACGTCTGTAAACAAAAGTATAATCATAATATGGTATCATTATAGTAATTATGATTTATGAAATCAATTAATTTTTCTTGTTGTTTCTTTCAAGCACAGTTAATTAATTAGATAGATGAATTATTAATATATTCGATCAATGCATACTATCTCTGCAAGATATATTATTGTTTTCAGCGGCAGCTCACACAAATTGGTCCGACCAAAATAGTTCCATCATGATTAAGTAGATACAACATTATTGTTCATGATAAGAGTGAAGTTGTGTATTTCATACGTTAAAGAAATCAAAAATAACGTCAAAATATTATTAGAAAATCACTTTCCCCCCGAAATGCAAATAAAAAATATCAATTTTCCTACGCTCGCTCCCTCCACAGCCTTTTTTTTTTTTTTTTTACATGTTTGATAATAGAGAATATTTAGGTCATTCTTCGATTCATATTTTTTCACCGATGAATTGATAATACTATATCAACAATTGTATTAAGTACATGTTTATAGTCTGTTAATTATCATACAATTTCCTTTTAAGAAAAAATAAATCATTCTGTGTGTGTATATTATTAAATGACGGAATTTTCAATCCCTGGCTGGATTCTGCTCACGTGTGTACACTTTGTAAACTGTAGGGGATAAAATGTGTGGCAAAACGAGAACTGGGTCGGACATTCGGGTTCGTGTTGGAGTTCAGCATATTATTACCATTTTATATAGAACTTGAATAATGTAATTAATATCTGCGACGAATACATTAGCATATTTCAGTAATTTTCAAAACAAAAAAGGTTTTCAGTTTAGAATTTTCCGATCCGGTCTTGATTTTCCTAACACGGCCATTTTAAACACAAGTTGTTGCAGATGCAAATGTTAGAACAAACTATATATAGTTCAACAGGGATAATAATTTTTATGAATAGAATTCGTATTCATATGATCTAATTAAGAAAAGAAAAGTTTTGTCTGCCATCGTAACTTCTCGGCAAAACAAAACGTTTCCTCCGAGCTCGCTGGATGCGTTTAACAGCTCCATCGCACGTGTGTAGATCAAGGCTAATGTTGGTCTTGCAGACACAGGTTCATGTAGGCCTATGTGTACCGTTTGTTAGGAGACTGGGTGACCTCACCATGCTCACGAAATTTACACCAGTTCCATAACTAGGCCCTAGACATTGCAGTTTTTTTATTAACGTCATTATAAACACTGATAAGCATATTAAATCTAAAAGTCGAATATCTTTGGATATGGGGTAACCCATATCTATTCTTGTTTGTATTTTTGGTTTAGGTCCCCGAAGAAAAGTACAGTTAAAAAATTTTTGGTGATAAAGCAGCTTCTCATAATTACACATAAAATGATATATCTGTGCCTGATATTTTAAACTTTACAAATCAAACCGCCATAATGCCTGGGGGTACATGTAGCAATCCATATCGTAGGAAGCAAATACTCAGTATGTTTTTTTATTCAAAAACTAATTAACAAATTTTATTGATATTGAATTAATGCAGAAGTATGTTAAGTAGCTTCCTTTGTTTAATAATATTTTCAAACATATTTATTTTCTAACAAAGGAGATTCAATACCTTGTAGCAGTCTCTGTAAATAACGTATACGTATGTATCGAGTCAGATGACGGTAGCTTTTATCATAAACTATCCCATGGGTCAGAGGGTACAGACGGTGTCCTGCTGTTTGTTTTGTTGATATAGCTAGTTGTAATGATAATCAAAGACGGTATTTATTAACATGTAGACCTGTTCTCTCAGTGATTGACCAATGACCACAGGGACGTACTTGTACAGAGATGTATAGATCGTGTTTAGCTTTTGAGCCACGTGGTCCAATTTTGAAAGTAGTACTTGCAACTGGTGTCCAACTATACCAGACCGATTTTTGTTGTTTTATAGATATATGCTGTTTTGCGTCCTATTCAGGAGTTTTCTCTCCAATAAACAGGCTATAACCGAGACCTATACTTTAGCACTCACGACCACAGAGCAGTTGGTGGATCTTTATCGTGCGAAAGCCTAATGTGATGTACATGTAAGACCTCGGTTTAACTTTTTCAAGTCTATTGCGAAAGACCCGCAATTTTCACTTCAAATTGACAGCAAAAAAATGTCAGACAAAGGGACAATATTGCTTCCTATTTTTAACTGACTCTTGCAGCTCTTGTATTATTTATATTCATATACCCAAGTTGGGGCCTTGTCTTAAATAAAAACTTGAAAATTGAAAGCAGCTGGGCCACGGCTTATGATCCCGAATGTAGCGCTTTACCTACAGCAACACACAGATTAGGAATGCGCTATATCTACATTTTAATACACAGAGGAACTTACCCATCTAAAATTCCGATATCTTGAATATCATGGATATGTTGAAGTGAGTTAAAAATCAAGACATTTTTTTTTATTTATGTAATAAACGTAACCATAAAAATCTTGAGCACACATGATTTTTTTCTTGGTCCTATTAAGTTGTAGAAAATGCAATTTGACAGTAAACGAGTTTATTAGCAAAGTTTTTTATAGTGAAAATTATTTAAATTTTTAAAAATTCAGAGATAAAAACATACCTACATGTATGCACAACAAAGTAATATAGTCATTTTTAGTTTTATTACAAAAGAACAAAATGTAAAAATTCCTCTGTCACTGAGGGAAGAACAAGCAAAATAAATAAATAAACATTTACTACAATAAACAATGACTACCCAGAACAAATGTTATATTCCCATCACTGGTTGTTTAAAACACAATGTCTGGCTAATTATTAGTCCCTATATGAGATCAATTCAAAAACATTCAAAATTTAAAGCATAATGGTTTGTACAATTCAGAAATTAGTTATGAAATATTGATGACAAAAAATCTCTAACACACATGAAAATAATTAAATTCATAAGTCATGACTACAATTTAAATGTTATGCATTGAAAGTATCAGGAACAAAGTACTTTTTACTTTAATATTTTCTCCAGTTACTAGCTATCATTAGAGCTCGATAAAAATTGCTAATACTTAAAAGCAATCTGTTTAACATTTTTTATTTATCTTGTATACCTTGCCTCTGTTGGTTATTTTTCAATGTACTGTGACTTTCTTTCTTAGTTCCACCTGTGTAATGCTTCAGACTGATATCTGTTAATTGTCATTATAGAATCTGGAGACTGGAGTCTGTACCAGTTAGAATAGGTAGTTATACTCCGGCACCACCTGAGAATCCCACGCAGACTCGGATCCTTTGATGTAGGGATCGTGTAGCATCGAGTCCTACAAAGTATCATCATATGCTTAATTTCTTTTTATGTTGTTTCTAAGCTTTCTATAACTTTATTAAAAGCCTTTCCATTTGTTAAGCAATGAAACATTTAGAGCTATTCACTGATATGTTTAACAAAAGTCCATACTTCTTCAATAAAAATTTTGTTATCTATGTTTTAGAACCTAATGATATACTTACATCACTGATAGCAAAGAACCCTGTGTCATTGCCTTGGTCCTCATGTTTCAGTTTATGAGATTGGAATTCGACCTGAACAGGGAGTGACATGGGGGGTGGATCAAGGTGACTGAAGTAGGAGGATCCAGGAACCACTTGATTAACCTCGGGTGTATCTACAAAGAAGAACACCACTGTTTATATCAAAGAAAAGTAGTAAGATGGACATCATTGTTATGTCAAGAAAAAGGAGCAGAAATTAAATAATTACTTTTCCAATTTAGTAAAAAAAATTACATCTTAAAACTCTAATCTGAAATTTCTTTTGGTTGACACACTCTGTCCTTACTTTATGATTGGTTAGAAAACTCTGCCATCAACTTGTGATTGGCTACAAATTGCCTGACCACCCCAACTCTGATTGGCTGTTGTCTTAACCCTGAGATTGGCTGATATGCACCTCCTGACTGTTTCAGTTACTGACATCTGATTGGTTGTTGTCCTTATCTTGTGATTGGCTGACTACCTCCTGACTGTTCCAGCTACTGACATCTGATTGGCTGTTGTCCTTACCTTGTGATTGGCTGATTTTCACCTCCTGACTGCTCCAGCTACTGGCATCTGATTGGCTGTTGACCTTACCCTGGGATTGGCTGACTACCTCCTAACTGTTCCAGCTACTGACATCTGATTGGTTGCTGTCTTTACCTTGTGATTGGTTGACATGCACCTCCTGACTGCTCCAGCTACTGAAATCTGATTGGCTGTTTTTCAGTGATTCCATGTTAATGTAAAGGTCTGGTTCTGGCACTTCATTCCACACAGGGTAAGAATCCTCAGCCAGAACCAGATGTTGACAGAACATGGCATAACTGTATAAAACAAAACATTTATACAGAAAATAGTCACAAAGACAATGTACCGGTACTGCAAATGTGTAAGACCGAATTAAACAGACATTTATGAATAAAAGAGTCACATAGGCAACATACAGCAAATTTATAGGTTAAAAAATTTGTGTTTTTACCAATATACATGCATCTTATACCAAAATTGTTACGGTTCCACACTTAATCTATGAATTTTTTCAATCATACAAACCCATCATTTTCTTTCTGTGAATCAGCTCCACTGGAATGAGCTTCTTCCATATTTCTCTCTTCATGAAAACTCCTATTTCAACAAAATACGATTAAATTACACTCTTATGACTTTTGGTTCATTTTGCATGTGTATACATATATGTATTTATATGTACTTGGTGGCTGGTGCATTATGCTTTTTACCAATGATTCTTACTACATTACATAGGACTTAAGTTCACATACTTCTCTAACTGACGTCTGCACTTCTTCTCCTTAGAGCCTTGTTTGTCCACAGATAAACTTCTACTACGTCCACTTCAATAAAAAAATTCAAATATCTTACACATAAGTCTGATTACTACAACCACTTCAAAAGAAAATTAATATACTTTTTACCGATATGTCTGGCTGACCTTGCACTGGTACAAGATTTCAAATTTCGAGAATTTTATTTTTTCATTGTAGCTGTCTGTTCTGTTGTCCTTCAAAATAAAATCTTACCGAGATTTCTCCTCCTTTTCTTTCTGCTGTAGTCGGCTTCTTCTGTGGTTTGGAGTACTGAAAAGAAAAATATACAGGCTTTTAGAGCACTCAACAGTCATACTTACTATATATTTACGTTCAAAAACAGCTTAGAAGGATTATATATATTTAGGATATCTGTGAATTCTGACTAACCTCTGATTCTATTTTGGGATATCTGATATCGGCTTTTCTGCCTCACCTTTAATTCTGCCAAGCTATATCTGATATCTGTGACTCTATATCACCTCTAATTCTGTTTTGTGATATCTGATTCTCACATTTTGTACTTTTTAGAGATATCTGCTATCTCTGATTCTGACTCACCTCTGACTCTTTTTAGTTATATCTGATATCTGTGAATTTCTCTAACCTCTAATTCTGTTTTGGGATATTTGTGATTGTCTCACCTCTGCTTCTGTCTGGGGGTATCTGATATCTGTCTCACCTTTGATTCTGTTTGGATATCTGATATCTGTCTCACCTCTGATTCTGTCTGGGGGTATCTGATATCTCTCTTACCTCTGATTCGGTTTGGGATATCTGATATCTTCCTCTAGATCCATCTGTTCTATGGTCTCAGTACATAACAAATCTGACAAACTGATACTGATATCTGTCTCACCTTTGATTCTGTCTGGGGGTATCTGATATCTTTCTCACCTCTGATTCTGTCTAGGGGTATCTGATATCTGTCTCACCTTTGATTCTGTCTGGGGGTATCTGATATCTGTCTCACCTCTGATTCTGTCTGGGGGTATCTGATATCTTTTTCACCTCTGATTCTGTCTGGGGGTATCTGATTCTGTCTAGGGGTATCTGATATCTGTCTCACCTTTGATTCTGTCTGGGGGTATCTGATATCTGTCTCACCTCTGATTCTGTCTGGGGATATCTTCCTCATCCTCTAGGTCCATCTGTTCTATGCTCTCAGTACACAACAGATCTGACAAACTCAGGTCTCCATCTTCTTCTTCATTACAAAGCTTCTACAAAAATGAAGTCTTGATAGAGTATGAATTTAATACAGGATACATTATCATATGTCATTTTCTCTAAAATCTTAGGATATAATAAATATAATCAATGCTTTAAAGAAAATTAAAATAAATTTAATATTAACCAATTAGCAATAGCACTTGGGAAACTGAATTTAATGTGACTTTGGGATATGAAAATTTTACCAATGTAAAAACAAAACAATGAAAAAATGAACTTACTCCACATATGAGAGTGAAAGGTGATGCAGGGACACCTTGATCATCTGGCTCAGGTAACTTGACAGGTGTAAATCCCTTAGTGTCAAACTGCATCTGTATAGAAACAAATTAAATTATAATGTAGAAGCTGTGCTATTCACAAATTAAAGAAATCCACGGTTTTTAAAAGAAAATGACATTTGTGAAAACATAGAAGACATCCAAACAGCTCTATACACCTAATTATTAGAACCTCAAAATGAAGAGACACATTATCTATTTCAATACATTTACTAATAAATCAATATTCTAGCTACAAAAGACTGACTGAATAGATTCCATCATAAATGAATATTGTTTTAACGATTTTGTTGGTGTATGTTTACACCCAATGAGTTTTATCTATTTTTTTCCTTAAAAATACCATATCACTGTTGCCTGAAGCAATAGAAATTTTTTTTCCCTAAACTTTGTATAAGAAGGTTAAAGGTCAATCGTCCTTCTTTTATCATTATGTAACATATAGATCCAGATCCATCATGGGAGAGCTCACAAAATAATACCCCTGCTGCATCTAAAGTGTTTATTAACAATTTTGTAAATGTGACCTTGAACTTGCAAAACTGACCTTGATAAAGAAAACAGTTTATTGTTTTATAGGTCACACCTCCCACTCTTTGGTGTGTTTTGTACTATTTACAGTGGGTCTTTATCTTAGGCCATGTAAAATTAATTCCTTGGTTCTCAAGCCTTTTTTCAAGAAATATGATGAGGGAGGGAGGCATTTTTTTTTCACTTTTTATTGCCCCTAAAACTGATGAGGCAGCTTTTTACATTGTACAAAACCTAAGAAAATGATGAGGGAGGTGATTTGTTGTTTTTATTTTATTGATTTAGCAATAAAAAGGGTCAATGAGGCACCCTTAAAAGAGATGAGGGAGGGCCTGAGAACCAAGATAATATTTTTTTATAGCCTTAAGAATCACTTTCTCCGTCGAAGTTTTAGATTTCCCCTCCTCTCTGTTATATAACACACCTCCCACCCTATGGTGTATTTTGTTTAGAGGTTCTTTACCTTACGAATCACTTTCTCTGTCGGAGTTTTAGATTTCCCCCTTCTTTCTGCGGAGGGAGTCCTGTCCAGCGGTCGGCCGCAGAAGGTGCGTATCCCAGGGGGCGGGCTGATAAAGTGCTCCGTCAGGATCTGGTGGACGGGCACGGTTCTGTACGTAGGAATCTCCTCAAATAAAATTACAATATAAATACAAGGTGCCAGTTGTGTCAAGAAATGAACAGTCTTTTCCCCTTCCTTTCAAGAGTTTGAAATCAATTTTAACAAACATTTTTATCAAATTAGGTGGACATTTTGACATATACCTTGTTCCTAGGGAAAACACTGAATATAAAATTTGTCCAATTCTAAAAATTCAAAAAAAATAGAGAAGTATGGGATGTACCTTGATAGGTGTGGTCATAAAGAAGTGATGAGGAATGTCATGGTCAGATCTGGGTAGAAGCACCGTGGTGTGCTGATCTAGAGGAAGGCTGCTATAGAAGTAGGATTCTTTGTTGTAGGACATCCCCTCTGAGGTATGGGGGGATGAGTCCCTCTTTGGAGGCAGTTTTTCCATCTTGTTGGGTAGATCTGCTTCTGCAGAATTTTGTGGTTCACAGGATGTGACCGTGGGGACCTCTGCCTCATCCACCTGATAGAATTAAAGGCACACACTGACTTTATATCAACTTATATTCCACATGAGTCCATATAAGGACTGGAAATCTTTAACTGTAAACATCATTTGAGGCATAAATGGCTCTAAAATGTACTTTAATAAAACTTTAAAGCCATCTTCAGACAATGGAAATTCTGTTTAAAAAAAGAATCTATCCAGATCCAAGGTCTTCTAGTAATAACCTTGACACCTGTTAAGTCCCTGACCTGAGAAACATTGACCTGTAGGAGGTCAGTCTTTAGGCACTCAGCAGGTAACACCATCAGGTTACAAAAAGATGATCTCATGTTGACCAATCCAGATTCCATGTCCGAGGGTACGTTACATCGACTTCTCTTACGCTGGGCGTAGTTCCTATTAATATAAGTAACAGTCAATATAGCTTTAGTTAACCACAGAATAATGTTTAACAGGAGAGGAGATAAATGCTATAGACAAGTCTGGGATTCCAAGTTGCAATTTTTGGTGCTACATGTATTAGCCATGATCCTGGTCTTGCAGAAGAAGGTTCTACCAGGACCAGTGGATTGTGTCTTTGGGGCAGGGCAATTTAAGGAGGAAGGGATTTGATAGTTTAGACAGTGAAGCGATAGTTTAAGCAGTGAGGCGTTCCTGCATGTCTTGGTTGGTGAGGCACCTGTCTGATAGTGCTGGTATCCCGGGTTTGAATTCCATCTGTTCTGTAGAGATTTTTCTCCCAACCTGCTACAAGTCTGGTAAATGCTTGCATGAACTAATATTGAAAGTCAAAGAGAATCTTAATAATTTGATAAAATATTTAAATCACTATAGGTACAGTTTGACTTACTGCAGATAGAGTTCCTGTTGTTTGAGAGAGAAGTGGTTCTTTAGATCCATCACATTTGCTTCCACCAATCCTTGCTCTGTCTTATACAGAGCTGCTCTATTCTTCATTTTCACTGAAATTAAAGGTTCAGAATATTATTCTGTAATGACCAATATCTCAAACAAAGGAATATCTAATAAGACTTTCAAACATTACCTATTTTTTATCAGCCATGAAAGAAGTTGATGTCATAAAATTCAAGTCTAGTTTTCTTTAAATTTTTACTTGAAGGACTTCATAAAAATGAAAAATCTAAAGATAAGCAACTATACCTTTCTGGTCCAAAATTTCTTGGAGTGTTCTTTCAAGGTTTTGAATGTGTTTTTCTGTCTCTTGAAGAACATAAGCCTTTGAAATAAAAAAAGTAATTATCAAAAATAAAAACACTTTTCAAACTGTGTATTATAATTTGAAGTAAAAAAAAACAAAGAAAAGATATGTACCTTGGATATTTTTCTTTTGGACATTTTTTCGTTATTAGGAATGATGGACTTGAGCGTATCGTAACACGTGGCGACGCTGGCCCTCCACTTGGCATCTGATTGTCTCCTTCTGACACGCATCGGAACCGAACCTTTAGCCATATCTCTGTAAAATATTTAGGACTAAAATTTTCGCCACCTCTGCTTTAAAATGGCATCGTTCCCTTCAAGACACTTTTTACTTGTCAATTATATCATCTCTGGTTGAGCCTTTTTATTGTAAACCACTCATTTAATCCTCCAAAATTACCTTGATACATTTTAAGACCTTTATAGTTTATTGCCAGGACTCAATTTCCGGTTGGAGGTAGGATAAAACCATAGGTTTACGGTTTTATCCTTCATTTATAACCCCAACAGGAAATTTTTATCCCAATAAGGCCCCAAAAAATTAATCAATAGTTTCTCAGGCACTGCTGCATCAGTTCAAAAACGGCCGCATTGATCAATTTTATTGACATATTGAAAAGGGAAATAACCCAATTTTGTATTTTCCCAAGTTGAAAAAGAAAATCGAGTTATTGCCCTTTTCATAAATGCTAAGATAGACGTTTTTTTTATTAGATAAACAATAACTTTCATCTTAATCTACAGTATTTTATAAGTTAACTTTTAAATAAATGTTTGGAATAACATTATTTAAAGTTGAATACATATCATAACTAATTTCAGAGAACAAAACTTAAGAATTAGTAGATATTATCATTTTATTGAACAAATGACTAAATCCTGCTTCAAAAAAAAACAAAAACAAAAAAACTAGAGGTACTGTGAGCAATATAAAAAAAAAAATCAAAAATATAAAAGATCAGATCAAAAAGTGAAATCCTGTAATTAAGAATCTTCAAAAAAAATTTCCTTCAAAAAGGAAAAGAGATGCCTGCTTGCCGCATTGAATTCTGATTTTTTTGGCCTGAGAAACAATTGATTAATTTTTTTAGCCTAAAAAATCTTAAAATGTTTTCGAGAAATAAATGAGTAGTTTACAATAAAGAGGCTCGACCAGAGAAGTCTTAATCAGTTTAATTGACAAATAGCCTCTTGAAGCCAACGATGTCATTTTAAAGTTGGTTAATGATTGATATAGGCCTATTAACAAAACACGAGCGTGATGTGGGGGTGCCTCAAAATGAGTTAGATACCTTGTTGTAAAAATAAGTAAGGGTTACCCGTATACGAAACAAGTGCCAATCTCTAGATCTTAACAAAAGCGGAAAGTGATATCATTATCAGATATCAAAATATAAGAATGATTTTGATAAGTTTTTGTGTCTAATAAACATTCTCAGAAACTGGGGGGGGGGGGGGGGGGTTGTGTTACACCACACATTGTTTGAACATATTTTATTAATATGTCAAAGAGATTGGACACAAGTTCCAAAAATTTAGATAGTCTTCTTCCATAACCATCCATTTGTCAGATGCCTGCGGTTCCGACGCAGAGTTTCCGAAAACTATCGGTCCTACCGGCAAAACCGATAGAAAATCGAAATGTCCGATGAAATTCAAAATCGCTACAGTATCGGTCCGTGTGGCCGATTGTGGTGAGGGCTTGTCCTGATTAAATTTTTGTACTCTAATCTATTGCAATATCTTCATAAATGAAAATTTCCAATGCAGCAAGCTCCTATTCTTTGTAAATATCCATAATCTTATCCATTTTGCAGTTCTACTTGACTTATTTACTTCCAAAAACGATCGTTTTTTTCCCTAATCCGAATTTCCTCCATTCCTCTGTTATTGATAATTATTCATAAACACATATAGTATTTAGGTCATGAAGTGCAATGCCCACTGAGAAAACGTAAAGATAATTAAAAATTTATTTTTATTTTGAATTTCTATCATAACTGCTATTTATATATGATTCAATTTTACAAGTGAGAATTAATTTTTAAATTTTAAAAGGAATTCTAGCCGAAACATTGAAAATTTTCCTTTTTCAAGAATTAACAATTTTGTAATTAGTTGTTTCTTTTCCCTTTAGTTTTGTGTCTTTATTGCTGCCACAAGCCTGTGCGGGCTGATGCCATGTTTGAATTATTTATAGTTGCATAACCAAGGTATCATAATCAGTGTTGGTGAGCCACAAAAATCTTTACATATTCAATGCCATTTTCTTTTGCATCTGACATGAAATATAAATACACTGCATATTCTAAAATTTATTCGGACTGATAGAAAATGCTTCGGACTGGTAGAACGCATCAAGTCATCAGTCCGAATGACTGACAGAAATTTTTGGTTTTCGGAAACTCTGCCGACGGCCTCGACAGAACAGTGAAAACAATATGGCGGAATATGCTTTGTTGAGTTTGTTCCTTTACATGAGCGTTTCAAACCTACGATACATACGTAATAATTTCTCTTCTCTCATTCTCTCAACACTCTTTAAGCGTTTACCTTAAAGTTATTTATGTTTTCTTCAAACAAATACATAAAGTATGGCAAAACTTTTAAAACTATTTGTCCTTCCAACTTAGATCACGTGAACAAGTGCTTCGCATTCCAACCCAAATTTCGAACCCGATCGTTTTGATATTGTCGTTTCTTCTTCTTCTGTTTTCCAACAAAACTTCAGAGTACTGAAGATTACTTGTTGGTGCGCATGCGTGACCTAAACTTATATAAATAGAAACAATATAAAGAAAAAAAAAAAGAAATGTGCTTTTATTTACATTAGTGATTAAAAGAAAAATTTAACTGTTTAACTTTTTACATGATAGTGTTCGGTTAGCTGTTCTCTAAAAATGTAATTAGTGGCTTGGACAGCAGCTGGGGGAGAAATTCCATTGAATTATAGTATGAGGAAAAAATGACCATTTGTATGTATCTTTTGATGCTGGTAAGTGTCTGTATGTTTGTGAATGATTTTGTCTAGTTCTTGTGTCTGTAGGTATGAGTATTTGTGTTGGTATAGCGACAAGTTGATGAACTACTTTATAGAACATTATTAATCTTGTTTTGAGGCGTCGCTCAAGTGTTGGCCAGATTAATCATGTCTGTAACACTACTAGTATTGTGGTAAGTGTTAGTCACATAGCACAAATTTTTTTTGCTACTGTTTTGTATGTGGGTCCCACACACTACAACAATACTCTAATTTAGGACGCACTATTGATTGGTAGGCTCTGGATTTTACTTCTGTATTTGAAATTTTTAGATTACTTAAGGAAACCTAATGAGTTGCAATAATATTATCATAATGTTTGTTCCACTTTAGATTTGACTGTAGTATTACACCTAAATACTTGGCTGATCTTACTGACTCGAGTACATGATTATGTAGAATGTAATTATGAGAATATGTCAAAGAAAGTTTAGTACACTTGTCTGCCTTGATTAAATGGATAAATCTGATTGTAGTTTGTGACAGTCTTCTGTGTTTTTATTTCTTTGTAGATGATACTATAACTTTTTTCATTAACTTTCAGTGACAGGTACAGAAGTAGAGGAAATGCCATTTATAACTACTGTTTGTGTTCTATCTGATAGAAAATCATGAATCCAGTTTAAAGTCTGTTGTCCTATACCATAGAAATTTAATCTATACCAAAAGTGTTATGATTAAGTGCGGTATGTTGTAATTGTTTTTGTATGTAAGTTCTTGGATAAAATCTAATAATTGTGATTCACAAGATCTTGATTTCCTGAACCCATGTTGTAAATCATATAAGATGTTATTGTTTTCTAGATGGGCCATGATGTTGCTGGTGATTATATGTTCCATTAACTTGCAACATATGCAAGTCAATGAAATTGGCCTATAATTTACTGCTTTGTATTTTTCCCCCTTTTTAAAAGCTGGAGCTACATTTGCATGTTTCCAATCAGTAGGTATTTCACCAGTTTCTAATGACTTTGTAAATAATAATGTAAGGATTCAATTTTATATTGTCTGGTCCACAGGCCTTATGTGGGTTTATATTTGGAATTTCATAATTCCTGTACTGCTAATAGATATAATTTAATTTGCCTTTGTCATATTGTGTTTGAAACTGACTGAAACTGATGAAATGTTTTTCCACTGTGTCTGTTAACTTTTAAAAGATTTTTACAATAAGTTTTTGGGTTTTGTCATTCAATTTACTGGTAAATCAAAAATGATGTTTTCTATGATTGATTCTTTTTGTACACTTTTTTTCAGTTCTTTAAATTTTTCTGGTTGTTTTTTTTTTTGTTTTTTTTTTAAAAATATTTCGCGCAGCCATATTTCGGCGGTTCGATGATTGAAGGAAACGCAGAATGACAAATGTTCATTCTCTTGATTAAATGGATAAATATTGAAGATAAATAGTAAACGTAACTTTTTTCATTAACTTTCAGGTTCAGTTTTTTCTTGGTATATGTGACTTTTGTCACGTGCGGTTTGAAAAATTAAAACAATTTTGCTCAATTTCCGAGAGGGAAAATTTAATTTGCTCAACAAACAAAAAAGATTTGTATTTTGATCGCGCATATTTCCTTGACAAAAAAATACTTCTCTTGGGCAACCGGATGGCTTTTCAACATGAAAAATTCTCCAAGGGAAATAAAACAAACAAAAATTTGTATTTTGATCATACCCTGACAAAAAAAATAATATAGTAAACTATAGTTAACTATAGTTAACTATAGTTTAATATAGTTAACTATAGTACCAAAGTTAAAACTTTGGAACTTTGATTTACTATACTGAAAACTTTGGAACTTTGATTTACTATAGTAAAAACTTTGGAACTTTGATTTACTATGGTGAAAACTCTGGAACTTTGATTTACTATAGTAAAAACTTTGGAACTTTGATTAAGTAATACCCGTCCCGTAAAAGAATAAAGTACAAGTAATGAATTTTAATGTAAAAATTGTCTCTTGCACCGATAAATAAACAGTATTTATTATTATTCATGGGAAAAAATTACTATAAGATAAAACTTCCGTAATTTAGAATCAAAATATTTGCTTCCTTACCTTCAGATAACATTTTTTTTTCTACTGTAAAATATAAATATTGCATTTGAATTAATTACATTGCATATGTAAATTAAGATGAAGAACAAAACCAGCCTAAACAAACCAATATCATTCCCCTTAAAACAAACTAATAATCCAGAGAAAAATTAATAAAACAAAATACAAAAACTTAAATGCTTTGATTTACTATGGCGAAAACTTTGGAACTTTGATTTACTATGGTGAAAGCTTTGGAACTTTGATTTACTATGGTGAAAACTTTGGAACTTTGATTTACTATGGTGAAAACTTTGGAACTTTGATTTACTATAGTAAAAACTTTGGAACTTTGATTTACTATAGTAATAACTTTTGAACTTTGATTTACTATAGCAAAAACTTTGGAACTTTGATTTACTATGTGAAAACTTTGGAACTTTGATTTACTATAGTAAACTATAGTTAACTATAGTTTACTATAGTATTTTTTTGTTAGGGTAAAACTGCGTCATTTAAAACTTAAATTTGATAAGTCTCCTCCTGTGGACAGTTCGGTCATATCAACAAGCCCCCCCCTTTCCTCAGCGATGACTATAACAAAATATTATGCATAAGCCTATAGAGACAACACTTTTTTTTCGTTTAGTTAAATTATCAATTTATTTGTATGTGGCAGACCACTATGTACAGAGATGGGACCAGGCCCCAGGATCGATTAAGCAGACTTAAGGGTACTCACAAACAAAAATTTGATGCATGGATTGATATATTTTTGACTGATTTTGATTTGAAATTACATAAATAATAATACATCCCTGAAAGATAAAGAAATCGTAGGTTTTCATTGGTGCTTAGATATGAAATTTTGTTTTGCTTTCTATATAATTCCATACAAAATTTTGCACAAATTTTTAACCTTATGAAAAAATCTTTAAAAATTTTCCCATTATCCTCGGAAAACATGATTTAGGTCACCAATTTAAATGTAAAACTATGAAAAATAATGCTGATTTCTGAAAAAAATTTGTTTGTGTTATTTATCCTTAAGTCAAATTTTCAAATATTTAGTAAGATCCTTATCAATATTAATTATTCAATTCAATTATTGACAACACCAAAATAAAATCCCTATCTTTGCAGATAGCAGGACTCTGGTGGTGCAATATTAAATTTAAATACTATTTTCATTGGTCTATTTTACGTCAACAATATTTCAGTACAAGATTATTATTTTTTTTTTACTTAAGCTAAAGATCTTTCATGATCCCCCAGCCAGTAGTGCCTAGAATACGAAAGCGTCCCATTGATCCATCAGACCCGCATGCGCCCTAATTGGTCACCTAGAAAGAACATTCCATTTTTAAATTCAAGGGATAACAATTTGTATGAAACAAGTCAGGCAAAAACAACCAAATAATAGGTTATATTTGCTAACAAGGTCATTAAAACGACCGTTGGAACTTAGAAAATGCTGACTTTAAACAAAGTTGTCAAAATCCCTGCAACATCAACTTATCTGAGAGTAGACTGCCTTGGTTTAAAACAATTATCTTTCTCATGCTCAAGCATATTGTGTAAATGTAAATACTAGGAATGTCAAATCGGTCAATTTTCAATACTCGGTTAATCGGACGTTTTTCCGATCGAGTACCCGGGTACTCGGTAAAAGTGTAAGTAAATTGAAGACTGTAAAACATTGTAAACTCTCTTAGAAATAAAACCAGATGCACTTATAGGAGGTTAGCTTATCCGTAAATGTATTTCTGTTGTAATAATGATGAGCACTTCGTGCCCGATGAAATTTAATATAACAATTTTTAAATTCAATTTATTTATCAGAAAAACACAAGAAATAAAATTATAAGTTGTTCACAGTGTTTTTGTTTAAAAAAATAATCTGCTGCGTAATTGTATAATGTAACTCCTTGTCGCGTTTGACGACCAGGTATCAGTCGTCAGAGCTACGTACAGTATCAACTTGAACTTGATCAAGTTCTCCTAATAGAGCGGATTTACGATTTTAGTACACTTGTTCGATCCGAGATTTATATAGTATTACGGGACGGTATTTTGTAGTTTGATGCAACGATCGACATCATTTTTTTTTAAAGTCTTTGCCTTCAGCCAGTTGTATTGGCATGTAATCAAACACAACCATATCAGGAATCGCACGTGTCATATCATCCGCTCTTTTCCCAAGAATTTACGGCTTCTCGGAGAATTGACAAAATTATCTAATTTATTTAAACATAATGGATCTTAAACGATGTTCAGTGAAAACAAATAATTAAAGCCAAACAAAAAATAAGGGAAGAAGGCAGCCGCAGGTGAGAAAAGCCACCTACCCCAGGTACTTGGTCACGATAATTACTGTATAAACACTGCCACAGGCGATAACGGTCATTTAGAGTCGTAGTAAACCCTAATTACTGTATGTACAAGTGCAATGAGCATTTTACGCTTTAAAACGGATTGTTTAATGCATTAATGAATAAGATTAGAAATATTCAAAAATATACATCCGAGTAACCGAGTACCGATTTTAGTATTCGATACATTTTTTAACCGGGTACTCGTTGACATCCCTAGTAAATACCATAAAAACAAGAGGCCCATGGGCCACATCGCTCACCTGAGAAGCTTTGACCATTTTGACCAAGATTTTTCCTATATTTTTCTATGTAAATATTTGGTTCCCCATTGTGGCCCCGCCCTACTCCCGGGGGTCATGATTTGAATAATTTAGAATCTACACTACCTCAGTGTGCTTCAACATAAGTTTCAGCTTTTCTGGCCCAGTGGTTCTTGAGAAGATTTTTAAAGATTTTTCCCATATATATTTCTATGTAAAATTTTGATTCCCCATTGTGGCCCCATCCAACCCCCAGGGGTCATGATTTGAAAAATTTAGAATCTACACTACCCCAGGATGCTTTCACATAAGTTTCAGCTTTTCTGGCCCAGTGGTTCTTGAGCAGATTTTTTAATGACCATACCCTATTTTTGTCTTTTCTTGATTATCTCCCCTTGTGAGGGGAATTCCCCTTAACCCAAGGATGCTTTGTACCAAGTTTGGTCAAAATTGACCCAGTGGTTCTTGAGAAGAAGTCAAAAATGTGAAAAGTTTACAGACGGACGGACGACAGATCAGAAAAGCTCACTTGAGCCTTCGGCTCAGGTGAGCTAAAAACTATGTTTTATACATACAGTAAAACATGCTTAATGGGAGCACACTTATAATGAACTGACACTGATAGCAAAGTGATTTTCATTCCACCTGGGGTTTAAACACATTTTGAAGCCAACAGATATAATGAAATTATGAATTACTCTTATAATGAAACAAAATTATCAGTCTTTGTCACTTTGTTATACGCATGTTTTAATGTGCATTGTCTGTATTTCCTTAATTAGAACCCATTATTTTTTATTCTCAGTCATGCTAAATTAAATATCCATGCGAGTTAATTTTATCCCCTTTCAAAATTCTAATCACCAGCCATTCAGATATTCCCAATTTCTTTAATTTCAAATTTTCTTGAGGAAACATTTTAATAAGATGACTTGGGATTTTTGGCTTTTCATATGACCTATTCTAGTCTATAATAGAATACATGAAAGTGCAAAGCTTTAAAAATGATTTTATTTTTGAAGTTCTGAAGCCTGATAAGCATCCAGTGCAGAAAATAAACCAAGTTTATCTTCAGATGCAGGAAAAAAAATAAAAATTTACAACAGCTGCAGTCAACAATGCAATAAAATGACTTTCTGTATCCAACTGACAAGATGTCATGTAAACATGGCACTAGAGTACAACCATCGAAGCTGGCAGACTTCTATTTCCATCCTAAACATTTAGGATATTTTAAAATATCTAATCTCAATTTATTTTTCTCATGCAGTACTGTGTTGGTACTAAATGTTGGTGACTTATAAATGATTTTATATACATGTGACAAAATTAATCACAATTTTTTCTATCAATTCAATAACAAAAGACACAAAAAATAATCTGGTACAGCAGTACTAGACATTTCTACGTAATATTGCTGAATCAGGATACACATCATATTATTGTTACATTAAATTGTAAGTTCTAAAGTATTTGATTTTTGACATAAAAACATCATATTATTACAAGGACAATGAAAGCACAGAGTTGTGTATAAAACCCTAGAGTCTCATTCTCCTCTCAATCAGCTCACTGTCACACAGTGATGAATTCTGTGCCCTGGGATTTTCCTCCAATCAAACGGAGCTCACTGGCATCTACAAGGGAGGTAACTGCTGTCCTTTTTAACGCATTTTGTACTTCATTGTCTCTTTCATTTCAGAGAGTTCTCCCTTGAAATCCACTTCAATGGTGAAGTCAAGATCACGCTGATGGGAAAAAAAAGTTAAAAATCCGATGATTCTGATTTTAAAACAAATGAAAATGTTAACAAACCCTTAACAGTTAATTTATGCTGGAAAAAAGTCTCTACTTCCAAAAAAAACCTAGCTTTTCAGTAAAATGAGACAAGATTCCTAATTTGAGTTTTTTGACCTTCGACTAACCTTGTTGGACTTGTTTGGACAGACGCTGACAGTTCCTTGGATTTCTTCTCCCTTCTTCACGGTCAAGTCCAGCAGGTCAAAGTAAAACACAGTCTGTTTCCAATGTGTGTAGGGAGCCTCCGGGGCTAAATACAAAACAGGAGTCAATAGCCAACAAGTATAGAATGTAACTATGTGGAGAGAAAAAAAAACCTCAAATGATTTACTTTACTATTGATTCATCACTGTAGGTTGGGGACATGTTTGTAGATCTCATGGATCATTTTAACCAACAATTTTATATCTACGAAAAATTGTAGAAGAGAAGACTTAAATAAACTTAAAAACGTATTTAAAACTCATGATTACAACTGTTCAGAGATAATTTACATTCAGCAACATAACAGGTATATTTTTAGATACTGTGACATCAAAAAGGACTTACCTGTAGAAAAGCCTGTCCTTTTGTGGCACTTGGTGAACTCGATATTGAAGAATGTAATGAGGGCATGGACGTAGTCATTTCTCCGACACTGTAGGTGGAACGGGGCAGTGAAGGTCAGGTCCGACTCCTGGACTGTGTAGATATCTATCTCCTACAGTGAGAGTGGATCATATATTGAGTAATCTTTGATCGCTTTTGATACAGTTAATTTTTGATTATGTGACACCTGTAATTAAATCCTTTGAAGGTCCAACTGTACCTTGACAAGGCAGGAGTTGGTGACCACCTGTTTGGGATCCACCACATCAACTAATGGTTCCGAGATGGCAATCTTTCTGATGGCACTCATGTCAAACCCATAGACATTGTCCCAGACTGTTATAGGAAAGGGAGACAAATGTTAAAACTAACATCCCAGAAAACGAGCATGAAAATTATAATTGACTCTTAAGTTTTTGGTAATTAGCTGGGAAATAAATGATCAAATCATTGTAATTCACAATAGGACACTTTTTAAATTTTTCTTTGTGACAGAAAAAAGTTTGCACCATAAATCTTCATTTAAAGTAATTATTTTGTTTCATATTAAATGCCAGTATTTTTTTTAATTCCTGTTTTAAATTATACTTTATGTTTCTAAATCAATTACGTCCACATATTACTGTCTGTCATATATAATTACACAGGGTGTCTATTTAATTTCTTTTTCATTTTTGCATTTGATTTTCTACAAAAATGTCTGACAATCTTACAATTGATTTTGTCGTCTTTATACTGTCGGTCTTCTATGGCTGCTACGTACAGCGTGGCTCTGTCGGGAAATATCAATCCTCCTGGTTTCTAAAATGAAAACACAAGAAAATGTATGATAAATGCCACACACTTCCTGGAAATCTTTAACCCTCCCTTCTTTGGAAACAATGAAAGAATCACCCCCCCCCCCCCCCCAAAAGATACAATATATGCAGATATGCAAATTGGAAAATTTGGAATTTGTGGTACATGTACATGTACATGTATAATCCCACTGTACTCAGGTGTATATGACGGTTTATCTCAGGTGTACATCTTGATCTACATTTAACAGCCACTTAGGCCAAAAAAAATAATAGTCTTGTTTCCTGCTACCAGCTTGAAAAAAATAGGGTAGGTAGGTAGGAAAATTATTTAATTTTTTTTATTTTATTTTATTTCTTACATTGGTATTTTTTGGATATGAACTAATACAAAGCCAATTAAAACATGTCATAGGTCAACATTATACAGTTATTGACTGGGTAAAAATATGGTTGGACCTGAAGGTGAAAATGTTGCCCGAGGCCGCAGGCCAAGGGCAACATTTTCACCTTCAGGAAAATTATTGTTGCCCGAATTTTTTTTTGTTATACCCTTCACTGCTCACTTAAAACTGATCAATTTATTCAATACACGCTATATAATCAATTATTTTTATGGAAAATTATGGCTTCTTTAGTAAATTGAAAACATCATGAGAAAGAACAAAATCAATTATATGTCTATTGTATCACAAAAATTATTCATCACAAAACATACTAAAACTCTTGTAGCTCTTAACTTCGGCTATTTTCACGTCGCCGATATTGAACGATGATTAATTACTTGTGACGTAACAGAGGTCAACAATTATATTAAGACCGGTTAAAATTGTTAGACCGCAGTAATTAACAGTTCTTTTGTTGGACTTTTTATTAGTAATAAATATATAGAATGATATTCATAAGGGTATAACAATATATTTTAAAATTAGATATTATCACATCTTTACATACAGTTTCATGAAATATAACCTGATTCTATTTTTTTTCTTCACTTTTTGAACATGAAATTCCCAATTTTTTTCTCCAAAGCTTAAAAAAAACTTTAAGGTCGGGTGCAAAAAAATAGGGTAGGTCGGGTAGCAGGAAACAAGACTATTTTTTGTTTTGGCCTTATCTCAGGGTATATGTCAGTTTATCTCTGGCATGTATGATGGTCTATACTTACCAGCCACTTATCTCGGGCGTATATGACAGTCTGTAACATGGACTCGTAGAACAGACAGTATCCCATCCACTCGCTGATTATTATATCCACCTTCTCTATCCCCTCTGGAAGTTCTACCTCTTCTACTTTTCCCTTTACTAGTGTGACCACTGTAAACAAAGATATATTGACATCAAAATGTTCTACCTTAATTTGTGTGATCATTGTGAACAAAGATTTTTTTATGTCAGAATTTTCTTTCATTAGTATTTTCTCCTTTACTTCCAAGTTAGTCTACTTTGTTTCTGAATCAGCTGTGTGCTTACCATTGCTGAACTTATTGTCCTCCACTATTTTTCTCCCAAAATCAATGATACTGGAACACTCAATCTGATTTAAAAGATTAAAAGCATATTAAAAAAACATCATTCATACTGGATCCAAGGTACTTAGTCTTGATATGATCTGTATCTAAATTTTATTGGATTAAACTTAAAGGAACCAACAATAAAGGTGTATAAAAGGTGTAAAAACATGAAAACCTTACTGAAATACCCCCTCACTTTATTGCTATCACCCTCAGCTCAGTACCCAACCCTATTGTTTTCACTGTCCCTAATTCAATACCTATACACATACTCCTATCTGTTTACTCACTCATTTATCTCAATACCTACCCCTATGACTTTGGCAGCTCCAGCTTTGGCAGCAAACATGGAGAGAATTCCTGTACCACATCCGACGTCCAGAACAATCTTCCCCTGGAACAGGTGTTTGTTGTAGATCATGGAGTTTCTGTATGTCAGGGTCCGGACTTCATCTTTCAACATTTCCTATGAAGATAACATTTCAAATAACAGCCATGTGTAAACAAATATCATAATTTTTTAATATTTTGCAAATTCATGAGAATTAAAGAGTTTGCTTTACATAATCAGCACTTTTAATCAATCTGCATAAGTCTGGACCCATAAATTAAGGTAGTTAGTATAATGTTATCATTTAGCAGGGACACTTATACTTTACATTACAACCAACATTATTTCGTGTCTGTTTATATCTGTACCAGTTAGTAGATAGACAGAGAGAGAGAGAGAGAGAAAGAGAGAGAGAGAGAAAAAAAATATATACAATATTAATCACGTGCATGATCGTTTTTCCTCCTTTTTGATCAGTATATCAATTTCTTAAGTCTACAATAAAACTACCGCTGATTTATCAGTTTATTGACCATTTGTGGATTTTGTCTAAGTTTTATTGTTATTTATTGAGAGACTTGTTTATGATCCACTTTCTTCTTTCGTTTAGCATATGTACATGACATGTAATTTGAATTACTTCCCTTTTTGTCGCCAGATTACACGACAGATTTTGTTGGTAAAAAAAAAATGTATTTTTGTTATAAAATTTGATTAAGAAAAACACAGTATATTAAAATTGTCGAATTATTGAAAATATTTATTTGAAACAAAAAAATTAAAAAGGATACTGTCTGCAACAAAAACATTGAATTCTTTATTTCATGCATTTCAATCCATGAGCTACACATGAAAAAAAAGGGCTTCGTTTTACAATGTCGTAGGAAAACGCATACAGGTAATACACTCAGGTAGCATCCTGTGTATATAGGTAGTATGTACACTAGACAGCGTCGTTCCCTCGGGGCTTCTCATCCGCTTCAAGTAAGCTCCACTCCACACCAAACTTACCTGAGGAAAACCGAACGGTAACACAGACATCTGAAAACTTGAAGCTTGGCAACTTGCTGATTAAAATAAGTTAATTTCTGTGTTGTGTGTTCAAATATTTTAAGGGCCCATATTTGTGTTTGTGTTTTATTTGAACCGGAGAAATCTGAAATTTGTTTATGTTCATTGACATGATTTTAGTAATTTTCGAAAAGAGCAGAAAATAGAAATACATTCAAATACTAGCTATGATATTATTGATATTCTGAATAGAATTACCTGTGATTATTTTATTAACAATAACCCCCCCCCCCCCAAAAAAAACAAACAAAAAAAAATAACATATAAAAATCGTCGATAATTAGTTCATAGTCTTACAGTGTAGCGCATAATAATGGAACAACGGTATTCCTACACTTTACAGGTAAGAACATCTTAGCTGAAGAATAACGGTAGCTGGCCCCGCCGCGGTGTAACACGGTCTCAGGTAGCACCGCGATCAAAACCCGCGACGGTGTAACGTGGAAAGGATTAATACACCGCGGAGGGGACGCGGTCTAATACGGGATCCGCGTTGCCTGTACTGTACATCGGCCTAGTATACCATTGTTCAAAGAGACGTATAAGTGCTATCGTGTCGATAACACATTGAGTTTTTTTCACGTGATATACGTGTACATAGCTTTCCCAGGTAGTATATAGGTCCTTGTTTTTAGACAGCAGGAGAAAGTGCGCAATTATTATTTATAGCCTCAATATCATCAGAAAGTGTTTTATGCATAAGCAAAAGTCAAAGCGTTTGTACAGTATTCGAAGCAACTGTCAATCATCTAAAACAACTCCAATATTAAATGTGAGCATGGAGCAGTGTCTTTAGAATATAATCTTTCAATTTCGGTCTAATAAAGTTTTAAAGAAGCTCTACAGTATTTCCGGTGACGAGTTAAATTTTGTGCAGTAAACCGACGAAAACCACGTGTAGCCATTGAATCGTAAACACATGGTAGAATGTTATGCTTTGGGACTCTTTCAATTGATTGGAGAACGGGCGTGACGAAGACATCGTCACGTGTTGAAAATTGCCTTCCATATAAGGTAGTGGTCTCGACCTGTTTAACCACTAGCCCTGACCAAACTATAGAAAAATTATTTAAAGTACGATGTACTTTCTGTGCAGATGATGTGAATCTGTATTTATATAACAACTTTTGGCCGCACACATGTCAACATCGAAACTAGGTCATCTCCGTGCGGCTTGTCATATTTAGTCCTAATTTAATCAACTTGTATACATTATAAATATAGATACCATTAAAACAGTTCAGGGAATTTGTATAGTAAAAATACTTTTTTTACTACAATTTATTGCCATTTACTTGGTTTACCGATGTCATAAATGTGAATTTTTCGACAATGACAATCGTAACTACTCAGCCATTTCCGTGAACAATATAAAGCTTATTGTATCTCTCTAGGAAAATGGCCGCATTGTTACGAATGCCGACAATAAACATTGTTAAAAATAGCGCACCAGTTATGCTGTTTGTAACGTACATAGTTTTTTTCTACTATGCGGTTAGAAACATTTTAATTTTATTTTTTCATTGACAATAAATGATATGTTTAAAAATATATAATAAGAAGTTCATTTATTTTTCTTACACGACCAGTCGGTCTAGTACACAGACTTTTTACCCGACCGTACCCATCATTTACTAGACTCAGTCGGTCGGACGTGCCTTAATGTCAAACCCTGAACATGTTAAAATAAAGTTGTTTATGTATTTCGTAATAATTATAATCAAAGGCCTGAAGGGCCTGCGAGTTGACTCGCTCTTGTTAAATTAGCTTTTTTCATACATCTGGACACCATACTTTATATTCAGTTTATTTTGCATCTTAAGCGATTGAATATTATAAGTCTCCATGTTCGGTTAAAAAATAAAGTGTATATTGCTTTTCCTTTATATATATAGGTTGGCACTAATGGGCTTCCGTACATATAACTGTGAAAAGTATCACTTGGATTCTATAATGAATTTAAGCACACTAGCTGCAGTGGTCAGTGTTATGGAGTAATTAGTTTAAAGATTCCCAGAGCAAATCTGGATTCTAAAAATAGATTTTTCAAGCACACTAGCTGCAGCTAATGAGAACAGCAGGTGTTTGTGTTAGGGAGTATTCTAGGTCAATTATAAATAAACTTCAGATGGAAAGATTAGATCCACCTAATATGCTTGAACATATATTCATACGCAGTAATTGTGTAGTAATTGTGCATCGTACAGATATTCAATCAAAAATTTCTTTAAAAGCATGAAGACATAAACAAGAGGCCCATAACAGTTTTCAATAAGCACATCAGGTTTTGAATTTATATACCCCCCCCCCTCCATGCGTTCATCATTTGAACAAACTAGAATCTACACTACCTGAGGATGATTCCATATAAATATCACTAATCATAGCTTTGAAGTACTTGAAAAGAAGATTTTAAAAGGTTTCCCTATATATTCCTATGTAAAACATGGGTCGGCCATTTTGGCCCCACCCTTGCCCCGGGGGTCATGATTTGAACAAACTTGAATCTACACTACATGAGGATGATTCCACATGAGTTTCATCTTTCCTGGCCCAGTGGTTCTGGAGAAGATGATTTTTAAAGATTTTTCCTTATTATTCCTATGTAAAACTTGTAGGCCACTTTTGGCCCCACCCTTGCCCCGGGGGTCATCATTTTTTTTTTTTTTATTTAGAACAAACTTGAATCTACACTATTGAAGATGATTCCACATGATTTCATCTTTCTTATAGTGGTTCTGGAGAAGATGAAAGTTTAAAGATTTTTCCTATATATTCCTATGCAAAACTTGGGTCGGCCATTTTGGCCCCACCCTTGCCCCGGGGTCTTGATTTGAATAAACTTGAATCTACACTACCTGAGGATGCTTCCACATGAGTTTCACAAACTTGAATTTACACTACCTGAGGATGCTTCCACATGAGTTTCATCTTTCCTGGCCCAGTGGTACTGGAGAAGAAGATTTTTAAAGATTTTTCCTATATATTCCTATGTAAAACTTGGGTCGGCCATTTTGGCCCCACCCTTGCCCCGGGGGGCATGATTTGAACAAACTTGAATCTACACTACCTGAGGATGCTTCCACAAGAGTTTCATCTTTCCTGGCCCAGCGGTTCTGGAGAAGAAGATTTTTTAAAAATGCCATTAATTTTTAACAAATTCATGATTATCTCCCCTTGGAAAAGGGCGTGGCCCTTCAGTTGAACAAATTTGAATCCCCTTTACCCAAGGATACTTTGCAGCCAAGTTTGGTTGAAATTGGCCCAATGGTTCTTGATAGAAGATGAAAATGTGAAAAGTTTACAACGACGACAACAACAACAACGACAGACGACGGACAAATTTTGATCAGAAAAGCTCACTTGAGCCTTCGGCTCAGGTGAGCTAATAATGAAACAGTATGAAATTTTATACAGTTTTTACATCCTAAGTTTATACAATCACTCAAGCAAAAGCAATTTTGCTAGAACTATAATATTTGGCGTATGTATCACCTTGATGAATGCGTGATAAATTTTACAGCTTTGAAACGGCTGTGTTAACAGGGAGTAGCGAGCCAACTCAAAAACTGTGTTATTTCCTTAATAATTATACATTTGTTCATTAGTTTTAATTGATTTTTTATCAAAATAATCTTTATTGATTAAATTAATCTTTGGTGATTAAAATTACCAAAATGACTGTAATTTTTTTAAGAGAATTAGAAGAAAAACTGCTTGTCCGATAAGTATTGGATGTTATTTTTTGATACAATATTTTTCTTGAATATCGATACGTATCGATATATCAATATATTGATACTGCCCTAATCACTCTATGTATCTAACTGATTAGTGAGCACCAATAGTTTTAAAAGACAATACTTAAAACTCACCTCATGAATCCCAAAATGTCCGTAGGAATCAAAGTAGTAGTCTTTGGAGGTCATTTCCTCAACGGGGACGGAGCCAGGGGTCTCCCGGGCCTTGGAGGATTCTGAGGTGGTGGTCACAGGGGTCTGAAACACACGTAAATAGCAATGCTACTTAAAAGGCTGTCAAAATCCATCAAATTTATAATTTACCAAATATGTATGTGCATAATTCAGTGGAGGGTTTTGGTTTTTTTTATTATTATTATGTCGGGACTTTTTTTTCATAGTGACTGAACATATTATCACTGGCTAGAGGACAGTAAAACTGAGACACACTAACTTTTGACCTCTTCAGTCTCCTTTTTACAAATGGAATTAATAGTGGAAAAGAGAAACTGAGATCAAAAGCAGATCCGTTTGGGTCCTGGAGCCTGTTGAAAGCAATATTTATATCATCAAAAAATTTCTTCACTTAATTTGACAATGGTCTCATTTTTTAATGTGCCCTTAACAACATGTTTGAATATCTAATTCAAACTATTTTAGAATAACTAAAACAATCATGTTGTTAATTTAAGCTATAGAGCTAAATGGAGAGAAATCAGAGATTTTTAGAGAAAACTTGGCCCATGTGCTGATCATCCAAATGAATGTCTTTCCACAGTAACATCAGTATCCTCAACCCTAGCCAACCCCGTCGCAATAAACTGCATATGACAGTTCAAAATATATTCTATGATTGTGATGAGCCACACTCTTTAATTATAGGGGAAACTCAAACTTGAATATCAAATTCATTTAACCATGCGGTCTCAGATAGGAAATGGGTAAAATATGTCATTTTCGGTCCAATCAAACATTGACCTAAGCTGTAAACAGAATGCTTTTTACTTTACGGATGCTCATACGCAAAGTTTCATTTAAGATATCAATATTTCCATAAAAATCAATTAATCACAACCGCCTCACCTGCTCCATGTGGTCTGCCATTTTCTTTGTGTGTAGCGCGTGTATGCGTCATCAATTTTTGCGCACTAACTTTCTGAATTTTCTCACTCTCGATCCCGATGAAAAAATGTTCAAAACTAATTAATACTCATGCTTGAAAAAGGGCCTAAAATAACATAAAATTGAAAATTTGCATAATATAATGGAAGTACCTTGTTCTTGGCCTTTCTCTGTATTTTTTTTCCATAAAGATGCTACCTGTAATTCTGACATTATCTACTTAATAATCATGTATAGTTGTATGATCCTGAAGGTCTGCTTTCAGTGCATGATGTACCGGATTCTAGAACTGACTTATACCTCTCATTTTTTAGAAGAATTAAGAATCTACGTTTCATCTGATCAATTAGTCACGTGAATGTATACATGCGAAAGTATCTTAAATAAATACATGTAAATAAATAAATTCTTAAATAAAAAGAGGGAAATAGAGAAAGAGCTCTTGATTGATCCCCATCCATTAAAAAAAATCATTCACCCCTCATTTTTTGGAAGAAGAATCTACTTTTCATCTGTTCAGTAAGTCACCTGAATATGTCTAAGAAAATATTTTCAAACGATAACTTGAGAAATGATAAAAAAAAAGGGGGGGCGAGACAGAGATCTTGTTTGACATCCACCCATTTCAAAAAAAAAAAAAACCATTCAAACATTCCATGGCGTAAATTTCAATATATCACCATTTAAGGATCTTTTTATCAAATATTTGGGATTTCTGTTCACCAGGTATGTACCGGCGATGACTGTACAATACCTGCCCGTGGGTGTGACAGATCGCTATCTCCCCGCTCCTGATAAAGTCCAGTCCGCCCCTGGGGCCCTCAACACAAAGCTTGTCTCCCAGAACAATTCTTTTCCACTTACATCTCATTAGCACTACCGGTGGATAATGTATATTGATACTCTATTATTTAGTGTGTGTATTGTGCATGGATTTTATATAGTGACTTCAAATAGTAAGTTTATAAATATATTTACACATTCCCCAAAAAACCGAAATGTAAAATTATTGGACAGTAGTTTTTTTTTTTTTTTTAATTCAGCGATATTAGTTAAAGTTTTCAACTTAGTTTTTTGTTTGATAAAGGTATATATTTTTCTAAAGGATATTTTAAAATATAATAATATATGTTTTGTTTCCCTCAATAGCTTTTAATACATTTTCGATAGTTCTTCTCATATTCATAAAACAAAAATTGTGTTTTGTGAGAAAAAGTTCACTGCATCTTACTATATATAGTCATATCTGAAAAAATTAAATGGAATTAGCATGTATTCTGAAGATTCTAAATAAACATAAACATGTATATATTTTTTTAATTTTTTTTTAAAATTTTTACATACAAACATGTATTTATATTATATATAAGTATATATACATACGTATTAAAAAAAAAAACATTTCTTTGAACATACAAATTAAGTCTGCAAGACGCAAACGAAACTCAGAGGAAGAGGGGAGGGGGGCATTGTTTTCTTTCTTCTGCATATATATTCTCCGATATAGAATTTGTTTAACAAATAATATTGTGCTAGATCAATTAAAGATAATGTCAATGGTGGCTTTCGAATGTAAATAACTTATACTAGTATTTCTACCCCCCCCCCTTTCCGCAATTATTTAAAGACAAGCGAAAAGCTTGATAAATGTTCTTTTTTCTTAGCAGGAGTGAAGGAGCTGTTGTATTTTGAGGAGGAGAGGACCTGGGTAGAAGCGCGGGAAATCTGTCGGAATTATAACGGGAAACTGATGCGCAGCACGATTCTAAACCGGAACATCATAGAGAATTGTGGGGAGATCGACTCCAACAAGAGGTTCTGGGTGGGAGAACATCGAACACTCTCCTCATGGTTCGAAATCACAGGTAAGGATCACAAGGGCTTACTCCTGGTGAGTAAAAATATTTATGAAAAAAACATAATGTTTTATGGTTTTTTCATAAATATTTTTGACACTCCAGGAGCGAGCCCCTGTGGTAAGGATCTTATGAGCGCGGATCATGGAATAAGGAGTGGATTGAGGTGGAACAGGGGTAGATTTTATATTCTTATTCAACGTTTACTAGTATAATGAATTACGTAGATTTGGATGAAATTTATTTTATCGGTAGAGATTTAAGGAGAAAATATTACATCTTTATTTTTTTATTAATATACATACCATGAGTTTTCGCTACATATTTTACCGGGAGTGGGGGTGGGGGGTCAAGGATAACTTACCTGTAATTAACGGTATGAGATGTGCCAGGATTCCCCTTATGCAAGACATATTTTATAAGATATATTTATAAATAGAAAATACACTAAATACCTTTTGAAATTTATTTTATCTTAGTTGCGACATTAATTTATAAAATTACTACCACCTCTCCTACAGATAAGCACTTCAAGTAAAAGAAAATGTATTTCACCATGCATGACATTGCTGCATCTGCTATATATATCACTTTTATTAATTAAAATTAAGAAATCTTTACTACTGCGTCAATAACCTCATATTTATAGGTTGTTTCTTGGACAGCGAGATACAGACCAACGTAAGCTTTGATAACAGCGACAGAAACGAGGCTTCTGTGTGCTACGAAATGTGTCAGGATTCCCCTTATGTCGGTCTAAAGGTGAGATAACTTACCTGTAATTAACGGTACGAGATGTGTCAGGATTCCCCTTATGTCGTTCTAAAGGTGAGATAACTTACCTGTAATTAACGGTACGATATCTAGATGTTCATTATGTCAGGATTTACTTTACGTTATGTCAATTTTTTATGGGGTGATGTAAAAATATCCTTATGTCGGTCTGAAGGTGAGATACCTACTTACCTGTTATAAATGGTACGAGATGTGCCAGGATTCCCCTTATATCGTTCTAAAGGTGAGATAACTTACCTGTAATTAACGGTAAGAGATATGCCAGGATTCCCCTTATATCTGTCTAAAGGTGAGATAACTTACCTGTAATTAACGGTAAGAGATATGCCAGGATTCCCCTTATATCTGTCTAAAGGTGAGATAACTTACCTGTAATTAACGGTAAGAGATATATTGCTGCATGACACATTCCGACCATTAAATTTCCTTATATCTAAAAAAAACAATCGTCAATAAAGAATCCATGGGAAGGTCCTATTTCTAAATTTAACTTATTTAATTAAGGATTAATTAAGTCTTGTGTATAATTTAATATTTTATATGTTTGATTTAAATTATTTGCATGTTTAACATATGTGCATGTCATATTGAAAACACAAAACGAACTTTTAGGCATAACCCCTTATACACAATAAAGAGTCTAAAGGTGAGACAACTTACCAGTGTAATTAATGGCAAAACATAATAATGATTTGTCAAAAAGTGTCGAAATCATGGATTCCCCTTATATTGATGACACAATATAGTAAAGAATTGGCCACATGTGACAATTTTTTTCACATCATGGAAATTCTGAGATAACTTACCTGTAATTAACCAAATAGTGGAGAGTGCACATAATGTAATAATGTGTGATATAAAAACATCTTTACACCACGTAAAATTGTTTTGAATTAATGTCACAAAGAGCTGATATAATGCATTCCCCTTAATTGCGAGTTAATAAAGGTGAATGGAAAGTTGACATAACTTAGTGTGTGTAAATGTCACAAAGAGTGTAATGTAATGGAAAGTTGACATAACGAATAATAGTGTGTGTAAATGTCAAAAAGACTTAACATAATGTAATGGAAAGCTCCCCTTATGTGTGTAAATGTCTAAAGGTTGACGTAATGTAACTTACACTGTAATTAATGACGTTCCATACGAGATGTGTCAGGATACAGTTCCTCTCCAGAAAACATCAGATTTAATTAATTTAATCAATATTTTATTATGTAAGTAAGATTACATAATTGGATTGGACATCAGGCATGGCCTATATAAGTCCTCTCCAAGGTCAAGGTTACAAATGTTAAGAATTGACAATGATTTACAATGATGAAAAAATTTCCTTATAAGTTACATTAATTTTTTTTGTTATCTAAGGTGGGAAAAAGAAAAGAAAAAAATGAATCCAATTAAATTATACAGAAGCGTTATTAATAAGTACGTATACAGTAAAACTCGTTTAGTACGAACGCGGATATAGCGAATTCACGGATATAGCGAAGTTTTCCTGGGTCCCCGGCAAAATTCTTAACAAATCCTTGTAAAATTTTACGGTTATAACGAACTCGGATATAACGAATTTACGGATATAGCAACAACATCAGATGAAAAAGATCGGAGAGGGCTACATTATTGCAGCGTGGACTCACTTTTATGTAGCTATGGAAACATTTTCTTAACAATATCTCCCTAATAAAGAAAAAAAGACCTGTTTCAAACTTCTAAGATTTATTAGGACAACCTCGACCCCTTAATTAAGCAGTGAGTAAGTTGTCATTTATGTAAAAACGATTTTTATAAAAACGACAAAAACAGGCTGCGTTATGCTGTATTCATCTTAAAATCATATGTACAATTTTGGACATTTCGTTAAATAAAAATCAAATGATGAAAACAGATGTTAAAAACCACATCAATGTTGGACACCATGCCATGAATTGTTTCTCTTTATCTAACGCCATAGCCTGGGGGTTCCACATGTGATCGATATAGGTGTATCAAAAACTAAAACATGTCACAAACTGGGCAGATAATACTTGTACTGTACACTTTGAAAAATTTTGGAGTAATCCAAAATACATTTCTTATTTACCCATTAAGTTGTTACAATTTGTTTTATTTCATACTTAAGACTGAGTTGATTTGTTCATTAAAAAAAGATTTTTTAATATGATTATTTAGCAATAAAATTTCGCAGAAACGAATCAAGTGTAATAATTGTCCAATTTTATTCATATTAAGGAAATTGATCATATATTCATATGTATCATCTATGATGTCGAACAATTATATATTTCTTATTCTTTTTTAAATTTGATCAAATAAAAGTAGACAATATAACTTTACTGAAAGGACGGACAAATAAATAATAAAAATAAATTGAATTGATTAAATTTGATTAAAATTTATTCTTGACATTTGTGTGTTCATAAAATTTCAGAACAACACGTGCTTTTGCATCGACACGTCGCCAGGCAACCAGGCCGACCTTCCGTGTAACTTACAATGTCAAGGTAACGAGGCCGAGCAGTGTGGGGGTGACGGGGTCGTCAGTGTGTACAGAAAAGGTAAGTTTGTCTATCTTTGAAATAATGTTTTCTTGCCCTCTCCGACTCAGGGTAAAATTACTGGGTCGGTAGGAAGGTGGGAAAATCTCATTTAGAGAAAAATCGAACAAAATTGTTGATGGGATAAGAGGGGGAAAAAAAGAAAGAAATGTCATGGAATGAAAAACAAAAAAAATTGAGTGGGTTCATTTTAGTCAGTCGGTTAGCAGAGGGCAAGCAAGTATTTTTTAAAAGATGGCTCTATACACAATCTGCTATAATAAACAGTTAAATTCTACACAAACTGTTATAATATACAGTATATGACAAGAATGCCTAACCATCTTTTATAAAATAGTTAGAGATAATATTTTTGCTTGTTTAGATTCAAGTATATACAGGCATAATTTTCAAGATACTCTGTTTACATTAAAATATTCAGTTATCATTCAAAATCAATAGCAGGTGGTTCAAACACGAGATCAACAGGGAACTCCGCCGTCCCTTTGTGTTCGATTTGTCTTATACTCATAATACTACACTACAACCCCCTGATAAAAACTAAATAGAGTCTTCGATTTGTCTACCAGTCCACGACCCATGATTAAAACTAACAGAGTGTTCGATTCGTCTTATACTTATAATACTATACTACAATCCCTGATTAAAACTAACAGAATGTTCGATTTGTCTTACAGCTACCACGACCCCTGACAATGCTCTCTGCCCCCAGCAGGAAATGTGTCTCTGTTCACAGATGGATTGTCTCCCTTCTGGAGCCTCGTTCTCATCTAGGCCCTGTAGCACTGAGTTGTTCGGCGCATGCGGTAAGCTGAACTCTTTCAGTCACTAATCTATGTCGAAAAGTGACAGCTATTTTGCTATACACTTTAATATTTTCTGAACTATGGATAACTTTTAAGTGACTTTTTTTTTTGTCAAAGTTAAAGTAGAAATGGAGAAACGAAGTTCTGTAGATTTATTTTCTTGCCTTTTTCCTGTTCAAATAACAAATATAGTATGTCTTCATTTTATATAATTTTCCCACTCAGTATAATACAGTTTTATCATAGGACACAAATATGATCTGTTTTTATAACCTCCTTTAAGGGTATGGCTACATGACAGACACCAAGAAATCATGGAATGTGAGCAACCATAACTGCATCAAACAAGGATTCCTCGCAAATCAGGAAAACTCCCAAGAGTTTTGTAGGAACAGGATTATTACATGGCCACAAACTTACTGGTCCGGGGTGTTCCGAAGTGCGATTAACAATGTAGATATGGGTAAGTTCATCAAATCAAACACTGAAGCTACTTACATGTAATTTTACCAGAATTGTGATTTTACCAGAATTCAACATTAATTCTTAACTGATATTTTATTGTATAATGCTTACAAGTTACATGTATTTTGTAATGCATATTAGGACCATTTGATTTTAACAGGGTATGGCGGATCCAGAGATCCGCTCCTCTACTGTTTTTCATTTCGGAGAGGATCTCTTCTAGACAAAGAGGGGAGTGTCACCATCAGTCCCGACACGTGTTACAGCGAAAAGCTGCCCTTCATCTGTGAAATAGGTAAACTGTATTACCGGGGGAAAACCATGGTTATAATGACCTTGTTTGCAAATGCAACCTTTCACTGGATTGTGTTTTAACTGATAATTGTTAAACCATTGTGTTTTTACAACTTCCATTAAATTATTATTCCGTCCAGCCGATCAGTCAATATATATATGGCATACTACGAGTGTTACAAATCAAAAAGGGATGATTACACATCTTAGGCAGCTGATTCCATCACCGGGAATTCCAAGAGTCCATGTTCTATATACTGTTTACTTATTTGTTTTTTGTAGAGTTTTGAGATCAATCACTGTTCGTTATCCTTTTCATGATGTGAATTTAATGTATGCTCATGTTTTTTGCAGGATCCTCTCTGTTTGGGGAGGCTCGATGTAAAGTTCAGAAAGCCCCCACAACACCATCACCTACAACCACAGAACAGATCACGGCCGACACTGATCCCTCCACTACCATATCTGGATCCGCTCCCTCATCTACGTACTTCATCACTAACCAGGTCAAGGACGAGAGGGAAGACTTCGTCGACAAAAGTAACATTTTTTTAAAACAAAAAATCTCAATTTGAGAATTGTTAATGAAATAAATTTTATAAATATTTTTTAAGAAAAAGTCTTCTTTGATCTCAAAATGGTATCATAAAACGGATAAATGTAAATATTTTTCAATTTTTTGGCAAGTGCCCTGTATTATGACGTCATACCATTGTTTATTGCAGTATTTATTGTTGGTATTGTTGCTGGTGCTGTGTTACTGCTGTTGATCATTATTTGCTCCGCCACAATTGTAACCAAGAGAAGGTAAGCTCCCTGCAATCGGTATTATCGAATGAATTTTTTTTATATCAAATTGCAATTGCCAAGTTTCCAGTTAGGATTTAAAGACAGGAAAGGAAAATAAATTGGTAATTTGTTTTTTGTTTTTTTTAAAATCTGAACTAATAATTTACATTTACAGGAGAGCAAATTACGGAAAGAAGTATGGGAATCAGTTCATAATTCGCTCCTATGGAAATGACGTCAATCTAGACGAAACGTCATCAAACTCCAAAAGAAAACAGAAGCAATTCGTACCAGAAATCTTTGTAACTGACGTAACTTCCGGGGAAACTTTACAGGCATTTCCCAAAGATAGCAGCAATATCAGCGTGTCTTCGTCTGAAATGAAATATGACAGGCTGAAAAAAGACCGTACCAAGGGAAAATCCATAGAGCCTCAGCAATATATAACGAATCAAAGTGACGTCAGAAGTGACGTCAGTAGTGAGAACGGTCATGACGAATCCCGTCCGTTGACAAAAAAGAAAGAAACAAAGCCCAGTCAAATTAAAGCTGAAGGCCAACCAATTGCAAAAACTCAGACTGAAACCAGTGCTAGCGAAAGTTTGTCAAGACAGTCAAAGTTATCAAGAAAACCTCCTTATCATTATGTGTATAGCGAATGGTGAATCTGATGAGTTGTTAATAAAATCTGAAGTGTCTGCTTTCTTCTCTCATTTATATACCTAGTAACCAGCAACATTTATTCACCAACGTAACTAATAACATGATAATCATGTTTTTTCTCGAAATGACCGTATCCTAATGTGTTGCAATTGGTTTAAGTTTTTCTTTTGATGTATCAAATTTTTGAGAAGGACAACTGACAAATAAATAAAAATTTCAGGGGTTTCTGACTCTATTGTTTAAAGTCAACAAAGGGTGTTGTGCAAAAAGGACTATTTCCAAACTTTTACCCGGTAGGTTTTTTTATTGGAACGTGCATGAAAAGTTTAGACTGTATCTTTAAAACTTCTGGATGAAGTACAACTGATCGCATGAACAACTAAAGAATGTGAAAGACTAGCTTTCACATTAATGGAATTATTTAGGATTTTAAAATAATTTCTAATTAAATTTCTTTATTATACCTCTACTTATTTTTTCCTGTATAAAAGTAAGGCAGTGAATAATTCCTAGAAATCTCAGTGAATGGACTAATTCCCCGTGCGTTAGTTACATTTGTAAATGAGCTAATCCCTGCTTCGGAAGCTAATTCCCCAGTTATCCGTAATCCTCTAGATTTTACTTTTGTAATATGTATTTTGTAATCCTCTAGATTTTACTTTAGTAATATGTTAATGGACTAATTCCCCGTGCGTTAGTCTCGAAGCTAATTCCCCGCCATTCGTAATCCTCTGTTTGTATCGGTATAATAAAACAGTTAAAAAGTATATCATTGAGGGAGTTAGAAAGGTTCCAATTCCCCTCGACCAGGACTATGTCCTTCGGAGCGCTGCCCCTCGGGAAATAGTACGTCCTGGTCTTGGGGAACTGGGATCTTGCTAACTCCCTCAATGTTATACTTTAACTGTATTCTAACATGCGTCCTTCCTTCCTTCTTATTTTTCCCACATACTATAGTAAATTATTTCAAATATAGGTTTTTTTTCGATAAGATTTTTTTGAATTATCAATCTTAAAACTACAGATAATTATTTCACATGGGCTGATGAGAAAGAAATATACATGTACATGAACATTCAAGAAGACGTTTATTCAGTTTAACTCAATGTTGATTTATGCTTATTTTATTGTTGAAATAACTGTCCACTGTTCTAAAGTAAATATACTAACGTTTAAACAATATTACTATGCGGATTGAATTTTATTATAGATTCACACTCATAAAACGTAGAAAATATTCCCCGTTAAACTCCCTCCTAGTCTAGGGTCTGCTTGTGTAAGGGTACATTATATGACAATCTATGTAATTCCGATATACAGGCCTTGAAGTGCTGTACAATTAGCATATTTTATGATAAGATTATTCCTTATGTTGTATAAATGTAACGGAGTCGGTGGAGGAGCGACTTCATCAACATGGGGGTCGTCTATACCATGACATGGTTCTTTTTAATTTTTATTTATTTATTTACGATCACAGAACAAAATGTGAGACAACGAAGACAAATATCACCAGAACAGTAAGTTTTATTTGTTTTGCTTTTTAAGAAAAATATTCGTCTACTTTTTGCTATTATTAAAATGGGCACTGAAATATATACCTGCTATTAAAAAAAATATTTTGCTGTTTTTCTAGGCTACAAGCTATTTTATTCATGATAAATTGATAAGATTTTCAAGAAATAGGCAAAAAAAAAAAAAATGAACTAAAACCAATATCTACCTTGTTTTCAATAGGATGAACAATTACCAGTTCTTTCTGACATAGTTTAAAAAAAAAAAGTGGCACAGCCAGAAAAATAAAGTTGACAATATCAAAAAGTTTGACAAAACTTGAGATTTAAATACTAGTAAGTTAGGGGAGGGGCTAGTGCAAATCACTTTCATTTCCGGGAAATAAGTAGAAAGTGAAAGCAAAATTAACTTGCCTGAAAAAAATTGACCAGCAAAAAAAGCCTAAACTCGAAAATCTCATTGTGTGTGTGTGTGTGGGGGGGGGGGGGGGGGGGGTTAAATGCCAACTTCTTTCGATGCTAAATTTTTCAAAGAAGGGACGGGATTCCGGACTTTCTATGAACATTTTCTAAATGTCAAAAGTTATGTCTGGAAAAAAGGAGGGTTGGTATAGAAGAATAAAACAGGATTCCCTTAAAATTACCATTTAACCCAGGCGCGAATCCAGGAATATAGGTAAGGGGGTGGGGGCGCCAAAAGTAGGCAGGGGGTCTCGGGGCCGCATTGAGACCCCCATTGGGTCCAGTGCGAAGCCCTGGTGGGGCCCAGGGGGCGAAGCCCTCGGAAGATCCTGGATTCTAGAATTTTTTTTAGGGTAAAAATGATGTCTATCGAGTAGACGTTTTTTACATTTTCTAGGCGAAACTGTGATTTACGCTAACTTTGACAATTCTAGGGGAGGGCGCCGCACCCCCTTAAATCCGCCACTGTTACCATCAAAATAGTGACTTTCTGGACGCCAATTAGAGCTCAAATCAAACCACGAGTTATTGAGGTTTTGGATTTAATGCTTTCGGTACATATATGTATACATGTACCATAAATGGTATTATGTAACTATTCCAGCTCTGTTGCACATCAGTTATTTAAGGTCTAATTTTCATACAGTTTTATCAAAAAGATTTCGCAAGGAAGGCCAAAAATTAATAGAAGTATTTCTTAATTCTTCATTTTACAAGTACATGCATGTTATATTGTGTACTAGTATTGCAGATCTTCAATTTTTAGCCATAAGCTAATAAGAGATTTTACATTTAGACTTCTATTATTGTATAATGTACGAAAGTCCAATATATTCCGGTTATTTAGTTAAAAGAGAAAAAAAAAAAAGAATCAATGAATTTTAATCGTTAAACATTCATATTACGAAATATTCAGGACACATGCAGAAGTATCGAGGGGAGGGGGTGCTGGGCGCCTGTCCCCACACTCTTTTCCGATTCATAAATTTTTCTTACAGAAATTGTTCATTGTAAGGCTGATTGTCTGGGCCATATCCACACCTTTCGTTTGTATAGGCAAATAATGGGTAATGTATGGAAAACATTTGGTTATGACAGAAGTTGGAAAATACCACCCCGACCATCCCCTCAGTGAAATATGATTTCATGTTTAGACAATTTTACTGTGTCGACATGATTCTTTAAAGAATTGAAATAGAATTTTCATGATGATTATTCGTAGTTTAAACTTAACACAAGATTTCTTTTTCTTGCAGGCCCCGGATGATGACGATGAACGGGCACCTGATTTTTCAGACGGGGACCAATCATAACATTACATTTAGATCCCAGGGAGGGGGATATGTGAACATAGATGGAGAAAATGTCCAACAGTTAGCTACCATGGTAATAAACGAAGCGATTTTTATTCACTATTAAATATATAAAGTGTGAACAATAGCAGCGACAAGAAGTGCGGAGATAATCTCTATCGTACCCGGGAGTATCCCGTTTCATAAGTCAAAATTTATTGTTATAAATGAAAACATTTTGGTGTCTACAAGTGTATTCCGAATACATTTTCGTTTAAAAATAAAGCATGACCAAATCCAACACAAATAGTAATACCTATTTTTGATAAATTTATAACATTTTTTCCATTTTGGTAGCTTTTAGCATTTTTCGTAAAAAATGATGCATTTGCACCCCCTTCTCTTTCGATTGTCCTGGTGAGGTAGGTAGTAGCATTCCTGAAGAAGTACTTTGTCAAAGACTCTTTATTGAACCCCTGAAACGGATAGAAAACAACATGTACATTTGTTTTACTCTTAAGGCTAAAATCCCTTAAAATGATTATTATACAAGTTTTGATTAAATAATTTACTTTATATAACAAACCCGTTTGAGGAGTCGATGTACAGTACCCCCTTATCGGGGTCGTGGCGATCAGCTGATGGCCTCTTATTGGCGGTAATTTACACGGTAATTTACATACAGAGAGGTCTGTTTATGAGGGAACATTACGAGGAGGCTGGTACTATCACCCGTAAAGTCGTTATCCTGCGTTATGAATTCATTAAACTCCCCCGTGTCCTATCGCTACAGGCAATACAAGTCACAATAAATACCGCGATAATAACAAAGTCTATGTGAACTGCGCTTTATTAAATTTTCGTAACATTTAATTTATTTTAAATTGATAAACTAACATACAGGTAATTAAAAAGATTTCAAGGAAAACTTATTGCTTTTATATCAAATAAATAAGTAATATACATGTACGTAACCTCAACTGCATGCATTGTTTAGAAAAAGAAGTGCTAGCTTCGATTTGATTTTCAACATTAAAACATATCTTGTTTAAATTATGATGAAACTAATGTCAAAATTAAAAAAAAATGATTTAAAGTTTCAAATATTAAAATTGATTCAACGACAATTGACTATAGCAAAGTAAAACGAAATAATTTAATTTGTTATTAGCATATGGATTATTAATCTGTAACATATGATAGTTTGTAAAGTTTATTTGTTTCAATTAAGACTTCAATGTATTTCCATAATCGAATCTAAGGCCTCATCATAATTTAACCCAAACCCTTCCTCTCCCAATTTTCTTTTATCATCAGATGAACCGTTTTTATTGTAAATATATGGAACATCGTGACATTTATCACGAAATAACATATAAATTGACTCCAGTAAAATGATTTTTTTTTTCAGATCAGAAGCAATAAAGCAGAAATTGATCATCTTAAAACTTCCCCAACAGTTGTAAGTATTCTATTATAATGAATTAATACTACTCACCTTAAAACTTGGCCAACATTTGTCAGAATTGTAAAATTTTATAATTACTAGTCACCAACAGTTGTAATTTTTGTAATAATTTTGATAAGTATTCACCTCAAACCTTCATTAACACTACTCAGTATTTTATTAAATGCGATACCGATTAGTTACCTTTGAGTTCGCCAAAAGTTGTAACAATGCGATAGGTACTGTAATATTCAACATAAAACAAGCCCAACATATGTATTGTAAGAGGATATTGTTTCATCTATATAATCTTTTCGGGCATCCTTTAAATTGCAAATGTAAGAATTGTACTTATATTTTTTTAAAAGTTAATTTGAGAACTTTTTTTTTAAATCATAGAAGAATGACAAAATTGAATATTTTAAAAATATTACAAAGAGACATTGAAACATTTACAGGAACGTAAGATGGAATTCAGTTAACTGAACAGCAGAATTCCATCTTGTGTTTTTCATGAAAAATAACTAAAGCATGACAAGAAGTCGACAGAATGGCTACAGTGGTAATTACTACAGGCTGCCATTTATAGCTCAATTGAGCCAAAGACTCATGTGAACTTTTTTGATCAGAGAGTGTCCGACTCCGTCTGTCGTCTGTAAACTTTTCACATTTTCATCTTCTTCTCAAGAATCACTTCAAGTTCAGCCAAACTTGCCACAAAGTATCCTTGGGTGAAGGGGATTCAAGTTTGTTTACAGGAAGAGCTGCTCCTTCTTTCAAGGGGAGATAATTAAAAATTCTTGAAAATTTGGTGGCATCTTTTTAAGAACCACTTTTCAAGAAAAAATGAAACTTAAGAATAAGTGAAAGCTTCAATACATACTCTCAATTAAAATTTGTTAATATCACCAGGGTGTAGAGCGTAGCCACAAGAGGAGGTAAAAGTTTAATATAGGAATATATATGAAATGTCTTTAAAAAATCTTCTCCAGACCAGCAAAGCCATGAAAAGTCATTTTAATACAGAAATTTCCACAGGTTGTGTAGATTCAAGTTTGTTCGAATTATGACCCCTAGTGGTTCAAGGTTTACATAATATAATAATTATAAATGTATGATGGACATTTGAGTAAAACACATTGAAGACTTCAAATAGTGGAATGACCTGACAACCCTTAGAATGGACTAGCCTAAGAGTATAAAAGGCAAAGTTTTGGGAAATTAAGCATTCAGAAGAAAGCAGTAGAATCAGCCATAAAGAAGTTAAGGTATTCCATCCTCATAGCAAAAGTTTCATTGAAATTGATTACATAACCGATAATAGGTGTTGAATACTCGATATATTTAGATACAATTCCCATTTATTACTAATAGCATGTAAGGATCGAATATGTCCAAATTTAAAACGTTGAATTTTGGTTTGAGTCATCTCCATCTGCTTTTTATTACTAAATAAATCAATTCTAAGAACCTTATCAGGTAAAAACTCGTTATCAATTGTCATTCTAGTTTTCTAATGTGTTTTAGTGCTTTCTTACACTACATTTTTTATTGATATAATTCTTATTATTTGAATATTTTTTAATGAAAAAAAATTTGTTAAATATGACTTCACTGCAAAGTATTTACTGCTTAAAACATTTTTGAAAATTTCACTTTGTAAATCCTTTTCTACTGTAAAATGCTTAAAATTAAAATCAGAGTAGTATGTATGTGATGGATATTAAGAAATAGAGAATGGAAAACCTTAAGGATGGGATCAAAGTTAGGACCTTCTCTACAACAGTGCAGAATGTTTTATTGGACATTGACAATAATATATTTTATAAAGGTCTTAACATTAAGCTTCTTTAATTAATTTTTACAATATGGTACGTGGCATTTACCTCAAAGAAAAATAATCAAACACAACACAGTATCAGTGAATAGAATTCACTGTTGTTTACTTCCACGGAGAAAGGACATTATAAAAAGCATGTTCAATTAATTTATCTTGACCTTTTAAGATATTAAGAATACTTGAATTGACTACAAATTGTGTTATGCATAATATGAATTCCTATGTTTTTAGAATTTAGATCTAAGGACAGATCACTCTTACTGCAAAAAAAAAAACACCACCAGAACTCATTGATGTGCAGTGTAGAGAGGGTTTTTAAAGTATAAGTTATAAACACCACTGGCAAGTATCCTAGGGAATTGATGTTAAGCCCTGGGTGTAGTAGATTGAGACACTTGGATCTTGTCTATCAATAAGAACTCAGATGAGAAACACGGTGCAAGTAGTACCTTATACCCAGTCTCCATCTCTAGATAAGAGAAAATGTAAAAGAACTGTGTGATATACTTTCAGACATTGTAAAAGGAAAAGTTATATACATGAATATTCCTTTTAAGAACCTGATCATACCATTGTATACTGGAAATATCTGAGAAATCTTCTCAAGAACAACTAAGCCATTAATAGTCATATATATACAGAAGCAACCTTAGGTATCGTTCAATCAAGTTTGTTCAAATAATGACCCCCAAGTATGCTGGGAGCACAACAGAAGGCCGAATCTTCGCAAAAGAATACATAGGAATCATTTTGAAAAAATCTTTTGCTGAAGAACAACAAAGTCTTGATTATTCATATTATCACAGAAGCAGTTTCAGGAGGTGTAGATTCAAATTTGTTCAAATTTACGGCGAATAGAGTGGGGTCACAATGTAAAATCATAGTTTGATATAGGAATACATTGAAAAAAAAACTTTAACAATTATTCTGTTAAATGACAGCAGAGCCATGTTTAGTAATATTGAAATAGAAGCATACTGAGGTAGTGTAAAATTAAGTTTGCCCCCTTCAAACTTTTCAATACATAAGTGATTTCTACTTTTTCCTAGCTAATGTGCTCAGGTGTGCGACGTGGCCCACGGGCCTTATCTATAACGTTGCTTTCAGGCCCCCAGTAACCTGGAGACACGGGTATCTAACATAGAGCAGAGACTGAACAACCTGCAGCCGACAGGGGAGGTCCAGAACCAGCTAACGTCGCTAGGCAACCGCGTCAACGCCCTGGAGATCAGTGTAGGTGGAGCTACAGTCTTCATATAAATCAGAAATGAAACTAATAATAAATAACACAAAATGAAATTAATATTAAAATATGCGAGTCTTATGACATAACATGTTATTTTTTGCTTTTTATGTGGTTGATTAATATATATACCAAGTATAAACCCCTTGAGAAAACGTAGTAAAAATAGGGAAAAAAAGTCTTCAAGCCCACTGTGGCACAATATATGGACTTTTGCAGGAACATGTGCATTACGTAAAATTGTTAAAAAGAATATGGTAGGTTAGAGCCTTGAGGCAATGTAAAAGTGATATCTATTTATAATAACTTTCCAATCCTTTATGACGTTTTGTTTGTTCTGTAGGTACCCAGCAACTTACCTGTGAGGTTGACACAGATAGAACAGCAACTTAGTTCCTTGACAACATCTGGTGACCTCCAAACGGCCTTGTCTGACATAAGGTCAAGGTTAACTACAGTAGAGAACATTGTAAGTAATTAAACAGTAACCTTTTTAAAAATAACAAGGAAAAAATATTATAAAATTAATTCACTGTAATTAGGCTGCTATTAAATGTTAATATGAAAAAAAATGAATCCACATAGTTTTCTTCAAGACTCACCGGTCCGCCAGGACACTATATACCGATAAATGCTGATTGAAATTTAACTTTGAAACAAAAACAAAACACCGTAAAACTAATATTCATCAAACAAAATCAATAGAAGTATTATACCACTGAATATATACAAGTATCATATTTCTATTGTTTATCTATAAAAGAATTATTTCAAACAACATTAATATAATTACAGTCTTCGTACAATGAACTTTTGATGAGTTGCTCTTGATCCTCTCCCCTTACTAAATATTTATCAGTATTAGAATATTATTTTTTCCCACATCGATCATTTGATTTTTGCTTTTATCATATATTTCATAGACATTTGCAAGGTACTGACATATTTAAAACGAAGTTACAGAGAAAGGACACAATTTGAATTGTTGACACAAGATTGGGGAAGCACCAAAACAGATTTCATTGAAAACCATTATTCATATGTACATGTACAACTTTACGTGTTTTTGGTGGAATAATTGAAAAAAAATTATTCAGTTGTTCGATATTATATAGAATGATATTTTGATTTTGCGCAGCATACGTCATAAATTTCGTCCAAACTTTTTACATATTATGTATTTTGAGGAACTTACCTAACGATTTTTGTGGCCATGTCTTTCAACAGGTGACAACTCTACAAAATCAGGTCTCCAATGGCAACAGCGACACTCTGAGCAGAGTAAGTATAATTCATTTGTCTTGTTAAAATTCTATAAAAGGCACTTTTCTTTTCTTAGGAGGAATCGGATAACTCAAGAGCCAGAAACATGAACAGGAATGCTAGAAGACTGCGGAGAAGGGTGACAGTTTTATGTCATCAGCACGGTTGATACTCTGCACAGTGCTCAATGAGCGCACGTGCAAACCACATAGAGCACAATCAGCACAACATGCCTTGTTCTTATGTCACTGTATAAGTTTGCTGCCTGATTTACTATTGTACTCCATTGTATTGAGGTTGAACAACTCAATATTGCTTTTAATTATGAATGCTTTGCATTATCAGCTTCCTCTGTAATGATGGTTTCGACCCTTCCTTGCATCTAAAGAAAAATTCACTATTTTTTATGACAACTTTTAAAGGTTTCAATGTTAAATACTAGTAGCCTAGACATAATCTCTATGAAGCTTCAAGCATGAGGTTTCAAGTTTTCAGAAGATGCACGAAGTAAACGCTGAAAACTGTGTGTAATACTCCCATCACGATATAAAAATGTCCTCGTAAAATATTCCTTTTTGATTCATTTGTTGAAAAATACAAGTTGATTAACAATATACATGTAAACATGTAATTTTGACTTAAAATTGTTTTTTCAGGCGCAGGGTAATAATGACGAGTTTTATATACTAGTATTGAATAAGCATTTCATTTCAAAGAGCTGTGTTTGAGATCTCGATAGACTATGAACTAAGAACAGATTGTTTCTTCTACTGAATTTTTAAATAAATCTGCATTTTACATTACAGGTCAGAACTTTAGAACGAAACGTCCAAACTCTACAACAGGTAACTCTTGTTGTTTTTACTTTACGCATTAATTGTTCAAAGATCTAGATTTGATATCAATAAATAGTTGCTAGGTTCAAATTTTCCTATAAAGCAAATGCCTTATTAAAACAAATATTATCATGATTAATGAATGCACACTATTTTGCTTAACCCTGTAGTGCAAAATTTTACAGATAGCTCCTTTAAACTTGACAATTATATGTAATGTTCATCACTCTGTAAGAGTTATCTCTCTTTCCAGAAGGTCTATGAACCATAACATCTTTTAACAAGTAAAATGAATACATGTATTAACTTAATTCGTTATGTTGTAATTTCTTGTTCCTATCTTCATTACAGCTGCTGACCCAGAACGAGTGTAGCTCGAACCCGTGCAGAAATGGAGGGACGTGCGTGGACCGATATAACGGTTTCTTCTGCCAGTGTCCGCCGGCCTGGAAGGTACATGTAGATTATTAGTCGGATAAGGTCTGTTTAATCATATTTATCGATAAAGAGTGTAAAGAAGCAATATGAAGCTAAAATCAAATAAATAACGGAATAATGGGCATTTCAGGGTGTCATGTGTGATGAAGATGTGAACGAGTGCTCGGAATATGCCGGGACTGACATGGGATGTCAGAATGGAGCAACATGTCGCAACACTCCGGGAAGCTTCACGTAAGTGTAGACAGTCTTAGATGTCATAAGAGGTCCAGTATTTAATACGACGGCCATACAGGCATAATCCTACCTGATTCACATCCCTACTTGGTTTGCTGGACACCACTCATTGGCGTCGGAAGCAAATTGAAAGTGGGGGGGCTAAGTGTTAAATAAAATTTTTGGCACCTTCAAAAGTACCTGACAAGCAAAAAAAAAAAAAAAAAAGGGAAATGTCCCAAACACGAAAATCCTATTTCTCGGGGGGGGGGGGGGGGGGGGGTTCGAAATTTACTACCAAAATTTTTTTCCAAACACCACTACTTTCCCAATTCTTCACCTATAATAAGACGTATCTGTGGAAAGTGGTGGGGGGGGGGGGCTAAACCTATGAAATTATGTTCAATGTCTATACTAAGTATATATTTGGAAAAAAAGTGGGGGGGCTAAGCCCCCCCTAGCCTCCCCGGTTCCGACGCCTATGCCACTTATATTGTTTAATTCTTCATTTTCTTGAGTATCACTTATATTTCAATTGTCAGTGCGCGGGCTAACTGATATGGTATTAGGTTGTCTTGATTTTCGTGAATACCACTTATATTTCAGTTGTCAGTGCGCGGCTAACTGGTATGGTATTAGGTGCTCTGAGCGTCATGATGACTGTAACCAGGCGTCACATGAGGAACTTTGTGGACACGGAACATGCGTCAACTCTGAACGGGTTCAACCTGGGCAGGTAAGACCCAAAGATCTGGTAGATTGCATTCCAATTTTACAAAACCACCTGCAGAGTCTTTAAAATCATTTATCAGCAAGTTAATATGAAAAATGCATTGAAATTGACAATACATATATATTAAGTGTAAACATTTCTGGCAGCCCAAATACACTTGTATTTGTGACGATGGGTGGACGACGAGCGGATCTAATCCGATGTGTGTGGTGGACCGTGACGAATGTTCCGAAGCAGGACCACGATGTTCAGTCGATCCCAGTGTGCCGTGTATCAATGTACCGGGCTCCTTCTACTGCGGCCAGTGTCCAGCTGGTAGGTAGATATAGTCCCTTATTGTCCTTGTCATTTTAGGAAGCTACTTGAATCGTTATACTGTTGTTATACTTGTCAGAGTAGGTGGGGAAATTCTCTGACATGGGAAATCATACCAGTCTTACTTTCTCTGAAGTAATTCATCTCAACTGAACGTCAAGAACTCACAGATGTTCCTTAAAGATGTTTACTTTAATCTTTATCAGGGTTTTCTGGAAACGGATTTTCGTGTGTGGACATCAATGAATGTGAAGTTAATAATGGCGGGTGTTCTTTGACCCCGAGAGTAGACTGTATTAACACGAGAGGGTCCAGGACATGTGGTCCTTGCCCACCAGGTACGATCTGCTTAGGTAGATCCTTACCCGGATAAAAAGAAAGATTATACCACAAAAACCTTGTTTACTTACAACTGTTCCTAAACTGGAATTTGTTTTGGAAGTTCTTTCTCTGCACGTTTACTCTTTTGTTTGGTTTAAATTTTGAATTTATAGGTTACCAGGGTAACGGTGTCACGTGTAATTGGGTGGGAATGTGTAGCGTTAACAATGGCGGATGTCATCGACAGGCCGCTTGTCAGGAATCTCCAGGTAAGGTTGAGGACAGAATCACCACATAGATCGGTAAGCAAGTTGATATACAGTATTCGAAGAAAACTGAAGATGTCCATTTGCAATGGAAACACCGAAATCACCGATCATTTTGTAGTAAAATTATGACAAGAAGTGATGTTACTAAACTGATAAGCATCTTCAAGTAAGAATAAGGCGAGGCAGAATCACAAATGGGCAATAAATATCAGAAAGCCAGCTGGCATCCTCGCTAGCCAAGAGTTTCTGATACGTTATACTCTAAACCGATGACATCGTTTCGTAATGGAAATAACAAAATCATCGACGTAAATTTTATATAGTAACATTATGTACAGCAAGTGATATTACATAACTAAATTGATAAACCTACAATACATTTTACATCTCGAAACAAGGTATAATTTTTGAAACTTAGCACAACCGAACTAGAATCGAGCCCGGATCTACCGATCAGTAGGCTACTGTTAACGGTTAAAACTTTTAAAAGCTTTTGTAAATCAGGATAGATAAATTTCAATATTTTTTGTGGTAAGTTTTTATTTTGACTGATTCATATCTATCATAAGGAAATTGTGTTCATTTTAATTTTGACTACGGATTACTCTTTTTAACTGAACAATACAAAACAAACACAAAACTCTCAACTAACCCGTCGATAGGGGACTTTACACCTCCTACTCACCTAATCACACCTGAGGAGTGTTTCCAGGGAATCTCTATTTTCTGTTCATAATTCATATTGTTTAAAAGGATTGGCATTTTTCCTGCTGTAGGAATACAGGGTGTGACCTGTACCTGTCCCCCCGGGTATGTGGGTAACGGTCAGGGACCTAATGGGTGTGTCGCTCAGGGGGTGACGGATGGGCCGTGTGCCAGTAATCCCTGCAGGAATGGAGCTGTGTGTGAGGTAGGAAAATCATTGTAGTATGCAAAAATACCGGTATGAGGACATGAACCTCACTACAGCGCATATGTTTTAAGACTAAAATTTTTTGCAGAACTTATTAATTAAAAATTCAGTACTTTGGCTTGACTGCTGTCTTTTCAATGTACATTGACTTTGTTTGAGCCTATGTCGAATTTAAATATTTATGTTGTATTCACTGCAATTCTTGTTAAGCCTTTTAAAATAAAATTCCATTGCCTGTATCTCTATCGTTATTTTGTCCTTTCTGTCTAGAACTCAGAAAACACCTATAACTGTGTCTGTCAGCCCGGATATGAAGGGACACAGTGTCAAACCAACACCAATGAGTGTGCCAGTAATCCCTGCCAAAACGGTGGCACATGTACGGACCGACTCAATGGGTACACTTGTACTTGTACTAGTTCATACACAGGAAATAACTGCGAAGAGGAAGCCCAATGTAAGAACCAGATAGAAAGGCACAGAGTTAACTAGACTATCATTTTCTTTTTTGATTGACTTTTAGGAATTTTCAAAAGTAAATTTCTTACTTATACTCTTAGACTAGACTAGATGAATACATTTTCCAATTGTTTCTATGGCACCTGATCCCACCTCTGGCGTTTCGGAGGGCCATCTGTGCTCTGTTCCTATTTTGTATTGTTTTAGGGGCTTTGATATTGAATATTGTTCGTGATTTCCATATCCTTCTTTTCTTTGACATTTTTAGCATGCGGTGGTGTTTTAACCCAAGAGTCTGGTTCATTACGCTATCCGGAAGAATCAGGAACCACTTACCCCCACGGCGTCAGTTGTTCCTGGAGAATCACCACCACCCCAGGAAAGATCATAAGCGTGACTTTCACCACCTTCAGTATTGAACAGCACCCTAACTGTGATTATGACTATCTACAGATCCACGATGGACCTAGCGCAACTGCTTACAAGATCGGAACTTACTGCGGAAGCACGGCCCCGGCGCGAGTCAACACGACTCAGCATCAGATGTACATCTGGTTCTACAGCGACCAGTCCGTGTCGTCTGATGGATTCTCTCTGAACTGGATCTCAGCTGATCCCAGTAAGTCTTAGATATTCTGTTTATGTCTACTGAGATCTAACGATATCCTACTGTTAGATTTATTTAGGTCATTGATCCGGTCTTTATTTTTATTTTGTGTTTTCCAGTATGTGGCGGATTGTTAAACCAAGGGGATCATGGTACTATTTCCAGTCCTGGATATCCAGGGAACTACCCCCATAACAGGGATTGTGTATGGAGGGTAATGGTGTCTCCCGGCCAGAATATCATGTTCACGTTTGCAGTAATGGCTTTAGAACACCATGACAACTGTAGCTATGACTATGTAGAGGTAATGTATTACCAGAGGTTCCCGATGATTTTTTTATGAAAATTAAAAAAATGTTTTCAAAAAGCTTTTGATTAATCATAATACCTTTAGCATGGTTCATATAAATAACATTTGTTTGTTCCTTTTTCTGACAAGAATCACTACCTCGACCTAATATAAAACATTTTGTTTCTTCATCCTATTAACTATCCGCTTAATGTTCAATTCTATCAACCAGGAAATAGCACATGTTTTAAGGCTTAGAAGAAACAAAGAAAAATACTGATACATGCAATCCTTCGACTACGTCATACTAGGTTATGTTAATATAGTAGAAGGTCCCTCGTAGGTGCCCTCTTAATTGATGCGCTTGTTACAGATTCGTGACGGATTAGACGAAAATGCACCATTACTAAAGAAGTACTGCAACACGCAGTCTCCTGTTCCAATTACTACTTCCAATCCATACGCTCACATCAAATTCCACTCTGACGGATCGTTGTCAGATCGAGGCTTCCTAATGACGTATGCTGCCGTGTCTGGTAAGTTTCTATAGTCCCTCAGGATGGTTATGAAGTATGATTCAACCATTTTCTTAGTTTGCTTTCAAAATAGGCCACAAAACTATGAATCACAAACACGAAGTTGAAGGGTTAGGTACAGGAAATATTGTTTTATTTGATCACTGGATTTTAATTTCAAGCTGGACCGCAATGTGGTGGACAGTTCACCTCATCAGAAGGAGTTGTGACGTCACCTAACTTTCCCTCACCGTACAATCACAGAAGTGAATGTGTATGGACGATCACAGTACCAGCTGGCGATACAATCACTCTTACCTTTACCACCATAGACATCGAGTTTGATACATTATGTGGATACGACTTTGTGGAGGTAAAAAGCGTTTTGAAAGATTAACAGATGTACTTGACCGACTATGAATTCTCTAGCAAACATTTAAACACATTATTGAGAAAATTTTATAAAAAAAAAAGAAAAAAAAGGGAAACTGCAGTGTCGATAGTCTAGAAGCGTCGGTAGTCTAGTGGTTAAGGTGCCAGACTCCAAACCGAAAGGTTGTGATTGAATCCTGGCCGCGGCAATTCTTTGGGAAAGGCACTTTACACAAATTTCCTCACTCCCCCCAAGTGTAAAAGGGGTACCTGGCTATAGACAGTGACAGATATCGAGAATGTTATTGTTTTAGCGCCTTAATTTTTCTGGATTGTTATGGTCTGCTGGGGTAATAATGTATTGTGAAGCGCTTTGAGTAGCATTTATGCTGGAAAAGCGCTATATAAAAACAATCATCATTACAATCATTATATTTGATCAATAAAACCTTTCCGCTCAACAGGTGCGTGATGGGCCTAACGAAATGTCCCCATTGTTTAATAAATTCTGTGGCACTACCTTACCCGCCCCTCTGACCTCAACAGGAAACGTTATGTTTATCAGATTCTCCTCCGACGTTTCACAGTCAGGGCAGGGATTCAGAGCAACCTGGACTACAGGTAGGTTATGTAGGTAATTAAGATATCAAACCTCTACTGAAAGCATATAAGTGTAAGTCTAAGTAAATTTAATTAGAGTACACCCTGTTACGTTTTCTACCTCATTTAAAATTAATTGCAAACAAAGGCAGCGTTTTTTTTACTTTATCAGGATTGAGTCTTTCCAGTAAACCCTGCTTAGATATGCTCAGTTATGTTGCCTATTTTCATGAATCTCAACTTTTATGTCTCACACTTAGCTTGTGGAGGAACGTTCTCAGAGCCTGAAGGATCATTTAACTCACCGTCCTATCCTAATGTTTACCCCGCCAACAAAGAGTGTTTATACACCATCAATCAGCCGATAGGATCCGTCATTACCCTGACGTTTAGTGCCTTCGCTGCTGAATACAGTTTAAACCTTTTTTGTAAGATCAAAACGCAAAATTACTTTAAATTTGTGTGAATGACTCACAACATTTCTATGCTCTAAGCTCTTCTTCTCATTTTTTTCTTTTGAAAACAACAGTGGACACAGAATATTGATTAGTCCGACATACCGGTAACCGACGTTTTCCCGTTATTTTACCACTATTTTAGAATTTTAATTGCCAACAAAATGTCAGAACCGCGGACTACATATTGTTACGAGTGTCAATAATAAAACCAAGCGGAGAAGGAAAACGCAGGTTCAGTTAATTAATTTTATTAGGAAATGAAAAAAAGCAATGGCAGATCTACAAATACAAAAACATATATACAATATCATAATACACATAGACACTGAGACAAAATAATTTTATTTCCTATTCACTTCAAAAAATAAGAAAATTTTAGTTTACACAAAATTACATAGTTTAAAATACATTTCTTTCAAAAATATGAAAAATTCTTGAGGTTATAACTTGGACTTAATAAAAAAAATACAAAAATTTAATAGACTAAGAAAATTACCTTTCAAGTGGTGACAACGAGCAGCTGGTAATAATAAGTTAAATTTCCCGCATGACAGGGATGGGCATGCCTGTATATATAGCAGAAAAACCGTTTTCCAAGAGTTTTTCCCAATGAGATTTTAAAATTTGATAGATGCCCAAATATGGCATATAGTAAATTATGAACCGCGGTAAGTTATTCAATAAAGATAAAAAATTATTTTAAATAAATATGACTCTGCCACAATAAATTTTCAGTTTTCTTTCCTTTCCTTTTAATAGGTATATGACGGTGGTAGTATGCAGTCTCCGCTCCTTGGCCGGTTTTGCGGCCCTCAGATCCCCGACCCTCTCTCTTCCACCCAAAATATGATGACGGTCAGATTTGTAACGGACGGATCAACCCATAACACAGGATTCCAGGCATCATACACTTCAACAGCAGCAGGTCAATCATTGTCTCAATTCATTTTCTTTCAAACATTGTAAATACACTATATAATACTCTTTATCTTGGTAGTCAAATAACAAAAGTACTTTTTTCATCATCTGTTTGGAATTTTAGGATGTGGAGGGATGTTAACAGATCCTACCGGAAGTATATCCAGTCCAGGTCATCCAAACACCTATCCTCATGGCGTGAACTGCTCCTGGACGATTCAGGCCAGTCCAGGGTTGGTGGTTCGATTGACGTTTAACACCTTCAGCATTGAGAGTAACCCCAGTTGTGTGTACGACTATGTAGATCTGTATGACAACTATACTGCCAGCTCTAACAGCCTCTTGGGAAGGTAAGAGACTTTTAAATACATTTGTAATACCAAATTCTTTTCAAGTATTTCAATAGGTTCTAACTAAATACATAAACAGAAATCCCCCAATTCAAATTTCTCTGTTTATCATTTAAAAGAAATTTATGTTAAAAATTATGAATAGCTGTGTATGTATAGCAATGGCAGATATCTTCTACCTTTTCTCTTCTCATTTTGTTGCTTCATCATTATTCGTTTGTTTGTTTCAGGTACTGTGGGTCAGATATGCCCCCTTCTGTAACGTCTTCTTCTAACTTCCTAACAGTGGTCTTTGTTTCTGATGAAAGTCTTGCTTACGAAGGATTTTCAGCCGGATACGTCACTCTAAATGCATCTACAAGTAAGCTAATTTGCTGAGTAGTTTACTCACTATATACATCTTTCTTGACAAATGTGGCCACATCCTTGCAACAATTCATCCCAAACAACTATAACAACAATTCTTCAATGAATATCTCTGGAACATTACAGTCTGTGGTTCGGAGCTTACCGATTCTACTGGGGTCATCACCAGTCCCAACTACCCTAACAACTACCCCCACGAAAGGGAGTGTGTATGGACAATTACGGCTTCAGACGGGAATCAGGTCCTCCTCAATGTTACAGACTTCATGCTGGAGAATCATGCCAACTGTCAGTACGACTTCCTAGAAATCCGGTAAGAACAGAAGTTACCCTGAATTACAAGAAGAAGGTCGAGAGAAAAAAAATCTTCCATTTTAGTTGAATAAATGTTATGATTTTATGAAAAAAAAGTTGAGTAAAAATGCTAATTAGCTTTTATCAAATTAAAAAAGTTGGTTTTACTTCGCTACAAGAGGCACATGCACGTTGAGTTTTTTTTCCATATTATGTCAGAGAATATTCGAAAATTATCTCTGGTAGAAAAGAGGCTTCTTTTCGGCGGGAGTGTCACTGAACTGTGTAAAGAAACCTGTGTTTTGCTGTGGTTATGGTTAGGAAAGCAAAATGTTTAACTTGAAGTGAAGCATTTGAATATAAGAACAGGTTTCCTTACTATAACAGACCGACAAGTCCACTGCTTTCGATGTTTTTTAATGGCAGTGTTCTTTGAAATGTAAGGTTCTATACTAAAACAAAATCTAGGTTTTACCTTATTTTGCAAAAAAAAAAAAAACCTGTGTGATCTCAGCAATTGACAGAGCACATTTAACTGCATTATAACATAGATTTTTCCCTACATTAGTTGAGTAAAATGTAAACGTCGTTTTTCATATACATGTATGGGCTTTTAGAATGAAAAGAGAATTAACTTTTCTTGAACTGTCGAATTATTATCCAATGAAACAGTTTTCCGTGAGAATGAGAGCTTTTTTCAGTTTAAATGAACTTAATATTTCCGTTGTAGAAACGGAGGTTTTCCAAGTTCTCCTTTGGTAAATACCTACTGTGGTACAACTATAGACAATATCATACGATCTCATAGTAACAGGATGTATATAAGATTTAAATCGGACGCGTCACAGTCAGCGAGGGGATTCAGAATTTTCTACGATACCACAGCTGAAGGTTAGATTTTATTTGTTTGCAGACTTTATAGAGAAATACACTATAAACCAAAACCTAACTTTAAAATCATACTTTGATTAACTAATGTACGTTCCAGGAGTTAAATAACCTTAATTTCTATATATCAATTAAATGAAGACAAATCGGTATAGTATTGTACTTCCTATTTTGAACTCCATTATTTTGAATATCAGGGATATTTCAAAGTGCATTCTAAGATATCTCGAGGTTAAATTTATCTGTGTATGGAAATACTATAACCAATATTATGTTTTGCAATGGAGTGCGTAGGGTAGACCTATACTGGTAAATTTGCATAATTTTATAATGTGTTTATTTATTTGTAATGCAATTAAAGTGTTTCTTGTACTATACAAATTTTAATTATGATATTCTCATAAAACATGCTTAAATGCTCTTTTATTTAAACATTATTACATTCTCAAATATACCTTATGCTTTACCTTGTAAATTTATAATTAAATATACTCTCACAAATAACTTTTACAAAATTTTTTTGCATTATCATATACTTTTCTTTTGGAAAATCACAAAAGTTCAAATTGTTTTATATGAGTTAGCAGAGGGTTTATGAACCTTAACTTCTTTTTGTATTCTTTAAGGTTGTGGAGCAGATATGGTCAATCCAACGGGTAGTTTTGTCTCCCCAAACTATCCAAACCAGTACTCACACAATGCAGAGTGCTTTTGGACAATCAGCGTCTCCCGAGGAAGCAGGATCCACCTCACCTTCGTCGATTTCGATTTGGAGAACCATCAGTCCTGTCGCTATGATTATGTCGAGGTCAGAGTAGAAAATTGTTTAAAATCTTATTGTTTTCTCTTAAAATTTCATGACAAGGAGTACACGGCGGGTGTGACCGGTCATATTTCTTCAAATAAAATGCTTTTGTTAAACTGTATATATATTTCACTATACTTAAATATGTAATTTACGTAGATCCGTGATAGATCATCGACAGGCGATTTACTAGCACGATACTGTGGGAATCAGATTCCAGACTTTATTGACTCGCCGTCCAACAAATTATGGATAAAGTTCAGAGTGGATCATTCTAATGCAGGAAGAGGGTTCCATGCTTTCTACAGCAGCAGTATGTATCTGGGCTGGTGTCCCTGTCATTTGATTTCATTGTTGAGCATATTTGTAATTTCTTGTGAAAATTTTGAATAGGAATTAAGAACAATGTGTAATATATTTTAAAAGAAAAGAGATGCACAAGGATTCAAGGGTAGTTTCAATTCAGCTAGATAAAATTACATTACATACGGATTTTAAATATCATCATTTCTCTATAGCAATCCACAGCAATATTTAACATTTGTCTTCTCTCCAGTGTGTGACACGACTTTGACAGACTACAGCGGGGTAATTGAGAGCCCCAATTTCCCGAACCCTTATGCCCACAACCGGAACTGCACGTGGATCATCCAGGCAACTTTAGGAAACACCATTAATGCCTCGTTCTCACATTTCAATGTGGAAACCCACACGTCCTGTGCCTACGACCATCTTCAGGTCTTTGCCTTTTACTCTTTATATACAATACTGCTTCAATTTCCTCCCTTGAATGTATACATACCCCGTATACATACCCCCTGATCTCTTCAATTTTTTTTTTTAAATAATGCTTGGGCTTTTTTGTAATCTTTTATAGATACGTGATGGTAACTCCCCTACCTCCAATTTAATTGGGACATATTGTGGAAATAACGTCCCTCCCTCCATAGCATCTTCTACTGAGTATCTGTGGTTAAACTTTATCTCAGACTTCTCCGTAGCAGGGAATGGATTCCGACTAGAGTACATTACTAACGGTTTGTATATCTTCAATATATAAAGAATATCATTGCTTAAAATGTAATTATTGGAAACAAATAATTCGTTAAAATGTTCATATTTGATAAAATAAAGATTACCTGGAAAAATAAAAAAAAGAACTGTAATAATAAAGACATCACTAAACAACGTTCCTATAAAATTTGCAATATTACTTGGAAGCATACTGTCAATGAGAAAATTAATACCAAAACACATTGAAGGATATATACAACATTGTAATTTGCAGGTTGTGGAGGATACTTTACACAGAACACCAACTCTTTTACCAGCCCGAACTATCCTCAACCTTACCCTCACCGTCGTCAGTGTGTGTGGCAAATTGAGGTACCCACGGGGCAAGCCATAGAACTCACAATAAACGACTTTGATGTAGAGGTTCATTCCGAATGTCGATTTGACGGTTTAGAGGTACTAAAATAATGCGTTTTTTTTCTAACATTGCAATATTTTATAACTATTCTTGATCACGTAATGTACGTTATGTTTTAACCTGTCCTGATGCTGGTGTCTGAATATCTTTTGAAAGAACATTTGTTTAGACGGTTATTCTTGAGAGGTGTTGATTTTATCACCCCATGATATTAACAAGAAAACATTTACTTATTCCCATATGAATCCTTATTTGATTTGTTCGGTAAGGTTTACGCCGGCCGCGATTCTTCGGCGCCAAGACTTGCTCAACTTTGCCACAAGCAGACGTCACCTCAGGTTCTGACCACCACTGGAAACCTCATGCACGTCATCTTCCGAAGTGACGTCAGCATCAGCGGGAAAGGATTCAGTGCAACGTACAAAGCGATAGCAGGCGGTAAAATCTAATTACAATTCAAAATTCTCCTAACTTGAAACATGTTCGAGGATTTGTTCTGATGTTTCCTTTGAATTTAACAAATTGGTTTAACAGATATCTTTTAAGTATTTTAATACGATATACCGAAATACAAATAGCCACTGTATGTTTTGAGGAAGATTGGATACAACTTCTCCAAAACCAACTGTTCAGGAACTTTTTACTTTTAATTGCACGAAACGTGAAATGTCATATACATTACATCTATAAATATTACAATCTAAAATATTTATCCAAGGGATCACATCCAAACTAATCCGCTCTATTTCCTGAAAAAAATTCCTTAAATTTGACTCCTTGAAAATATTTGATTTAACAATATGTTTTGGAATGCAACATCTTCTTTCAAAGGTTGCGGTGGAAACTTTAGCACCCCTGCGGGTACACTGATGTCAAAGAACTACCCCAATAACTACCCCCACAATACGGACTGTGAGTGGCTGATCACGGTACAGGACACGAAGACCGTGGTCCTCACCTTTGACGAGTTTGATGTGGAAGGGTCTTCTGACTGTCGTTATGACTACGTGGCTGTAAGTTTGCTACCGACCATTATGTTTGTCTGCTTATAATTCTTATATTTAATATACAATAAAGACCTAATTTTGTCTCAGACGGTTATATCTATCTATATTTCTAACGTTTATTATCGTAATCCAACGATTTCTTGGCGGTAAACTTGTTTCAGACCGTCTGTCGGTCTATATATTTAACGTTACTCGTAAATAGATATACGCCATTTTCGATATATATATATATATATATATATATATATATATATATATATATATTTAACGTACCTCCCATGATTTGTAGTTAGAAATAATAAGTTGTGTGCCTGGAACACAATAAATTGGATAAAAATCATATCCACCCACAAATCATTGTAGATTTTTTTATCACAAGATTTATACACCCCTTTGATGTTTTACACTGTTTTTATATGAAACTCCACTGGATTTTACTTCAACACGCTATTGCAAAACCTATTGTAACGTCACCAATGTAGGGTATCAAAATTTATCCCATGTTTACCCCCTATATCCGTTGGATATGACTAATTAGATGTTTTTTCATATCCCACAGTTAAGGGCAGTTGTTAAGTAACAATGGATTTTCCGTAAGCGTACTGAAGTAATATAGAGTGGACGTCCTATATAAGCAGTGCACATAACTCCGCATCGTAAGAAAATATCATATCCAACTACAAATTATGGGAGATCCAATATATATCCAATAAGTCATATCCACAGCTAGCATGAAGGTGTAAACTTTGATAATCTATCGACGGTATCAGCACCGTGGTATATTTGCATTCATTACGTCTAACCGCTTTATTGTCACGGGTAACGGCGGGTAACGGCGTGGGTTGGCGATCCATGGTCGTGCTAGCTTTCTTGCATTACCTATCTTTACATTTCATTGCAGTTATGTGTATATGTGTTTGTTTGCATACTGCACTGACTTTTGCAACTGTTGTAAGTTTCTTTATCTTACTCTCCTGCTTTAGAAGTACACAGTTACTTTTTAACGCTACCGAGTGCAATATACGCCCTTCTACTTCTTTAACGATTGTTTACACTGAACTGGGAGTACGTGATCAGCTACATATATAGGAGTACTCAGATATATCAAGACTTCGATCAATTATAGCTGACAAATTCTTCTTATTACAAATCATGTTAAATTTCAGTGTGTTCAATTTCTTCATTTTCTTGACCGTAATTGGGTTATGTCTTTCTGCTTTATTTCCAAAGTTTAATAGTAAGATCCATGCTGTATGTTTTTCACAGATATTAATTTCTGTCTGTTTATATTTCTAGAGTTAATTATGTTACATGACCGTAAATGTGTTCCTGGCGGGTATCTCTGTTTTAGTTTTGATGTTTATTTTTCGATTATGTGTTGTTAGTTAGTTTCGGTCGTGAAAATCTGTCTGTTTAGAAATGTATTTAACATATATAGTTATATGATACTAGACATTACTAGTATCTCTGTTTTAGTTTTGATGTTTATTTTTCGATTATGTGTTGTTAGTTAGTTTCGGTCGTGAAAATCTGTCTGTTTAGACATGTTTCTAACAATTATAGTTATGTGATATTAGTATGATAAATCACTGTCGGTTTATTACAGATGATTAAATCTATCTACATTACTAACATTAATTGTAGGATAAAATGCATGCAAGTTTGTTCCTGATTTTTCCAACCTTTATTGATTAAGTTCATAAGATTTTTTTTTCCATGTTCACTCTATCTTTCTCTTTTAACTTTCAACGTTAATTGTAGTGTTTATGTCTGTCATGAAAATGGATTCATATACTTTGATGTAATTAATTTCTCTCCTCTGAAATATTTGATAAAATTTCATGAAATTTGCTCCAACGTGCATAAAACACTAATTCTGATTAAACAATAGGTATATGATGGGAATAACTCCAACTCCACAGAGTTGATGAAACACTGTGGACGATCCCTGCCAGTTCCCCCTGAGTACAGAAGTAGTGGACAATACATGTACGTAAAGATGCGATCAGACATCTCCCTGTCTGGTAAAGGATTCAAGGCGCACTACGTCACAGGTAGAAAAAATAATCAAGTGGAAAATTTGAATTCTAACTTAATAATAACAAAATCATTTCATCGAATTTAAAAGATGTTGATAGAAATTGGTAACTTTAGAAACTTTTTCTTGATGTGAATAGGCAATACATAAATGGAAAAATTACTTATCAAATTATGATTTATATACAAAAATATCATAGAAACCTCAGAAATTAGCCTCATTTCTCAAGATATATTTTCGTAATATTTATAGAAACTATTTGTTGTTAAGGTTGTGGCGGTATTCTGAATGGGGAGGAGGACGGGGTCATCATTTCACCAAATTATCCCAACCCCTACGATAGGATGAATAACTGCACATGGCTTATCAGGGCAGACCACTCTGGTTAGTATCTTGTTAAATAAAGAAGAACCTAAGCTCCTTCTCCAAATCATGCTTCTTGAACCATGTCACTCAAGATTGGTGTTCTAACAAAATATCAGTTTATGCATTACCCTTCGAATTCATGTTTAGTGTTATATCCATCATCAAGGGATCATGTTTAATCACAAATCTTTTGGAAGTAAGAGATATAGCATGTTATATAAAAATTTATCTATAACCAGTCACAATCATATAACTCTAAATCTATCCGAAAGATATCTACTTTCCAACCAAGAAGTAAAAACTACGTGATTTAGATTGATATCCTTGTTCTTTAGATGATCGTATTACCCTGACTTTCACTCACATGGATGTTGAGGAATTGTCGGACTGTACAAAAGATTACGTGAGAGTACTGAATGGTGATGACCTAGACGCACCGGAAATAGGGACGTACTGCGGTCGGACGATTCCAAGCCCAATCACCTCCTCGGGGTCCGCCATGATTGTCCAGTTCATCTCTGACAGGACGATACAGCGATCAGGGTTCAGGGCAATGTACACGAAGTCCCTGTCCAGTAAGTTTAATAAATTCTAGAGTAGCTTTCCACATCATAATGCATTATCTACTTTTGTCTATGTTTTCAATGGTTTCAAAATCTACAATCTGGCATATTTCAGGTTGTGGGGCCGACATAACGGCCCAGAGTGGATACATTGCAACCCCAGGGTATCCTTACCAATACCCCCAAAACACAGACTGTGTGTGGAACATCCGTGTTCCTCCTGGCAATAAAGTTGGAATATCATTCCAGTAAAAATCTTTATTTATCTCTTAGAGTATATTCCTCAAAACTGTAAAGTTTAGTTTATAATCAACTTTGTAACACTTTCGATTAATCTTACTGTATTTTCAGACATTAACTTGTCTTTCTCCATATTTAATTACTTTTACTTTCAAATCAGGCTTGAATGAAGCTTGGTTAAACTTTGATGAAGTTTGAAATTCAATATGTATTAAGTGAACTTTTTAAATTTCAGGACGTTTAATATCCTGAGCCACCCCACCTGTAGCTATGACTACGTGGAACTGAGGGAAGGTGACGTTCACGGTCAACTGATTGGAAGGTACTGTGGCACGAGGTTCCCCGGAAATCTGACGGCTGCTAACGGACTCTGGATGAAGTTCCACGCCGATGTCTACGGATCCGGAACAGGATTTTTGGCAGAATTCAATACAAGTGGGGATTTACTAACTTGGAGTTTCAAAAATCTCTTGTATTCAAGATGTTATCAATTTTCTAGTATCTATCTTTTTACAAAAAGTTGTGTAATTTGCTTTTCAAGTCACATTCATATTATACGTGCAGTGTATGGTGGTGCCCTGACAGGAAGTTCAGGACAGGTTGCGTCCCCTAACTATCCTAACCAGTACCCCCACAACGTGAACTATGTCTGGACGATCACAGTAGACATTGGTCTCAGGATCCGAGTGACGTTTAACTCTATAGACGTAGAGTCTGTAGCAAACTGTTACTATGACTATATTAAGGTGCGCAGAACTAGATGATATACAAATTTTAACACAATTGACTTTACTTAAAAACACCCATTGTTCGTCCTTTTATATCGAAGTCATAGCACTTAAACTAAAAAACTAATTTTTTTTTGTTGTTTTTAAATTAAAATTTGTCAGGGATGACTTGCTGTTACTTGTAAATTTTCTTTATGCTTAGTTTTGAACTTTTAAAATCAGTTTTTGGATGGTCCTGAGGCTGACAGTGTTGAGATTGGCAGGTTCTGTGGCACCTCCAGCCCACCGCCATTCATGAGTACTGGTAATGTAATGAGAGTGGAGTTCCGTACTGACTTCTCCAGTTCTGGTCAAGGGTTCCTTTTCCAGTGGGTGGCAACTAGTGATCAAATTCCTTCCACCACTGTAGCTCCTGGATCCACCACTCCTAGTAAAAAAATTAATTAATTACTGACATACTCAAATAAATAGAACATTTAAATTACATTGTAATTAAAATAAAGGCACGAAAAAAACTCAGAAATATATTTATTTTAGTTCCAGGCTGCGGTGGAACTCTTGGCGCGAGTAACCAGGACAACACGTTCACCTCCCCTGGCTACCCGAATGGTTATGCTCATGGTTTGAACTGCTTGTGGGTCATCACTACACTCCCAGGGCATCGTGTCTGGCTAAATATCAGTAGCATTGACTTAGAGGGGCACTACACGTGCTCTTATGATAAAATTACTGTTTATGATAGTGAGTAAAATTAATAACATAAATACAATGTTATTCTCTAAAATGTTAATGTGTCTTTAGTTCTTTCTTAATGTCTCAAAAAGCTACAGATTGATGTAATGCCAATTTCACCATAAGTTATAATTATAGAAATGAACTTTTTTGTGAAGCGCTGATTTGTACAATCAACGGCTTACTTTCACACCAAGACAATATACGGAAGCCATGCACGGATCTAGAGGAGGGGGGGTCGAGGGGGTCAGGACCCCCCCCCCCCCCCCATTGAATTTTCAAGGTTACAAAATTTATATACTAACCCCCCCCCCCCCCCCCCCCCCCCCGAAAAAAAGAAGGTTTTTGAAGCTTGGGCGAGTTTATGTTTTTTTTTGCTTGTCAAGAAATTTTCTGGGATTGGATTTATCTTCTGACTGGTGTGGACCCCCCTGGAAAAAATTCTGGATCCGCGCCTGGGAAGCTGTTTTGTGATACAGTTTTCCAGATTAGCTATTAATTGAAAAGAGTGCAAATGGGTCATGTCGAAGTATATCGTACGTATTGAGGATGAAAATTGCAACTACCATACTCTCTACCTTTCACTTTCCATTTAGAATGTTTTTCTTTCTTATTTGATTCCTTAAGAAAAAGAGATCGAAAAGAGTAATTGTCTCCTACGAACAATTAAGATATTTTAAGCAGTGTGATTCTGCCTCCAATCCTATTTTGTGTTGATTCCATTTCGTTTAATCATGTAAAAGCCCTTGCAATAAATCTTTAGCTACTGAATAAGGTAAAATCAATTATATATTCTATACCTACACATGTTAAAATGTCAAAATGAGCCGTCGATTGTAAAAGTAAGCGCTTTCAGTAGAAGAAAATAACTTTCTTAATTTGATGTTTTAAAGACGCATACGGAAATGGTCGTTCCTTGGGTCAGTTTTGCGGCAGGGAGCCAAATTCTGCCCCGATTTTGTCCACCACAAATGATGTGTCCGTTAGATTCCAAACGGACTCCTCAGTCAATCGTACAGGGTTCGCCATGAAATACCGACAAGGTCAGCCGTTGTTGTTTATCATATTTTTGTTTGTTTTCTCATATTTTAATTTTTAGGGCATAATACATCTTATACATAATGTGAAGTCATTTTTTTAATAATGATTCATAAGAACAATGAATTAATATCTTATGGTGATCAAAACGAAATGGATCTTAATGCTGTATTTTATTTAAGTAAGATGGCTAAATAAGCAGTAAATAAATGATTTTGTTAATAGATATTTTACAAGAAGTTTGCATCTAATAATTTACAAATATTTAATATTAAAAATACTTTGATTTCGCATTTGTTGACATTCTTTTCTATTTTCAGCCTGTGGTGGGCGTATGGAAATGAGCCAGGGAGTTATCGCTAGTCCAGGTTATCCCAGTCCCTACCCCGGGAACCAGAATTGTGAGTGGGTGGTACAGGTCACTACAGGTCGTACAATACAGGTAGTCTTCAATACATCCTTCAACGTCGTGGGTTCTGTCAGTGGATGTGACGGGGATTACGTGCAGGTGCGGGCTCTACACGTCCTTATAAAGCTGAAGTGTACACGTTTTCATCATTTTTGAAGATTTGTATGTTAAAACAGCGGCAATCAAATTCAATCAAAATCTTTACAGAGTAAAGCGCATGAAGTTTATAATTGTATAATAAAAGAATATATTCTCTTTCAATTCACATACAGTGAGTCATCTAAAATATACGAAGTTTATTATATATGATCCGTGACTGTAATTACATGCAGGGTAAATTTATTACGAAGCATTGATTTCAGCTTTTAAATGGTGACAATGAAAATGCGCCACCAGTGGGCAGCAGTACTAACGGCCGTTACTGTGGCAACCAGAGCCCTGCTACTTTGGAGACAGGTAGTAACAAACTGTACGTCAAGTTTGTATCAGACGGCGCAGGTTCTGCGACAGGCTTCCGGTTAACCTTCACAGAGGTGCACGTGCAGTGTGGAGAGAGCATTACACTTACCCACGACGTGCCGCAGACGTACATCATGTCGCCTAACTACCCGGCGAATTATCCACATAATGTGGATTGTGTGTGGACTGTCCTAGTCCCGGCTACAGAGACTGTCCAAGTGGAGTTTGAGGAAAACTTTAATATTGAAGTCCATCCTGAGTAAGACCCTGATTATCATTGTGACGGAAATCTTTCATAAAGGCTAACTATACTTGACGGCATTTGCGCAAAATTTAACTACTACAAAAACTACAACGAATGCTAGTATAAGGGTAGTCAGACTGTTAAAGCTTAAATATTTGGTTTTTTACTTGATGTCAATTTCAAAGTATATTGCAGTCTACATTCGATTATAATCCTGTTAAAAATGAAACAAGACAAGATTCCCATTCGATATCCAGCCCCAGTAACCGTAGTTATGGTAATGAAAGTTTACTTTACTGCAAATGTGTTGTTTTTATTTAATGTCTGTATGAATTTAGTTTTAGTTCCTAGGAAAGAAAGAAATATAAAATGAGTAACAGCAATAAATGATATTAAAGCTATATATAATATAATGAAAAAAAATTATTGTAAAAGAAACAGATTAGTAAGTAAGATAGAAGTGAAGCAATGAAAACCACTTCTTTTTGCTTAACCTTTCCATTTCACTTAACAAATAAAATGTATATGTTGAAAAAGAACTTAGATGAAATAACTTGTATAAAATTAATGTTAAGTTTGGACATATTGTATACAATTTTCATCCGACTTTCATCTTACTTTTTTCAGATGTAACTTTGATTTTGTTGAGATCCGTGACGGAGGAACGGCAAACTCGCAGCTGATCGGTAAATATTGCGGATCTACACGACCAAGTACTGTCAAATCTTCCGAAAATGTGCTGTATATTCGCTTTAGGACTGACAACAGCGTACCACGGGCCGGATTTAAAGCACTAGTGCATTTAGGTAAATACATATTTAGTATTTTTGCAAAGTTGTCTGTGTCAAACATTCATTTAAATAAGACATATCTTTAAATATTATATGGCAGGAAAATATTTAGCAAAAAATAAATAAAATGAATTGTTCAACTTTCCTTATTGCAAAATGAATGTTACAAATTTCTTGTAGTTACATCATGGAACTATTTTCAGCCGTACGTATTTTATAATTCCATGTTCATCCCTTTTTATCCCCTGGATATCACTAATTAGATTTCTTTTATTATTGATATTCGTAGCTCGTTGTGGCGGTACATACGTTGGACAGACTGGTATGATTGCTTCGCCAAATTTCCCGAGGAGTTACGGAAACAATGAGAACTGCGAATGGAGTCTGAGAGGTCCCACAGGTCACTTCCTGACCTTGACCTTTCTCAGTTTTAACCTTGAATCCAGTCTCAGCTGTGCCTCGGCGGATTACGTAGAAATCAGAGACCTCAATGCGACAGGTTAGTTGCTTGTTGACCTCAGCTTATACTTTAACATTCTCCATTACTGAGTATATTATTTAGAATAAAAAGGATAAAACTGGGAAGAACCGTTTTCCTTAGGATTACATAGTTTTTAACCAATGAGTTTTCGTTTGACTTTTTAGCGTTGTTTTCTAATATAATCAGTGTGTTATTGCATGTTTAAAACATGATTTTGAATATTTTCTCCCAAGTCGTACTTTGTAAATAATTTCATTGTGCTATTACGTTTATGAAAGGAAACGGAAATACATCACTTGAAAATAACAAGGATTCTTGTTATAATTTTACTTTTTCCTCTTAACGGTAGACAAACGGTTGTAAATACTTTTTATCTTACTGTTATACAGGTCCAGTATTGACGACTTTGTGTGGCTCTCAGATACCCCAGCCCGTCTTAACATCAGACAGTTACGCCCACATCAAGTTCGTGTCCAACAATGCTAACACGTTCCCTGGTTTCCAGATGAAGTTTGACGCCAGTGTGGAAGGTGGGTTAACAACTGTGATGTAAGAATAAATATCAAAATCTCTCAGCAAGAGAAAACTGTAATGCAAAGAAATTATTGGAAAGCATAGGGATTGGCAATAATTCTAGTGAAAAGGACAAAAATTTGCACAGTACATATCCAGGCATCTCCAACATCATGATTTATATAGTTATGTATATTACTTTTTCTTAAACATTATATTGTTTCCATTAGGTAAAATGTGACAGGAATTTAGCGTTGCTTTTTATTGATTTCCATTCCTTTGTTCGTTGTTTTGTGTAGAATGTGGAGGGGAATTCACAACAAGCACAGGAACATTTACGTCCCCAAACTTTCCCGGCCAGTACCCTCATCGCCGTATTTGTACCTGGTTAATTAAGGTGCCACAGGGCAAGCGCGTGTCTTTAACTTTTGAGTCTCTTAACATTGAAGCATCGTCTACTTGTTATTACGATTACGTTTCGGTAAGTATACTGTTACCAAGTGGTACAGTTTTCTCTTTAATTTTCATTTCAAGAATAAAAACTTCTTTGCCCAATAAGTTCTATCAAGTATTTCGTTTATAACACATTTCGAAATTATTCTAATTCATCGCCAACCATGTTTCCTTTTCACTTTTGAATAACCTGTCTTTATTTCTTTAGGTGTATAACGGTATCCTGCGAGATTCGCCTGCTATAGGGCGGTACTGCGGTACCACCCCGCCGTCTCTGGTGGAGTCCAGTGGAAACACAATGAAGGTCGTCTTCTTCACGGATGGCTCTGTCAGTAATGGAGGATTTAGAGCTCACTACACGTCTCTGAACGAACAGAGTAAATTTTCATAATCAAAAAATATTTTTAAACAGATTCATTCGTGTTTATCCAAAAAGTTTTATGTGCTAATGTATGATGCTTGCTGATGGTTCATAATATTGTTTTCATTTATATAGATATATCTAGGATAATTCATTGAGTTGAAATTGTGAGCAAAAGCTTGAGGTCAAGAGTGATGAATGTTTCATGAAACATGCTTATCAAATCTAAGTTCATATTGTCTTCATGTGTCTAGAATGCGGTGGTGTGTTGACACGACCTTTTGGTAATGTGTCCTCCCCTGGCTACGTCAATGGTAACTATAGTAACAGAGAGGAGTGCACGTGGTTCTTTAACAACCAGAACCTGACAAGTTCCTCCATCTTTATCCAGTTTAGCAACTTAAGACTTGAATCACACACCAGATGTGCATTTGATTTCCTGGAGGTCAAAGAAGGTACATAACATGAAGATGTTGACAATACTAAAAAAAAATGCCAATGCATTTGGTTGTTTAGGAGAAAATATTTCGTAAATCTATTCATTTAAAATTATCTGTTTTAAAACTTAGGCAACACAGAAAATGGAGAATTGATTGGGAAGTACTGTGGGAACACAACACTACCTGATCCCATTATATCCCCCTCAGCCAATCTGTGGATGAGATTCAGGACCGATAACTCCATCGTTGATCAGGGATTCCTTTTGACCTATATTTATACGGGTAAATACTCTTATTTTGACAATATTTGTAGGATTTTATAAAAATGACATTTTTAATCCCAAATTCTAAGTTACGTTATTCCATCAGTTATAAGTCATATTTGACATGATTAGTTTAACAAACTGCTGTGGATCTCTCTCTCTGTCACCAGATTGCGGAGGAGTACTTACTCAAGATAATGGAGAAATTGTAAGCCCCAACTTCCCATTCAATTACAACCACAGTGATGCGTGCGCTTGGTTGATATTGGCCCCAGAAGGTTCTAAAATTCAGGTATTTCATTATTTCCTAATAAAAAAGGAAGAAAAAGCACTTAGGAATCGAACAATTTGATAATGTTTCAATTTCTTTTCAAAATTATTACTCTTTTTAAGGAAAAAATATAATATTATTACATTTTTTATTCATTGTCATGTGAGCAGTAAATAAAAATGAATAGGATGATAATTGAATGAATCCTTTTCATGTAAATTTTTATTGAAGGTTACTTTCAAGAATTTTTCTTTGGAAAACCACCCTCGGTGTATTTTTGACTATGTTGACATTTTGAACGGTCGCTACGTCAGTTCGCCTTCGATCGGTCGGAAGTGCGGAACAACCGTACCAGAACCTTTCACCTCTCAGAGTAACGGAATAAGAATCATTTTCAAAACCGACTACAGTGTGGCTGCTAATGGATTCAAGATTAAGTACAACTTTGTCACAGACGGTCAGTAGATTCAGTCTCTCAGAAAACGTCATATTTTGATAATTTGATTGTTTTTTAACGCTGAAACGGCAGTATTTCAGGAATATTTTAAGGGTAATCATTAGGTTAATCATAGGTTGTATAATGTTTCAAGAGTAATCAACATCGCTTGACTGTAGCACGTTAAGTGTAAGTGTTTGGTGAGAATACTGTTCAGGCAGTAACTTTTGTTTTTCTTCCGTAACAAATATATTGATAAAAATCATACTTGTAGCAGATACTTCTTTCTCCATAGATCTTTCAAAGGATGCCTCATGTGCCTCTATCTTCAATATACATCTATACATCCATACATGTAAAGAGATGATTTTATAGAAAATTTGTTATACTTATCCATATTAAGGCCGTATATATGTTGTTTCAGGCTGTGGCGGTCTTTATCACAGTAACACAGGTCTGATCTCCAGCCCTAACTACCCCTCCAGCTACCCCCACAACACGGAGTGTGTCTGGGACATCAATGTGTTGGACGGTTATCACGTGGTTCTAACCTTTATCCCGCCTTTTGACATGGAAGCTCATGGGACATGTCAATATGATTATGTGGAGGTAACAAACAAAGATGTAGAAATAAAGAAGAATACACGATATATATGTACAATCTCATATATAAAATATTTATTGATTGATTGCATGTTGTTAAACGCTCATTTGGAAAAAATAAACAAATAGAGATGCCACTATATACCGGTGAAGAGTGAAAAATTTAGAGGTGTATTTTACACTCATGGTCTTACCACAATGTACATTCACAAGGGTCAGTTGCGGCCGTGGTCCAAACCCAAGTCTTTCCGATTTCGTAGCAAGCGCTCTACCGACTCACATTCCATTAGCGCTCGGGGTCATTTAATAGTAATGCTCTTAAAATATCAGTCACATTATCCAGCGATGGGGTATAAGATGAAAAATCGATGCGTGTTTTTTTTTATGAAAATGATGTGGTTGCTGGCCGAACACCTATAGTAATCGGACGGTGACCGAGACCATTTGGCGAATCGGTGGGAGTCATCGGTAGAAAATAAGTTGTAGTTAAAAATCAGCGGTGTCTCCACCGATGGCCCACATCGCTCCTCATAGGCAACCCATCATAAACATATCTTTCAAGGATTGGCCGATGTATGGCCGAGCATCGTCAAGTTTCTGTTGATTTTCATGGTTAATTAACAGTCATACCTTTGATAACGTCTTAGGTTAGACACAGTTCCGGGTGAATAGAACTCCCGATCACTCAAAACCCCAGACACATTTCCAAAAACGACCAACGGCCGACGGTTTTTGAAACAAAACTGGGATCCTTCGGGTGACAGTCGGCAGTTTATCGGCCCTTGTCTTGCCCGATTTTGGCCCCTTTTTTTGTCGGCCGACCAATTTTGTGTCCATCGGTCCAAGTTAAATTAATTTTTTTTCTACGTCGGTGGCCGATTTCTTCAATTGAAGTTATCGGTTGACCAACCTTCGATCATCGTCCGACTAAAGGCGGTCAGTTTGTTAAGTCAGTCGTTCATCTTTCGACTAGAATGGTGTCCAAAATTTCGGCCGAAGTTAAAATCAAACTGTAGCTCAGAGCTCGATGATCGGGCGACGATTGACCGACTTGTGAATATATAACCTATAAAGGATACATAACACAAACAAAATGTTGATGCATGGATTAATATACATTTTTTGAATGGAAATAACATAACTAATTAATCCTTAAGATATAAAGAGATCAAGTATTCATTGCTGCTTAGATATTCGCCATTTGTCATTTTTAATGCAATTCTATACAAAATTTTGCACATATGTTCAACATTGAGTCACAATCTTACAAAATTCTGCCATTTTGCCTTGAAAACATTACTCACGTCACTTATCTGAATATGAAACTATGAAAAATATTGCTGATTTCTAAAAAAAAAAAAAGATTTTTTGGGTATTTATCTAAGTCATCGGTGTTCCTAGGAATTAATGTGACTGCTCCGTGTCGCCCGATACTGTGTCCGCCGATCATGTTCTTTCAGCCAACAAGACCAGAAAAATTTAGTCGCCCGACCATCGGTGACATGAGTAATGTTTGCAAGGCAAAGTGGCAGAATTTTGTAAGATTGTTACACAATGTTAAAAATGTGTGCAAAATTGTGTATAGAATTCAATAGAAAACGACAAAAGGGGCACATCTAAGCAGCAAAGAAAGATTTCTCTATATTTACGGATTTATTATTTGTGTTATTTCCATTCAAAAAATATGTATCAATCTAAGCATCAAAATTTTGTTTGTGTTATGTATCCTTTTTAGGTTAAATATTCATAAGTCGGCCAATTGTCGTCCGATAATCGAGCTCTGAGCTACAGTTTGATTTTAACCGTCGGCCGAAATTTTGGACACCCTTATTGTCGAACGACGGACGACCGACTTTATAAACTAAACGCCGATGGTCGGACGATAATCAAAGGCTGATCGAGGGATTGCTTCAATTAATGAAATCTGTCACCGACGCAGAAATTAAAAGAAATTATAACTTGGACCGATGGACACAAAATTGGTCGGCCAACAAAAGAAGAGGTCAAAATTGGGCAAGACAAGGGCCGATGAACTGCCGTTTGTCACCCGAAGAATCCCATTTTTGTTTTAAAAACCGTCGGCCGTTGCTCGTTTTTGGAAATGTAACTGGGGTTCTAGGTATAGCGTCTAGGGTTCATTTTACCTATTCCCACTTTTCGAAAATCATGTAGAAAAAGGTAAGATTTTATGTGGGAATAGGTGGAATTTTGTGTAAAAAAATAATTAACTATGTTCTTAAATTTAGGTATTAAGTTGCTTTTTTGTAAGATCTTTTTATTATTTCAAAAATCCGAAATAAATCATATTTTCTCATAGATGTATTCATTATTTTCTGTCTTAAAATGTACAAAATACAGGTAAATCTAAACATCTATTGTTATTTGCAAGTGGGAATAGGTGGAATTGAGATTTTTAAAAAGTGGGAATAGCTAGAAGACACAGCGTCTAGGCAAAGTCGATGATCGGACGACTAAATTTTTCCCGTGTCGTCGGCTGACAAAAAAAAAAAACATTATATGTCGACACTAGTATTTGGTGACGCAGAGTAGTCACATTAGTTCTTAGGAACATTGATATATCTTTAAAAGTAAACAAAATTCAAGTTGGCCAACCGTCGCCCGATCATCGTTCGTTGATAGCAGTTTGATTTTCACAAGCGGTCAAGGTATTTCTAAAAGTCGACCTACCGATAATCGGACTTAATGAACTATCTGCCGATGTTCGGACGATGATCAAAGGTTGATTGAGGGACTGTTCAGCGACTGCATCGGCAACCGACGCAGAAAAAAAATTTAGCTCGACTGAAATAAAACTGGTCGGCTGAAAAAAAAAATAATAATAAATAGGACAAGGTAACTGTGGATGAACTGCCGACTGTAATCGGAAATATTTTGTTTTTGGCGAAAAAAAACCCCATCGACCGTCAATTGTTTTTCGAAAATATGACTGGGGTTTAAAGAAAAATCCTACTACTATGAATCTGACATTTTCTACTCACGATACATTTAAGACATAAGTATTAAAGAAAGATTTACAAATCTCATTTTTTTTTCCATTTATTGTCATATTTAGCATTCAAACGCTTAAGATGATTAAATGATTTGTGAAGGTACATAGTACATTTCATATCCTTCTTTTACTTATTTTTTTTAAACTTAAGGTTGATGATGCAATTAGGAACGGTTCCCTGGTCAATCAAGGTCGCTGGTGCAGTAACCTGACTCCGCCTCCACAGAAGTCCACCTCAAGACGGCTGGTCGTCAAGTTCCGGTCCGATCCTGCTGTCAATGGAAACGGCTTCGCTGCAAACTGGACTGCTGGTACAAAGTGACTTTTTCTTAAAGAAAATAAATTTTAAAAAGCCTCTGCTTAAAAACATTACATGTATATGTAATTTTTTATGCAGATATTTATATTTATTACTTAGTAATGTTGCGGCGTAACATTTGATTTAGCAAAAATTGGATTTTATAAATCTGCATTCATCGGGTTTAGCTGTCGAAACAAAATCAATATTTGAGATATCCAAATATGTTTGAATATCTTATTAACATATGGGCGCTTTTGTAGAATGTGGGGCATTGTTCACAGAAGAGTCAGCCGACTTCGTTTCGCCGGGTTACCCGAATGAATATGGTCACAACTTAAGGTGTAACTACACAATATCAGTTGATCCTCAGCGCTTTATTGTCTTCAGTTTCTCCAATGTTAATTTCCACATTGAAGGTAATGGAATGCAGTTGAATGCAAAATTAATTTTTTCTTTCATTTTTTTCTTTTGGTTTCCAAAATTTTATCACAAAGAAAAGAGCATATATGTTTCTTTTACAAGTATCAGAGACTTTAAAACAATTTAAGGAAATACAAATACTATAGTATGTTAATCGCTCTCTAATCCCCGTTCTTATACAGTCATATACTTTTAAAATAATGTGCACAAACTGTATTAAATCTATTCCCTATAGGTGGCGTTGGATGCCGGTTTGACTACGTTCAGGTGTATGCTGGGAATGATACCAGTGGGCGTCCATTGGGTAGATTCTGTGGGACTGACGTGCCAGATCCTGTTAGTTCCATAGGAAGCATGTTCATACAGTTTGTGACGGACAGTAATGTAGCTTTCTCAGGATTTAGAGCCCAGTACCGTACCTCAGGTAAAAGACATTTTGTTAATATACCAGCAAGCATGTTTTCAACTAATCAAGAATTAAGTCCATTTTGTATAGGACTTTGTAATACTTTGAGAATAATTAATGGACGGTCATAGAAAATCTGAATATGTTTTAGTTTCAATTTTACCTGATTTGAAGATATTATAAACAAATACAATTTTTTTATGTTCATTTGCCTGACAGAGACTTTCTGCAACTATCTGAGACACTTATTAAAGGTTATATTAATCATGTTAATATTTTCTCAAAGTTACCATGATCACTGACCAAAACGTAATGAAGGTTGTTCTAATAGTTTTGTAAAATATTTGGCATGATTATTTGTATTTTGACAAAGATTGTGGTGGGAATTACACGGACGCCTACGGCACAATCCAGACGCCTACCTATCCGGACGTCTACCATCACGAGGCCAACTGTACTTGGCTCATCACGGTGGCCGAAAACAGGGTGGTGGATCTAAAGTTAGTCGATTATGCTTGAATTTTTAGGTTTTTATGAAGAAAAGTACAAATTTACAAAATATAAGCAAACTGTTAGACAAAGGTCAAAATGAAGATGCTAAGAATTTTGTTTATATAACAGGTTTTCTTCCTTTGATGTCGAGGCCCATCCTTCTTGTGGTTATGACTACGTAGACGTTCGTGACGGTAACACTCTTCAGTCCCCTCTCCTAGGCCGATTTTGTGGTAAAGTCATCCCTAATGTCATAAGGAGCACAGGGAATTCAATGTTAGTTAATTTTGTCACGGATCCATCAGTGGCGTACGGTGGATTTAGGGCCGGTTACTGGACTACCTATGGTAAGCACTAGTAAATCTGGCTCAAGAATGATTAATTTGCATTTGTAAGGAAGGATTATACATGTAAATAATTTGTAAATGTTGTATCAAAAATAATTAATGATCAATTAGTTATTATAGTTTTTTTCTCAAGAAGTTAAATGGGAAACAGTTCATAGAAACAAGCTCTGTATCTTCATTGTGGACAGTTTTAGATAATTTTACAATCATTACATTTTTATTGAACGAAGATTTCATATTTTTTCATATACAGTAATGTATTTCATTTTCTCTTACGATAAACAGGTGAAAGACAGGGATGTGGAGGCATACTGAATTCGACATCAGGGCGTTTTGGATCAGTAGACATCGACAGAAATGGGATATATGAAGCCCAGAATTGCAAGTGGACGATCATAGTCGGCGCCAACAAGGTTATCAATCTTCGATTTGAGAGCATGGATTTGGAGGAAGTTAATGATTGTCGATATGATTATGTTCTGGTAAGTCCATAATGGTAGATTAAAACCCCATGAATTTATACTGATGTCATGGAAAGTCCGACATTCTGTACTCACTATAGTGTATCAATTTGGACATTTAACTCAAAGTTATTATAATTTCACCCTCTTCATTAAAAGGTACACGACGGACTGAGTGAGGATGACCCCATTATAGGAAAATACTGTGGAAATCAGATTCCAGCTCCTATAAAATCCAGCTCCAATGTTCTGTTCGTCCAGTTCGTAGCCGATTTTACCGTACATCAGACCGGGTTCAATGCTACCTATCAGCAGGGCGATGGTGAGATATAATGGATACTAAATCTTTTTTCAATAATCTTTGTCGTCCAAAATGTCTCCTTTTTACATGTAGAGATTAATATCAAGCCGGTATCTCAAAACATTTGGAAAATTGTTCTTGTTTTATCTGTAGCCCTCTGTGGAGGTGCGTTTTCGGCCACGGACAGTCCCCAGATCATCAGCTCCCCCTCATACCCACGTCCCGTGGGTCAGGACCTCAGATGTCGCTGGACCATTGACTCGGGGGATAGTGCCAAACAGATCCGGATCTCTTTCTCTGGACTCAACCTGATCAGTGATAATAATTGTTCCGTGGAGTACATAGAGCTCCGGGACTCACCATTGGTAAATATTTATCCCCTTATATCAAGCTAGATCTTTAAATGCTGGTCAAAAGATCACATTAATGTTAGTAACATGTTAAGAGGAGAGAGTGCTGGCTTAGCTCAAAATTTTTGCAAACTTCCAGGAAATTATAAATGAATGATTCAGATATATTTAAAATTTCGGAAAATTTTGGGGTTAAATTTTCCACCTGCATGTACAAACCAACCCAAATATTATATCCTGTGCCAGGAAATGACAAACAAACGTTATTTTAAAGATTTTTAATACAGTAATTAATACTGTTCAAGTATTTACTGGAAAGTTAAGCCCCAATCTGTAGTATTATCATTAGAATCTGTTGTATTATTTTCTTACTAGGGCTGGAGTGGGCGGTCTCACTTGTATTGTGGCACGAATCTCCCTCCTCCATTTGATTCTGCGGGGCGGACGCTTCAGATTAACTATGTGGTGACGTCAAGTTCTGGAAGCCAAGGGTTTTCTCTAAAATACGAAATTGCTAGTAAGTTTAACATAAACGGGTGCCTTTTTTATCCTGCAACTACACCTTGCATTGACCTAATAAAGGTAACCTAATAAACCAAAGCTTTACCCGGTCACTGCCCTAATAAAGCCTCGTGCATGTATTCCGACGTTCTAAAAGCATTGTGACGTCATGTATATTGCAATGTTTACGCCATGGCGTCATAGTTTCAACTGCAGAGATGTGTCTGAATCTGTCGGAAATAGCTTGTTTTGGACGTTCAAATGTAAAATTTTGTTGCAGGATAAACAAAATACATGATAACTGTCTTGAAATATAAGCGATATTTGGGCTCGGGTCGAAAACGTAAGAGGGCTCGGCAAGCCTCGCCCTCTATCACGTTTTCTTACCCTCGCCCAAATATCGCTTATATTTCAAGACAGTAACCATGTATTTTATATTTCTAAAAAGAGAGATGTTTAAAAAAAATGATGCAAAATTTTTTGGAGGTATCAATGCTTTAGAAAATCTGATAGTTATGAAAAAATGGATAATAACAGTTACAAAATTTAAAAAAAAAAATTAAAAAAAATATACATATAGCATGCATATACATGTACTTTTAAAAAAACCAATCTTTGTTGACTAAACAATTTGTATTTGTAGATTGTAATAGAACCTATACGGGTACAGGGGGTAAGATCTTCAGTCCTGGGTGGCCAGGAAACTATCCACGGAACGCGTATTGCGAGATGTCGATATCAGCACCAGCCGGAACTTTCGTCACTCTCTACTTCAACTTTTTCCACATCGAGCCTCACTCAAGCTGTCGATATGATTATTTGGAAGTATGAAATTGTTTTAAGAGCGTTTATGATTTTGTTGTTGAAAGACAAACATTGTCTTAGTTTCTAGAGCTTTGTTCCAGCTTTATTTGTTGTATTACCCAAAGGAATGAATTTTGTGGTCACAATACTAATCTTTATGATATTTTAGAGATGGGTATGTTGTAGTTTCTAGAGCGTTTGTTTCATATATTGCTATAAATACTCGAAAGGACTAACACAGCAATGACTAGTATAACCCTCACAGTTTGGCAAAAAAATAGTACACACTGCATAGTAGTATGTTAAAGGTGCTTGGAAACACTTTAGACGTTAATATTTTTTCAAATTTTCGGTGTGATATGACTTTCATGTTTTTATAGCATTTCTCAAGGATAACTATCTTAGGTTTCATTTTACTATTCTCTGATTTTGGTTATTTCGTGTTTTTTCACTCAAAGCTGTTTATTATTTTATTTAAAGACTATCAAATATTTATAAGCCCTTTCCAGGAATAAAGTCGACAACTGTCAATTATTTTTGTCAATACTTACCTTTTTTGCAGATACGTAACGGTAGCTCGGCATTGTCCCCAATCATCGGTCAGCTGTGTGGCAATACAATACCGAACCCAGTGTTTGCCACCGGGAACAGTCTGTGGATGAGTCTAGTGACGGATTCTTCTGTGTCTCATCGCGGTTATGATATAACATGGACGGCGTCCACGTCAGGTACACGTTTATTTTTAGGTCTAACCGAAGTAATGTAATCATATGGACGGCACCCAGCTGTTGACAATTAAGTTGAAACAGTTCAATAACCATAAATCGGTCAATTCAAGTGTTGGTTGCAGAATAAGTAGATTCGTGAGCTGTTTGCGCTAAAATAGATTATAAAGGATATAAAAATAGGCAATGAAATAATGTAATTTGCTACAGGTATGGGTTGTGGCGGTGATATTAGTGGAATAAATGGAAGCCTGACAAGTCCCAACTACCCTGGCAACTACACTGAGCGGCATAGCTGTCGCTGGCTCATCACCGCGCCTGCGCGGCGAGTCATCACCGTCAGGTTTGCTGACATCAACATCTTAGGAAGTCCCGATTGTAGCCGTGCGTTTGTAGAGGTACACAACGGAAATACTGATGTCTCACCGTCGTTTGGAAAATACTGTGGAAATGTAGGTTTTGACTTTTAATCGTAAATGCAGTATGCTCTTTGACATATAATACATGCAAAGCCCAGTTCCAATATTCTTATTTTCAATTCTAAAAGTCAAGACACCATCTAGAAGATTTTATGGGGATGTTTATTAGAAAAGTTATAATACCATGATTGTGCAAAATTAATGCACGGTTGTTTGTCATAAATTATCAATCCCAACATTAACCAAGAATAACTGAATCTCTTATTCAGTAACCTTTCTTAGAAATGATTCTCGGTCATAATTATTTTTAAATATGGGTTGTATTCCTCGGGCTTTTAATTTCTATTTCTTAACTTTCTTTTGCATTTTAAGGAGCAACCACCCCCTCTCAGGTCCACTAGTAACAAAGTCCTCGTCAAATTCATCACAGACGGATTCCACGCGGCTCCGGGATTTAGACTTCTTTATACAAGTTAAATAAAATGTGCTTGGCATATTGTGCTTTCAAAGACAAGCCAAGTATAAACGACATTTCAGGTTTTTTCTCATCTTTAAAGACGGATGAGGTTGTGTAAGACTGTGATCAATTTTAATTTACATTCCATATAAAGAAAATGTGTATCTTACCAATTCCATATCATCAAATACAAAACAGTGCTCGCTGTATTCATCATAAATTGCATCTTTTATTTGTGTGATTAAAATCACTACCTGTATATTTTTAACGCATTATAATAAATATGTATGTATTGGAATAAAGTTTTTTTATTTCTTAAATGATTTACTTGTTTCATAATGAATCGCATATGACGTAGAAGATGTGACACATATTGAATGAATTACACACTTAAGTAATGGCATCAGAAGAGTAATGTCGGTACTACTTCGAGTTTACAATACACTTTCATTTCTTTGAATCATTATTCACATTTTTAACGGCTAATTTGAAGGAACCCCACAAGGAATACACTTGTTGTGGAAGCTCTTTATCTGTAACAGCACTGCTTGGGTTTCTACCGCGCTGCTCAGCTGTCATAGTTTTAGATTTATTCTCAGTATAATGACGAATTTTAGACCCAGATTCACTTATTTTGGTCGCCTTTTGTGGTGATCCTTTTGGAGTGCTTGTACACCCAACTTTCTTAGAACAAGGCCCCTTTATTTCCTTCTCCATCGGCGGCCTATACGCCTTAGTAATTAATTTCTGTCCTTGTCCATATTTAGATGGTGTTTTGGGTTTTGACATCTCTTTATTTGGAGGATTCCCCATGCACCTCTCCTTACTGTAACTGTTTCTGTGTCGACGCTCTCTGTTCTTAATATCATGTGCGGATTGGACAGCTGGTGTTGGCGTCGTCCGCTTCTGTGGTCCTATGTTGTCCTCAAGTGAGTGGACAGACAAACGTTTGGCGGCATTTGGATTCACATTATCCTGGGACAGTCTTTCTGTTTCTAGCTCCAATTTTTCTGAGACACTCTGTTGTATGCCCTCCTGACTACTCTGTACCTTTGTAAACTTAATACTCTCTTCCGATAGATTCGTGGCGATCTTACTCAGTACCGTTGTTACCATTCCTGTTATCACTTCAGATGGCACAGCGGACGCATGAGAAATGCTACCACCCGCCCCTGCCTCTCTGTTAACGTTCACACGGAAGATGCTTTTTGTTACAGTCGGCAAATCTTCTGGATCAATTCCACTAATTCTAAGATCTTCTACTGCGTTTTTCAAAACATGTACAATCATTTCTTCAACCGACCTTTCCATCAACTGGACATGAGAGATATGGTGATCCTCGTTGGAATCAATGGCTAACGCAAGGGTTTTTAGCTCCTCCATACTCAGCTGTTTATGCTGAATGTTATCGATTGTTTTTTCAAGAACTTCTGTTGCAATCACTTTGACTTCGCTGGTGACCTGATTCTTGATGCTACGATCTGATTCTTCATCTAGTTTTCCTTGAGAAGGATGGACATTTTCATAGAGACTGGTTATTTCTTTTGTCATGTCTGTCATTTTTTGTAGACTTAGACTTGGTCTCACTGTAACATCGTTAACACTGGACAAACTGTCCTTTTCGACACCATTTCCTGAGTTGCTTTTCTGAAACACATCTGCTACGTGTATACTTCCAGTCTTAATGTTTTCGATGATAACATCCAAAGCCGATTCTAACTGTTCGTCATTTTTATTTTCATTTTGTGAGGGAGTGATAACTGAATGGAAAATGTTTTGAAGTGCATTGTGAACAGCCACATTTGTATACATATCGTCCTTGAAACTCTGTAAGATGAACAACAAATGCTCTTTCATTTTGGCATCGTTTTCGGACATTGCAATACCTTCTTCCTCGCAAAAATTTATGATTCCATGGAGGGTCTCCACAACTATTGCTTCAGCCTCCAGTGACGCTGTCGAGGTCGACTTTTCAGTGCTTTTAGTTTTTGATCGTTCCACCTCTGTAGTCAGATCGCTTATGACGGCTTTTAGCGATTCACTTATCACCTTTTTAGCTTCCACGTCGTCGATGAATACTGGTGATGTATGCAACGGCGATTCGGAGCTTTCTTTCACTTCATTTATATCTTCCAGTTTGTCTTGCATACTTTCTACAATATGTTGTAACTTTTCTAGAACAAAATCGTGAATAATCTGAGAGCTAGAATGTCTAAGAAGCATGTCGTCCTCGGGTTCAAGGGAGTTCTCCAGTTTCAGATTACTGATGATGTTATTAAGAGTATCCAGTATGAGGGCATTCATTTCCTCAGACGGAACGCTGGAGAGGTCAGACCTACTCAAGACAACATCATCAGAAAGGAGGTGTTCAGTGGACTTCATCTTGTCACCAGCCTTCAGCATGGTTCCTATTCTCTGAAGTAAGTTGTCCACCACTTTATTCGCTATGGTGGATGATGCTGACTGCAGAATGTATCCTTGTTGAACACTTTCAATTTCCTCTTCATGATGCTCAATGCAGTCATTGATGAGTGTCTGCATCGTCAGACGAATGAAGTCAGTCATGATACTGGGGTGCACATTCTGAACAGCGCATTGCAAGAGATTCACTGCCTTGTTCATTGAAATTTTCCCCTCTTTTGAAAACGCCTTCGATGAGAAAGCACAAACTAAGTTCTGAATATGTTTAGAATTTTCTCGGTTTTTCCTAATGTCTTTCATAATTTTTCGGATGCTAATTCTAATCATCGGAACGGTTTCCTCCGGTGAAATATCCAAACCAAATGCAGAAGACAGAAACTGTTTTACTAATTCCTTTGTTGTATTTTTGGAGTTCAGATCAAGAAGGAATTGCTGCATTATTGCTAGAGTCAGGTTCACAACATCACAATGACTTCTGAGGTTGAATATGTCTTTCTCCCTTGAATCATCTACAACTGATAAGATGTCTTTTGAGCTGAGACGTCCGCTGACAACGTCTCGCTCTATTTTATCTATTGTTTCCTTGACTAAGTTGTAGGCCAAATGAGAGTCGATGTCTTCTAAATCAGAGGAAGTCTGAATTTCGTCATCTGCTGCAAAAAAGTAAGTTTGAAGGACAGTGGAAAATACCTTCTTGACGTCAGTCTTCGATAAGCTGTCTTCCTGTAATAACTGTATGACCTTCTCCACCATTTTGTCAACCTTTTCTTTGTGCTCATCAGGCAAAGTTTCAGAGAAAAGAGACACTACTGACCATGCCACGGAGGACAGGTCGTTTTCCCCAGCTTCCCCGAGCTTGAAATCGCTTAACATCTCTTTCAATGTGTCCTTGGCAAATTCAATTTTCGTGTCCGAGATGGTCGGAGATTCTCTTGTAGACGTATTCAGTGTAGTGCTTTCGTAAAAATCTCTAGATAATCTCGTTTTCAGAATGCACAAAGCTAATTCTTTTATGGCGTCTTTTGTGATCAGACTTTTATGCAATTCATCTTGGATTGAATACAGAATGTGTGATAAAACATCAGCGGCTACAGCGGAACTTGTTAAGGATGGCTTTCTGGGGACACTTGAAGAAGAATTAAAAGGTTCTCTTCCCTGCAATAACCTGTTTCCGCAATTAATTAATGAACTTCCAAGTTCAAATAACTCTTTTTCGTCAAGTGATCCTGTTTCAAAGATGCCTAGTAATTCGGATATGTGTTTCGTTAGCATCTCTTCTTTAGAAACTCCTTCGGTTGGTGAAATATTCTCACTCACGATTGTCGAGAAAATTTTTGTCATGTCCTGTACATCATCAGCGGTGAACCCGTCGCTTTCAAGTCTGTTCCCAACAACTTTCAACACTCTGACCACCAGATTTGTAACGTTTCGAAGGAGGGCCTGATCAGCTTCAAACGCCTTCTCCTCTCGATGTTTCATGGCAGGAAGATTTTGCAACGCAGCTGTCATTGAATTTGCGATTCTCTCCAGCGTCATTAAATCCGACTGCATGACAGAATGTTTAGCATTTTCAATCATGGTTTCAATAGTCAGATCAAACACCATTGTTTCGGACCCGACTTCCTTAAATACATCAGTTAGGCTCGTGACAATCTCACTCATTTTGACATGACTTAAAGCAGTGGATGTCAGTTTTAATGCAGCTTCTTGCAGGTTATCAAAATTTGTTTCAGACTCTTTCAAACCTTCTTTCTCAATTGCCTGTCTGAACCTCTCTGTGATCAGACTTATCAGCTCGGCATAAGATTCCAGTACCCCGACTTTGTAGGCGTGATAGGACGACACAACTGCGTGGACTACTTTATACAGCGACGTACTCTCTCCACTTTCAAGATCATCAATGATCTTCTCAAAGAATGGTCTCAATGCCAGCGTTTGGATGTCATTACGTTCGACGTCTTCTCTTGTCATCATGGACACCATTTCTGCTACCATGCCTTTAGAGAGCCTGCCTTGGTCAATGTCGTCTGTTATTTCCTTCAGTGTGTTTATAATCCATTCATCGAGCATTGCGTCATGGATGGGAGAATCCCTGCCCAGGTCGGGGTCTTTGACAATGGATTCTATGGTATCGTCTATAAACTTCTGTTAAACAAATCAAAATACATACTTGATTGTCGGAATAATAATAAAAAATCCTAGTGTGAATAAATAAGTTATGATATCAAAACAGAAACAAGCGCTTCTTTTTGTTATATTTATCTCTGCATACAGTGTTTATTCATTATGCGCCCGGATCGATAGATCCGAGGCATATATTGTTTTTGTCCTGTCTGTTTTTCTGTTTATCTGTTTGTCTGTTTGTCTGTCTGTCTGTTGTCAACTGTAACCTTCGCTATACCTTTTGAACCATGAGAGATAGAGACTTCATATTGGTATGCATACTCCACCAAATAAGCTCTTTCAAATGACATCAAGGTCAATGACTTTGTGACCTTGACTGTGACCTATATGTTAAAAATATCTTTTTCGAACTTTTGCCATAACTTTTGAACCATGAGAGGTAGAGACTTTATATTTGGTATGCATACACCACTAATAAATCTCTTTCAAATGACACCAAAGTCATGACATTGTGACCCTGACTGACCTATATATATGCTAAAAAGAGCTTTTTAGAACTTTCACCATAACTTTTGAACCATGAAAGATAGAGACTTCATATTTGGTATGCTTACTTCACTTATTAAGCTCTTCCAAATGACACCAAGGTCAATGACCTTGTGACCCTGACTGTGATTTATCTGCTAAAAATATTTTTTTGAACTTTGTTGTCGCCGAGCGCATAGTGTTTCACAAACACACCTTGTTTAAAAAGAATTAAAGGTAAGAAGAGAAACGGATTACAGAATGGACAACATGTCTTCGGTATCTTGGATATAAAAACAAGTGTTGCAATAAAAATGATCAGAGCATCACGGAAATGTACGATATTTAAATAGAAAGGTGTGTACATGGATGTACGATAAATAATTCTCGATTTCAACTGCACATATAGATTTATATTGGTTCATACAGATAAAAGATATTAAAAAACTATAGATAAACATACCGGTAACTAAATTCCTTACCTGTAAGTGTTCATCATCTGAAGAAATGCTGATATCCGAGAAGCTGTCATCTTTCTTTCGACCAACTAAAATGGCTGCCATTTCAGTGACTTCCTCGTAAGGGAGGGCTCCAGTTTTAATGTCGTGGCGGACCTTATTCAGAGTAAACTCCACCACGTCCTCCGCGATCCACTCGGATTCCTCGGCGTGCAGCTGACAGGAGACGACGTTCATGGCGTACCGGGACAGCTGACTGATCTCCTCCTCCGTCAGCCGGCCTCTGTTCAGGTCGTCAAGGAGACGATTAAGGAGGTTCTCCACCAGCTTCATTTCCGACGACTTCTCCGTCATGGCGAACCTCTTGACGAGGAAAGGGGAGGGAATAGGAGTCAGCACGTGCTCACTCACGGGGCGAAGAATAGCTCTGTCAACCTCGCGGTTCGGGGGAATCGTGTCGTCTTTACCAAACTTTACTTTGCCTACAAATAATACCTTTTTTCACATACCATTGACTGAATATTACTTCCGTTTATTTCATCACTACAAGCATTGCCTGACTGCAAGATAAATAATTAAAGAAAGTTCAGAAATTTAATTGTTCTGGTATGAATCCTACCTTTCTGTTCTTCAGTCCGCATTTGTAAATATGCTGGGTAGACGTCCTACAATATAATAAACGAGAATTTATAACTATAAGTCAAAAAAGTGTACTACCGATAATATCCACATAAGTAGAATAGCATGTGCAAGAAAAGATTAAATAATAGACAGATGGAGAAAAAATAGTGCAAGATCTTCTGAATACGGAATGCAATGACAGATTTGCTCACAGTTTTGACTTTGTGAAGAACGGAGTCGACAATCTCCCTGGCTTTTCTGTTTATTTCTCTTTCGTTAGGGTATCCAGGCTGTAAAATACAAGAAATCCTCACAATGAAATGTCATTTCTTATGCCGAGCCAAACTTGTACTAAAGGTTAAAAAACTAAACGAACTTAAACGATATTTTTGCAAAACACGTACCATTTCTTCGCCGAGTTTCTTTATTTCGATGTCCAGTGCCTCATTTATCAATTGCAGAAACTGGCCAGTGGATTGTTTCCCTTTAATATAAATGGACCCTTCGTCAGCAATTAAATTAACCAGACATAAAGACCAGTGAAGGTCGACTCTAACAAAAGTTGTAAAATTTCAATAGCAATTCGACTTGAATTCGACTTGATTTGAAGATTTTTCCAATTGAAAATAATTGCTGCCATAATTATCACGTTCTGTGCTATTATTAAAGCATGCGAATACTTTTTGTCCCGTGAAACCTCTTAAGTCCTATAATTTCAGTAGTGTACCCACCATTGAAGTCAACAATACGGACGATATATTTTCTACTTAACTTACTGCATACCAAAAAGTCATCTCCACTTTTTACCTGAGAACCAGAGATGGGACAGCGAGATTTACCTGAGAACCAGAGATTAGACAGCGAGATTTCTCTGAGAATGTCCTCTAGCGCCCACAGACTCTCGTATCGATATCTGTCACGTCTACCTGAAAAACAAACGACAGAAATTAGCCAGAAGCTTAAGATATGAGTGGATGTTTAAGGTTTAGAAGAAGTACTGATACATTCCTATAATTAATTTTTGCCCAATTCAAGAATATCAGCCAAAAACGTGTCATTGAATTTTCGACAAGGTTTTCAAATAATCAGTGCTGTAAATTTTTCAGACCGAAACCTTTTGAAATTTATATCTTAAAACATTTCATTTATTGCCACCCTCCAATATTAATAAATATCCAAAAGATATAAAATTTCTAATATTGCTTTTTTTGGTTCCCGAAATTGTTATGTCGTATTTTAAACAAAAGACTCTGCGTATCATTGAAGTATGCATGGTACCAGTCTACGCCCGCCTGCTTTTTTATAAGTTGAGTATCGTTACTTTTTTATTTTTGTCTGTATGTGTCATGCCGTTTGAGACACCTGAAGCTGTACAAGTTTATACCTCTCCGCCTGCGCGCCATCTTGAGTTTCATCAGAGCCAGTCGTCTGGACAGCCTCGCTTTGTGCCCCTGTTCCCGCTTCTCTCGTTCTTCCTTGGACTGGCGCTGGATCTCTTCCAGTTTGTCTGTTCAACGACAAGACAGTTATGTATATATATATATATATATATTCCCACGATAAAACTCATTTATCGTGGATTCCCCATGTGTGCTAAACATATCTCCTCAAAACACAAGGTACATTCTCTTCTAGTTCTCTGGCTCAATATACACAAAAGAAAAGAATAACCTCAGAGCTGATCAGTTTACCCGGTATAGAAATTATCTGATCAGTTTACCCGGTAAAGGTTATTACCTCTGAGTTTGTCATGCTGATGACTAAACTTCCGGTCCCGCGCCTCCATGTCTTTCTCTCTCCTCTTTTCCTCCATCAGGCGGATTTCATTTTCCGCCGCCATCCGCCGAATTTGTTCCTCCCGCCGTGTGTTCCACATCTCCGTAATCTGTAGATTGAAGCAAAATTATTGGTGTAAACATTTGCGAGAAAGTACATTCATAGGTTAGTGATGTAAAAGTTTATGCGCAAATATGTCGATGTGGAGTGCTTTTGAAAATTTTCACTAAAAAAAATAAAGTGTTAAAGAACAGGTCATGCATTATTTATTTGATCCCGCAGGAGGGCATTTAACTCAAGTTAATTGAAGCCATTCTGCAAATCTTCTTGGTAAATGTATTTTAATGACCTTTTTCTGGTCTGCGAGGAGTTTGTTCCTTTTTCTTTCCTCCAGTCGAAGCTTGCGGAGTTTTTCTCTTTGTTTCCATCGGCGAGTAATAATCAAATTTTTCCTCATCGTCTGAAACAAATATTATTATGATTCCTCACCAATAATAAAAATAAGTTTGTACATGTTATATAAAACTGAAAGCTTTCACTTTCCGACCTTGTCGAGGTGCTCCGCCGCCATTGCGCGTCGCTTCTGTAGGATGTGGCGTCGTCTGAATTCTCTCAGTCTCTTGTGGATCTCGATTTCTTCCAGCCTCCTTTTCAGTTTTACTTCCTTCTCTTGAATCTCCCTCTGAATCCTGGATTCATGACAAATAATACGTTTCCTCATTGTCAAGATTTTGTTTCTTCGTTCCTCTTGTTGAGGAACGATATCGCAAAACCACAATACTGTCAGGATATAAGGTGACTTATTAAAGGGAATCTTCATGATATTGTTTATTTGAGCATTGAATTCATATTTTGGGATGTCTTCGGTCCTGTAACACACCTGGCCGTGCCGACAAATTGAATACCGCGCGTTAGCGTGGTACGATAATTTGTCGACACGGCCAGGTGTGTTATAGGACCGAAGACATCCAAAAATATGAATTCAATGCTTATATCTATATACATTCTCTAATTTTTCCACTTCATAATTGTTTATTTCGGTAATCTCTAATGTGAATTTAGCGCCCTTCAAAACTGGTGTGCTTAATAAACGTAACAGCCGTTCGTGACGTTTGTGACGTCGCAAAGTTAAATAACGCAAACAAACATTGTGAGGAAAAAAGTGACAAATTAATTTTAAACGCACATTTGTTGTATTTTTACATTAATTAAACAGGGTTAATTCTTTTTTATTAAATTGTGTCAAAACAATGTACATTTTGGTATTCCTAGAGTATTAAAAATGCATATAGTTCCTACTGTGTAATCTAACGCGCGGTGACAAGGTTTCACGTGTGATATTTAAGCATTGAATTCATATTTTTGGCTGTCTTCGGTCCTATAACACACTTGGCCGTGTCGACAAATTGAATACCGCGCGTTAGCGCGATATGATAAATTTGTCGGCACGGCCAGGTGTGTTATAGGACCGAAGACAGCCAAAAATATGAATTCAATGCATATATTTACATTCTCTAATTTTCCTTCGCGGTTAATAGACGTAAGAGCCGTTTGTGACGTCAGATGACGTTGCAAAGTTAAAAAAGGAGGAAAAAAAGTAACAAATTAATTTTAAACGAACATTTGTAGTATTTTTACGTTAATTTAACAGGATTATAGTTTTTAATTAAATTGAATCAAAACATTGTACATTTAGGTATTCCCAGATTATAGAAAATGCATATAGTTCCTACTGTGTTTTCTAACGCGCGGTGACAAGGTTTCGCGTGTGTTATAGAAATTTGAATGTCGTGGATTTCTAATGAATTTCATAAGGAAAAATATACAGAATGTAAATATAGAGATTTGAACGTCGTGGATTTCTAATGGATTTCATAAAGAACTTTATACTGAATGTAAATATTGTTATATGAAGCTCGCTCTAACAGATGACATTTAGGATACATGTAGCTACCGAAGTTGTACTATAAATAAGCTTGGTTGAGGCAATTTTAATGCTTTTTGTAATGCATTTGGGAACTGGAATCTTGCTAACTCCCTCAATGATATACTTTAACTGTATAAATTAATAATTCCCAACAAATAGCTTTGAATGAACTAATCCCAATGTGTCGGTCAAATGAGCTTAATTTTCCTTCGTAAGCCTATTATGCAGTTAAAGTATTAGATTCCCCAGATTCCAGATTCTCCAAGACCAGGACTATTTCCAGAGGCGCAGCGTCCTGGTCGAGGGGAACTGGAATCTTGCTAACTCCCTCAATGATATACTTTTTAACTGTTTAATTATACCAGTACAAATAGAGGATTGCGAATGTCGGGCATTAGCTTCAAGACTAACGCACGGGGAATTAGTCCATTAGCATATTAGACTGATACAAAAGTAAAATCTAAAGGATTACGGATAACCGGGGAATCAGATTCCGAAGCAGGGATTAGTTCACTTAACTAACGCACGGGGAATTAGCCCATTCACTGAGATTTGTAGGGAATTATTCACATTTTACTGCCTTACTTTTATATAGGAAAAAATCAGTAGAGGTATAAGAACCCCGGTTATCCTCTAGATTTTATTGTTGTATCGGTATATTGTGTTAGTTGACTAATCCTCGTGCGTTAGTCAAGTGAGTTAATCCCAAACGAAATTTTACCAGTTTAACTTGGGAATCAGCTTTTAAATTTATTCCTTATAATTAATTTATTAACCATCAATTTATGAATGTAGAAAATAAGACAATTTTTCTTTCGAAAATGCCTTTTAATAAATCTTAATTTAAAAGCAAGGGCGGATTCAGGGGGTTTGGGGGGGGGGGGGGGGGGGAATCACTGATCTTTTTTTTTTTTTTTACAAGTGTCATTTTGTCATTTTGTTGCATTGATAAGACTCTGATAAACATAAACCCTTTGTTTGTACAACTGTGAAATGTACATCCAACTACGTAACAGGAAATCTCTTTCCGCTTGAACGCACACAATACACAGGTAATCAACACAGAGAGTGCCTCAGACATCGGGTAGTCTGTGCATCTAGTGAAGTCACAAGATCACAGTACAATGTAGTTAGGTACCAACAACAGAAAACTGCATAGTTATGGTGCTGCTCAGTAATATTTTTTTGCTGATAAAATGCATGTTTTTTTAAACTATGAATAAACTATTATTCAGGGTTTTTTTACCGTTTTAAAATTAAGTTAATATATTTTTTTTTACAAAACCAGGTTGGCTTAGCAAACCCCTCTAGTTTTGACAGATTCTCCAGTTTATGTAAATTTTTTCTTCAGTTAAGATAGTTTGAAATTTTATTAATTGTACACGTGTGTTTATATTCCAAATCATATTGACAGTATATACTCAAGTAAGTTGAAAAGCACAAGTTAGGGATTCTGAAAAGAATTCAATTTTTAATTTTTTTAGTGTTTAAAAATTTGCACATTAGTTGTATCTTGGAAGTCAGCTTGACATAGAACTAAATTAATTGTAGGTGCATTTAAAGTACACTAAGACAACTTGAAGTGATTAACTGCTTGCATTCCTAAAATTGTCAGATTTAACATTTTTTTAAAGCAAAGTCTAAAAGTCTTGTGTTAAAGTTAAATTAAATTGAAAACATTTTATTAAAAATTTGTGATGATCGGTCTTTAAAAAAGCTACAAAAAGTACCCCTAAAATGCTGGAAAATGCACCATTTAGAACCATTTAAAACAAAATTTTCTCGGGGGAGGCCCCCCGAACCCCCACCTATGGGAGGGGGACACCCCCTCCCATGCCCTCCCCCTTCGGCCTCAAACCCCCCCCCCCACATGAACTTCTGGATCCGCCACTGTAAAAGTACCGCTAAGCGGATTGATGTTTTGACGTAAGTCATTGTGATGTAGGCAATGCAGGTTATACAATATAAATTACTTTTTTCTATCCAATAAAATGAAGTGTTACAACCAAAATTAATTTTTAAGAAATACGTCATAGATCACACTTCTTAGATCCACACCGTAAACACTCCTTACAAGCGGAGTGTATGCTGTGCGGATCTAAGAAGTGTGACTAAGTTTTTAACGAAATTGTCCTCACACTCAGTGAATATTGTACATGCATCGACCACAAAAATATTTGGGGAAAAAAATGTGTATATGCATGTTAATTCGATCATCAACATTGCATCTATTTATGCTGAATATTTCTAATTGATAGCCGAACTTGATTTATGAATGAGTAATACATGCGTGCAATGAAGCGTGTCCTCTGTTAATTCTTATAGAAACGTTCTGACCTGGTTTTGGCTTCCTCCCTCATCTGCTGCAGTCTCCTGCGGACCTGCTCCCCCCGGGACTCGGGTCTCCTCGGATGTTCTCCCCCAGACATTTCTCGGAGTCTTCTCTCCTCCTCCATCTCCTAAAAGAACGAAAGAATTGAAATCCAAGAGTTGTAAATTCTTGCAATATATATACGAAGGCATTAAGAAAAGGGAAATACAAAATACAATGTAAAATTTCTAAAACTGTATTAGTTTTATGAATGAATACAAATACAAAAAGATCTAGAGAAGTCAGAATTTCTTGCACATTTGGTCTCAGAGAGAGAGAGAGAGAGAGAGAGAGAGAGAGAGAGAGAGAGAGAGAGAGAGAGAGAGAGAGAGAGAGAGAGAGAGAGAGAGAGCGTTTTATCCAAATCGAGATTTTTTAGAGACAGTGACCTTTAATAACAAACCTTTCGTTCCTTGGCCATTTCCAGGAGACATATTTTCCGGAGGTACTGTCTATATTGGTTAAACTCCCGGAGATTACAGATTACCTGCCCCTCTTCAGTGATGAAGCCGTTCTTTCGGAGGTGGCGCTGCATGCGAGGTATATTAAAGTGATTCTTCAGGTGCGGATCATGCAGTGGTTGATATTCATTTGATATCACGTGACAGTATGGATCAGTTAGGTCAAATTCAAAGTCAACAACTTTGTGTTTCTGAAAAAAAGATTAATAAATATTCATTGAAATGAAAAAATAATAAATGCAACTAAAATAACAGGTTTACTCTGAGTAATTAACCGTCAGATAAGAAAGTTTCTTTTGGTATATCAATATTTCTAATCAAACATATTACATTCTCCGGTGCCTTTATCTAACCATAAGGCAACAAAAGGGGGTGGGGGTAGAGTTTCAATGACCATTTCCTATGGTAAAAGGTTATGCCTGGAAAAAAATAGATGGGCACACCCCCCCCCCCCCTGCTACATGTCTGCAAATTGAAATGTACCTAGCTGTACATACATGTAACTTGGTCATTTATTTAACTTTATATATATATTTTTAAAAAATTATCTTATATATAATAAAATGGTTAAATTGCGCATTTATGTATGTTGAAATACCTTTCGGGGCCCTTGATTGGTAAATAAAATATCTTGTCAATTTCAATTTCAATTTCTTTATTGATTCACCAAACATGTTGGCATACAACCATGTTACATACAAAAGACAAATAATAAAATACAAACAATACATAGATGCAAGTGTATGGATCACTGAAGTCAACTATGAAGTGTATTACAACTTGAAGATTAAACATAATCATTATGTAAGCAGTATAGTATGGACAGTGATGAGCTATTAAATGCATTAAATATATACTAGTATATTGTAATTGCGCTTTATTTTTGGAACGCAAATTAAAACATTCAATATAAAAATTCACATAGCCCTCTAGAATGAACTGCATTGTCAGGGTTACAAAATACTTTACAATGATTTTCTTTCAATATGTTACCGTTTAAATTAAGATGTTCAAAGGACAGTACTTTTTTTCGTAAATCTATATATAAGGGACAGTCATATATATGAAATGTATTTTTACTTTCTATAACAGTTTTACAATAGTGACAAAAGCGAGATTCTTTTGGGATACAAGGCTTTGAATATCTGCCTACTTCAATTTCTAAAGGATGTGCAGAAATTCTCAGTTTTGTTAATTTAGAACGTATAGCTTTATTTATTGGATATTTTAAATAGTTTTGTAATTCATAATTCTTTCTAATTTGACTGAAAAATAATAATTTACCATATTTGGAGAATTCAATGTTCTTAAGTTGCAAATATCTTAATTGTAGCACTTTGGGAGCATTTTATGTGCATGAACATGATGGAGGCGTAAAATTAAAACTCTTAAAAACAGCAACACTTACTGGTTCGCATAACTTGGTAGTACAAAGTTTGATGGATCCCTTTGGAATAGGTACCATGGGGAATTTAGAATACAAGGGGAGTGACTCCCATGCTGGTAGCCCGTCACCGGCAGGTAGACATTTCTCCCTCTCCGTAGTCTTCGGTCTTGGATGTAAAGTCAGTCGATCCATCTTTTAGAAAATTCAAAAATAGTTTTAGATCGGCATTAACATCGCCATGTTGTTTTCGCCTATATTGTTGCTATAACAATCTCCGTAACGCCATTTATTTGTGACGTCACTTTGCCAAGGTAAACGTTACGTTTTCCAACGTAATTCTTTGTAAATTCAAGAGAGTTTGTGTTGCGTCCAGTCTGAGTCTAGTTTTGCAACGTAGAATTTCTTCATACCTATAGGGGTGCGAGGACACTTACTCTGTATTCAATGTAAAAAAAAATCCCGTGTTCAAATTAATTTCTCGTGTACATGTTTTTATTTATATTCAGCCTCATACATGTATATGTATATATCAAAACAATTAGAACATGGTAAACGATTAACAGACTCAACTTTCCTGATTCTTGTGATTTTTCTGGATAATTATTTTATTTAAACAGGAGTCTTTAAATTATGGTTAGGTGTTATCGCCCATCACCGTTCTTTGCGACATTGCGAATTTTGATCGGGTTCGAAGTCCTGTTCATTAACGTGTTTAGGTTAGTGGGCGCAGACATAGTTGACAGACACCGTGGGTCATTTGATTTAGGTGATGAAACCGGATCAACAGCACTAGAGAAAATGAAACTGTTTACAGATCAAGGAAATTTTAAGTCTTTGAAAGTGATAGCAGCTCTGGAGTTGACTGGACTGCCCTATACACTCGAGAAATGCGGTCATGAAGGTACAGTATGTCATCTGTTTACCAATGTATCTAGTAGAATCAGTACACTTAGCTGCGTAGCTTGATTTACCCACCGTAGCTTTTTCAGATACATCGGGTAGCTTTATTTAGCTTCTATGCAACATTTCACAATTTGATTTTTTACTTTTTATTTAAAAAAACAAAAAACTGTGATTGTAGTTTGTAGCACACCTTTGTACTACTATAGTTCACCAACCAGTTGGCTGTGGCTGATGCCATCACTGTGTAGTAGATAAAATACATAAAGTTATTGTTTCAATTGTTTATCTTTTATATTTGAAATAAACTCAAATAAAATTGTAAACAAACAAACCAGCGACATTGATTTATATTTAATAATATTCCCTACTGGTCATGTTGGTTATGCAAAAGTATTAAAAGAAATATTCTGAACAGAATGACAGCAAATAAATCCTCTCTCCACCCAACCACCCCCTAGCTCTTAAAAAAAAGAAATGGAAGAAACCAGAATCTCTTTACAGACTTGTGCTGTTTTGACCCTGGTCATTGACCTTGTTAGTTCAGTGGTTAGAATTAGTTTCTGAATTCTATTACTGTAAATCACTTTTTATTTGCTAGAACTTTATTGTCACATAATTATCCCTATCATGCTTATCCATGTTTTTATTTGATTCCTAATAGCTCTAAAAGAAAATTGATCTCATCAATAAGTTGTTTATATTTTGGGCACTAAAAGCTGGAAATGACATAATTATTAAATGAAAGATACAAGTTAAATCACGTAAATTGAAGGGAAATGTTCACCTACACTGTCGTGTCTCTTTAACACGTTTGTAGACCATTACTGATCGGCCTGTAAATTGTCAATGTTTGTCACTACAACATTTCACCTGTTCATGTGGGAGATTTCCTTTGATCTTTCATGTTCCTTTACTAAATGTGTGTGAATAAAAAAGAACTTGAAGTTATTTTTATTACCAAATAAAGTTTATTCTTGATGATTCAGTAAAAAGTTTCAGACTTGGAAATGGTTAGTGTGATTTTTTAAAAAGAGAAATTAAGATTTTTGTCTGACATGAATGTATCACATTTTAAAAATCTTTATAAAGTTTATTGTCTTATCTGGATAAAATCATGTCATTATGAGACGATGCAGGTATTATAGGTTTTTCGTGGAACTAAGGGCATCTTGCACTCTTTTCGTCTATATTCACTATTCAGTGAATAGAACAGATTTACCTGTCCTGACTGATGTGTACCTTTCCTGTTACAGACCGTGTGGTTCCATACCTGTCCAGTCCCTCCCTACCTGTTCTAGAAGTCAGTCTTCAGAGGTTTCTCTTCTCCCCCAATGCTGCAACAAGGTAAGTTTAAACAGGTAGCATTCTATCTTGTCCCTCCTCACCTGTCCTAGAAGTCAGTCCCTGGAGATTTCTCTACTCATCTGCCACAAGGTAAGTCCCTCAGGTAACTTCAGGATGACTACAGACTATGATAAATAGTACCTACTGGTTCTTTCCCATGACATCTCTTTAAGTTACTCCTAATGTCATCTAATGGAGTCAAATTTGAATCCTGTATTGACTCTTATGATTTTGTACTTATGTCTATATTATGATAAGTGTCTGTTTACTTTATTCATTGTGTACTTTTTTACCAGGTATATATTAAACACAAAGTCAGAGGAGGATGACTACAATGTAGACAAGTGGTTGGAGTGGGAAAGTTCACAGCTTCAGGTCAGTAGGTCATAGTTAGGTCAAGGTCAAAGAGCTCTGAGGTGCAAATATACAAATAAGTAAATGAAACTCATTGATTTATGTACAGATTTGTTTGTATTTTAGCCCTACCTAGTTCGCTATCTTGTCAGTGTTATAGTTCACAAGAAACCAGACACAGAGTCTCTCAACAGAATACAACAGCTTCTCAAGTTCCTAAACGCTGAACTCAAAAGTAAATCTCTGACAAAGGTAATTAAAGGAATTGTGACCAAGTCACTGGTTCATCATATATGCTCTTTAACTTTTTTGTTTGTAATATATTGTACTAGCTGTGTTTCTTGATAAATCATCCACTGGGTTCATGAGATGTTGTACTTGGTATATTTCTATAAAACGTGAGCTGGTTTGGTGAATTGTTGTACTTGTTCTTGTTTTACTTTCAATATTTCTATAAATCTTTAGTAGTTTGTTTTGTGAGTTGTTTTACTTGTTATATTTCTAGATACAGGACTCGGCAGCTGACCTAGTTCTGTGGGGTTCCCTGTTCCCAGTGTTCAAGGGAGCAGCAGAAATTAAAGGTAAGGACTTCAGTTAGTCTCAGGTATCTTGAATCCTGCAAAATTTCGGGAAGATATTCAAGCAACAACAGCTTGTAAATATTTATGGTCTCCAAACAGTTGAAGTTCGTTATCTCGAACACCGATATCTCAAATACTACAGGTATGTCGAAGTGATTTGGAAATCCCAGTCACATATTGTTTAAGTATTTAACCCTCAACATCTCGAACCCTCAGATATCTCAAAGTTTTTAGCTCACCTGAGCCGAAAGCTCAAGTGAGCTTTTCTGATCACAATTTGTCCGGCGTCCGTCTGTCCGTCTGTCTGTCTGTCTGTAAACTGTCACATTTTCGACCTCTTCTCAAGAACCGCTGGGCCAATTTCAACCAAATTTGCCAAAAAGTATCCTTGGATGAAGGGGATTCAAATTTGTTCAATTGAAGGGCCATGCTCTCATTCAAAGGGAGATAATTGGGAATTAATGAAAATTTAGTGGCATATTTTAAAAATCTTCTCCTCAAGAACCACTGTGCCAGGAAAGATGAAACTTATGGGGAAACATCCTCAGGTAGTGTAGAATCAAATTTGTTCAAATCATGACCCCCGGGTGTAGGGCGGGGCCAAAATGGCCAACCAAAGTTTTACATAGAAATATATAGGAAAATTCTTTAAAAATCTTCTTCTCAAGAATGACAAAGCCATAATTCATCATATTTATATAGGAGCATGCTCAGGTAGTGTAGATTCAAGTTTGTTCAAATCATGACCCCCGGGGGTAGGGCGGGGCCAAAATGGCCGACCAAAGTTTTACATAGAAATATATAGGAAAATTCTTTAAAAATCTTCTTCTCAAGAATGACAAAGCCATAATTCATCATATTTATATGGTAGAATGCTCAGGTATTGTAGATTCAAGTTTGTTCAAATCATGACCCCCGGGGGTAGGGCGGGGCCAAAATGGCCGACCAAAGTTTTACATAGAAATATATAGGAAAATTCTTTAAAAATCTTCTTCTCAAGAATGACAAAGCCATAATTCATCATATTTATATGGTAGCATGCTCAGGTAGTGTAGATTCAAGTTTGTTCAAATCATGACCCCCCGGGGTAGGGCGGAGCCAAAATGGCTGACCAAAGTTTTACATAGAAATATATAGGAAAATCCTTTAAAAATCTTCTTCTCAAGAATGACAAAGCCATAATTCATCATATTTATATGGAAGCATGCTCAGATAGTGTAGATTCAAGTTTGTACAAATCATGACCCCCGGGGGTAGGGCGGGGCCAAAATGGCCGACCAAAGTTTTACATAGAAATATATAGGAAAATTCTTTAAACATCTTCTTCTCAAGAATGAAAAAGCCATAATTCATCATATTTATATGGAAGCATGCTCAAGTAGTGTAGATTCAAATTTGTTCAAATCATGACCCCCCAGGGGTAGGGCAAGGCCAAAATGGCCGACCAAAGTTTTTAAAGATATATATAGGAAAATTCTTAAAAAATCATTTTTTAAAAAATAGCAAATCCATGATTGGTCATGGGATTACTTTTGGATTTAAACTGTACAATAAAAGCCATTTTCTACTTTTTCCTACCCTTAGTGCTCAGGTGAGCGATGTGGCCTATGGGCCTCTTGTTCTTTGGTCCCATTGAGTTTGAGATAATGAGAATTGACTGTATAAATTTGATAAATGAGGATTCTTTTTATATCAGCCAATCTGCACAAAACAAAAAATGTAGATAAAAGAAAGCTTTAAAAGTTGAAAACAGGACAGACTGATCACTATAGGGCACCCACAGAGCGGGGCCCTAATTAATAATAATAGGATAGAACCCCCTCTGGAAAACAAAAATAAAAAATGTTCAAATTAAAATTAACAAGGTTTAGTTTGATTATATATGTAATTTTAAATGTCAAAGAGATTAAATATCTGCAGAAGAGAATACATGTATTCTAGTTTCCAATATTTTGTAATAAACAGCGTTGTTTTCTTTGAATGACAGGTTGGGAGAGCCAATACTCAAACATCAAGACTTGGTTTAACTCAGTGAACAGTCTGCCGTGTTGTCAGGCAGCTCTATCTAAAGTTATACCTGGGGAAGACACCACCTGTCTAAAGGTAAATCATCTGTATGTACAGTATGTCAAAACTTACTTACATGGAAAATTTTGTCACTGTCTAACATAAAATTATTGTTGACATATTTGTGTACTGTTCCAGGGCTCACTGAGTAACACATCCGTATGGTGCCTCACTGCTCTGTATTTTTTATACCCCCCGCAAACAAAGTTTGGGGGGGTATATAGGAATCACCTTGTCCGTCTGTCTGTCTGTCCGTCTGTCCGTCTGTCTGTCTGTCTGTCTGTCCGTCTGTCCATCTGTCCGTCTGTCTGTGCAATCGTGTCCGGTCCATATCTTTCTTACAGAGGGACATTAGAATCTACTACTCCACAGTAAGATTGCTCATGACCTAAGGGTGTGTCATGACCTTGACCCAAGGTCATTTGGGGAAGTTCAAGGTCACTGGAAGAAAAATTTCACGTGTCCGGTCTATCTTAGTTATGGATAAACTTGGTAGGTTTTCATTTCACACAAAGATTGCCCATAACCCAAGGGTGTGTCATGAACCTGACCCAAGGTCATTTGAATATGTTCAAGGTCACTGGAAGAAAAATTTCATAATTCGTGTCCGGTCCATATCTTTCTTATGGATAAACTTGGTAGGTTCTCATTTCACACAAAGATTGCCCATGACCCAAGGGTGTGTCATGACCTTGGCCCAAGGTCATTTGAGGAAGTTCAAGGTCACTGGAAGAAAAATTTCATAATTTGTGTCCGGTCCATATCTTTCTTATGGATAAACTTGGTAGGTTCTCATTTCACACAAAGATTGCCCATGACCGAAGGGTGTGTCATGACCTTGACCCAACGTCAGTTGGGGAAGTTCAAGGTCACTGGAAGAAAAATTTCATAATTCGTGTCCGATATCTTTCTTATGGATAAACTTGGTAGGTTCTCATTTCACACTAAGATGTGTGTCATTACCTTGACCCAAGGTCATTTGGGGAAGTTCCAGGGAAAAATTTCATAATTCGTGTCCGGTCCATCACTGATTTCACACAAAGATTGCCCATGACCCAAGGGTGTGTCATGACCTTGTCATTTGGGGAAGTTCAAGGTCCTCATATTCGTGTTTGATACATATCTTTATTATGGAAAAACCTACTTCTGAAAAACCCAGTGGGGGTATTTTGTCCCGTTTGGACAGTTCTAGTTTTTGATTTTATACATTGTTCAAATACAGGTATTGATTCCGTATTTATGTATTCCAGGGTTCACTGAGTGCTCAGCCTGTTCCTCTTCTGGAGCAGGAGACCAGGTTAGAAGAACCAGTCCAAAAGTCAAAACCACAGAAAGGCAAGATGGAAAAACCAGCAGAAAATACTGCAGCGGAGGAGAGTCTGGTAAGTTAGTATAGGAGTAAGACTCTGTAATCTTTGATTACTTTTATAATTGTTGGATATGTATACTACTTTCTATTAACCATTCAATTAAAAATCTGATAGTTGATTGGAGATTCATTTCAATTTTTGCATGGAAAAAGGATTTGCATGCAGTTACATTTGAAAGAACTTTATTCGGTAATAACCAATATTTGCCCCCCAAATCAAACTTTGATGGAGATATATTTAATTAAGTTTTTAAACAGGGGAGAATATGCTGACTTCAAAGCACTGAATATTTTCATAAGTAATGACGCCATATGTACGTAATGACATCACAAACATGACGTAAATTTCAGTGTTTTATGAATTTTACAAAAAAATGTACATATTTCGTCGATATTTTGAGTAAAAGTGCATGTGTGTTCATGCAGGATCAATATTTTGATATAATGTGTAGAATGATAATATCAATTAACTATGTCAATATTGTTCCTGAACAAACTTGTGCTCTATAAATTTTAAAGCTAAAATTGTGTAAATTTTGTCCATTTTGTCCTATTTCTGAAAAAGGATATAAAATCGGACTAGTTTGTGACGTCATAAAAACAAAAATTGTGAATACACTGCTTTGACACTATAATATTTTCTGTTAATTTATATTTCTCATACAATTTATTGAATTCAGCATATTTCAGGAAGTTTTCAAAATTTGACTTTTGTGGGGGCAAATATATGCAAAATACTGCATATAGTTCTTTCCACAAATCTGACTGATGTTCTTGAATTTATTGCCTCATTTTATAAAGCTTGTTAAAGAAGCCTCAGCAGAGGAAATTCAGACTGCCAAAGAATCTTGGAAGACCGGCAAGTCAAAATGTCCTCTACCCAGAGAGAGGAAACACCCCATGTAAGTACAGTAACAGAGAGGGATTGACATGTGTCTCCGAGAAAGATTATGTAAAAAATGTATTACATCAGAGCTTTCAGTAGATGAATATCAAATGTTAGCAAATTTGCACACAAACCAAGCTTTATGGTATTCATGAATTGAACTTTTTAAAATACTTTGTTTATTTTTGTTTTATCATTTTATACTGCATGGAACCTAAGTAAAACAAAAAATAAATCAATTTTCTTATTTTCAGTTTACCAAATTCAGGGGAGAGAAATCTTTTGATCACAAGTGCTCTCCCTTATGTAAATAATGTGCCTCACCTTGGTAACATTATTGGCTGTGTTCTTAGTGCTGACGTCTTCTCAAGGTTCGTATCCACCATCTGTTTTAAAAATAAGTAATAAATCTATCAACAGATACATGTATTCGAAAGTGAATCATTCTTTTGCATGTAATTAAAGAGTGATTCATGATTCTTGGCAAAAATAAATTTTGTGCATTCTTATTAAAAAAAAAAACAAAAAAAAAAAAAAAATTCTAAAATTCATGGTTTATTTGAATATAAAAATATTTGTTATCTAAATTTATGACAAATTTGATTCATACGTATTTCAAAAGCAAATGCATATGTTCATTTGGAATTCTCAAAAAAAAAAACAAAAAAAAAACCAAGCCTTTACTCAAATAGACTTAATTTCTCTAACATTCTACAGATACTGTCGTCTGAGGAACTATAACTGCCTGTACATTTGTGGGACAGATGAATACGGAACAGCCACTGAGACGAAAGCCATCGAGGAGGGGATAACTCCGCGGGAGATCTGTGATAAATACAACAAAATACACAGAGAAATCTACGACTGGTTCAACATCTCATTTGATAAATTCGGCAGGACTTCTATACCAGAACAGACTAAGTATGCATGGACATGATCAAAGTTTTAATACCAGCCGGTAGTGACAGCAAATGTTATACTGTGTTAAAATTCCTAGAGTTCAGAATAAAGAGGCTGGTTATTGAATACTCGTATAAATATTGTTTTCACAATAAAGAAACAGATGAAAATTTTTTAGTAAAGACATAAAAAAAACAGTTATCATACAAGTCATGTTGGTGACATCTTAATTTCTGCATTATGAGGATAAAGCATTTGGCAATGTCTAGATGTATTTAATAAAATGATGAACTTACTAACAGGATTGCCCAGGAAATATTCTGGAAGCTAGAGAAGAATGGATTTATACTCAGGGACAGTATAGAGCAACTGCAGTGTCAAAAATGTCTAAGGTAAGGGCTTCACAGTAGAGAATTCTCAGAAATATTTTTGAAATTTACAACTAACTTGTACTAGCAAATATAAAAATTGCAAATGTGTAACCTCCATAAAAAGCTAAATCACAAATTTGATATTAGAACAATGACAGTGTTGATTAATGTGTCTTGTGTGTGACAGGTTTTTGGCTGACCGCTTTGTTGAGGGCACCTGCCCACTCTGTGGCTATGACAACTCCCGCAGTGACCAGTGTTGTTTAATTTGTAATTTGTTAATTTCTGTGACAGGTTTTTGGCAGACCGCTTTGTTGAGGGCACTTGCCCACTCTGTGGCTATGACGATGCCCGTGGTGATCAATGTGACGGGTGTGGGAAGTTACTGAATGCTATCGATCTAAGAGACCCTAAATGTAAAGTCTGTCAGGGAATTCCAATGGTCAAATCTTCACAACACTTGTTTCTGGACTTACCAAAGGTAGGAAGTGTCAAGAGATTTGATTGGTTATATGTAATTAATATTTCTGGAATTACCAAAGGCAAGAAGTGTATAGTTTTGATTGGTTATTTGGAATCAGTGATAAAACAAGTTTTTTTTTTTATTATCCAAAGTCTGCATTTACATGTATATTTAATCAAAGCATCTAAACATACATTTAAGGAATGAAGCTTATTTCAACTTATGTTATCCGATATAACATAACTTGGGGCAGTTTACGCTTTATAAACCGCGAAGCGGTTTATAAATAAGCGTAAACTGCCCCAAGTTTTGTTATATCGGATAACATAAGTTGAAATAAGCTTCATTTCTTATAATTTAATTTCAATGTAGACAATGAGACAATATTTCCTCCAGAAAAAGGCTTCACATTGAGCATTATTTTAAAATTAACGTCAAGCGGAGTGATACGTTTTTGACGTAACTCATTGTGACGTAGGCAAGTTATGTTATACGAAATGGATTAAATCTTTTACCCAATCAAATGACGTGTTACAACTGAAATTAAATTATATAAAAATGAAAAAAAAAAAAAAGTTTAAATGATTTATTACCTGCAATTAAGACCTTTCTATGCATGTATATAGAAAAATATAATTTTAATTTCCTCAACAGATTGAGAGTAAGCTACAGACTCACCTTAACACAGTGTTTGATAAAGGGATCTGGACAAACAACGCTCGGGTCATCACGAACTCGTGGTTGCGGGATGGACTCAAACCGCGCTGTATCAGCCGAGATCTCAAGTGGGGCATTCCAGTACCCTTAGAGGGGTTCACTGACAAAGTAAGATATTAAATGGGGCATTGCTGTACCCTTAGAGGGGTTCACTGACAAAGTAAGATATTAAATGGGGCATTCCTGTACCCTTAGAGAGGTTCACTGATAAAGTAAGATATTAAATGGGGCATTCCTGTACCCTTAGAGAGGTTCACTGATAAAGTAAGATATTAAATGGGGCAATCCTGTACCCTTAGAGAGGTTCACTGATAAAGTAAGATATTAAATGGGGCAATCCTGTACCCTTAGAGAGGTTCACTGATAAAGTAAGATATTAAATGGGGCAATCCTGTACCCTTAGAGGGCTTCACTGATAAAGTAAGATCTCAAGTGGGGCATTCCTGTACCCTTAGAGAGGTTCACTGATAAAGTAAGATCTCAATTGGGACATTCCTGTACCCTTAGAGGGGTTCACTGATAAAGTAAGATATTAAATGGGGCAATCCTGTACCCTTAGAGAGGTTCACTGATAAAGTAAGATATTAAATGGGGCAATCCTGTACCCTTAGAGGGCTTCACTGATAAAGTAAGATCTCAAGTGGGGCATTCCTGTACCCTTAGAGAGATTCACTGATAAAGTAAGATCTCAATTGGGACATTCCTGTACCCTTAGAGGGGTTCACTGATAAAATAAGATAGAATAAGGCATTTTTGTAAAATACGGCATTTTTGTAATCTAAGAGGACAGCCAAAATATGGCTGAAATATTGCCGAATTGGCGTTAAACAATATAAAATCAGTCAATCAATCAATAATCTATGAAGGGTTTAACACAAAGTAAAATACATGTAGAAGTTTTTTCAATACCTTTAAATGGGTCAAAGACAAAATAAGATATTTAAATTAGGCTCTCCCTCTACATTAGAAGTGGAATTAACATTATGTTTAAGTGAAAAAAATTAATGGAAAGAGTAAGGAATCAGATTAAAGATTTAGTTTGATTAATTCAATTGGGTTCAGCTAGCATATAAGCACCGAATTCTTATTTTTGGATGTGGTCTGTCCCACAGCAGCACCTGTTAGTGGCTTGGTGCTGAGAAATTGAATACCATGCGTTATTGATTCCTAGGTGGGATGCCATCATTAAATGCTGTATTCACATATCAGGTGTTTTACCTGTGATTTTTTCAGGTGTTTTACGTGTGGTATGATTATTTCAGGTGTTTTACCTGTGATTTTTTCAGGTGTTTTACCTGTGATTTTTTCAGGTGTTTTACCTGTGGTATGATTATTTCAGGTGTTTTACCTGTGATTTTTTCAGGTGTTTTATGTGTGGTATGATTATTTCAGGTATTTTACCTGTGATTATTTCAGGTGTTTTACCTGTGATTTTTTCAGGTGTTTTACGTGTGGTATGATTTTTTCAGGTGTTTTACCTGTGGTATGATTATTTCAGGTGTTTTACCTGTGATTTTTTCAGGTGTTTTACGTGTGGTATGATTATTTCAGGTGTTTTACGTGTGGTATGATTATTTCAGGTGTTTTACCTGTGATTTTTTCAGGTGTTTTACCTGTGGTATGATTATTTCAGGTGTTTTACCTGTGATTTTTTCAGGTGTTTTACCTGTGATTTTTACAGGTGTTTTACGTGTGGTATGATTATTTCAAGTGTTTTACCTGTGATTTTTACAGGTGTTTTACGTGTGGTATGATGCTCCAATTGGATACATATCGGCCACAGCTTGTTACACTGACCAGTGGGAAAAATGGTGGAAAAACCCCAAACAGGTAACGACAAAAAGCAAGAAACGTTAACAAATCTCTCTTAGTTTCTTAATTTTATTTTTAGATAAACTTGGGATACCTTTTATGAAAATTAATTATATCCCCGCTTATATCCCCGCTCTGAAGGAGAGAGGGGTATACTGTTTTACCCTTGTGTGTTTGTCTGTCTGTGTGTCAGTAACATATTTGGTGGCAGTTTTCTAAGCAACTACTCATGCAGCTGCTCGAAATTTCAACACAATCTTCTCTTCTTGTTGCATGGTTACAATGCAGGCAGTACAGATTTTATATGATTATTACATACATGTACATAATTTCTTCATCTCTGTGCTTATTTCCAGGTTGAGCTGTTTAACTTTTTGGGTAAAGACAATGTTCCCTTCCACTCTGTGATATTTCCCTCCACACTCCTGGGAGCTAACGATAATTACACAGTTGTCAACCACATGTCAGCGACAGGTAAGAATATATCAATATACAAATACATGTATAAGTTTATTTGTTTTTCTGACAGCAGTGGCTGTTCTTTTGCTCCTCTAATCTTTGTTAGAGCATAAATGGAAATTCATGATACTGCATCAATGAAAAAATGATGGAGGATTTTTGTATAAATTCCAGAAGCTGCTGTAATTTATGCGTATCGTATATTGTATGTGCACTTAAATAAGTTGGCTTCATATTTTGAAGGCTTTAGTGTAAATATTGATTTAAAAAACACTTAAGTCCTTATTAATACTGTAGACATGACATAGATTTTATTTGGGTGTCTTATGATAGAGTACCTGAATTATGAGGATACAAAGTTCTCCAAGAGTCGAGGGACAGGGGTGTTTGGTCACATGGCTAAAGAGACCGGAATCCCCGCCGATGTCTTCAGATTTTACCTGTTGTATGTACGACCAGAATCACAGGTGAGTGTTGTATGTACGAGCAGAATCACAGGTGAGTGTTTGTTTTTAAATGAAAATCTGCTCACAACTTACATTTGTTTTGATGCAGTGAATATTGGTATTTTTATAAAGATAACTGGTCTAACTTTATAGGACAGCAGTTTTAGCTGGGACGATTTTCAGCTGAAAAACAACAGTGAACTTCTGAATAACTTAGGAAACTTCATCAACAGGTAACGTTTTTATATAAAGCCTTCATGTACAGGTTTTATTTGAATTGAAGACAACAACAGTGGTAGAATATTTGACATGAATTAAAATCATCATTATATGAACAATATTATACAACATGTATAAGGTGGCTCTGAACAACTTTAGAGGAATATTCTATGTTGCAGGGCATTAAAGTTTGTCAGTAATAACTTTGGAGGGCTGTATTATGTTTCAGGGCATTAATGTTTGTCAGTAATAACTTTGGAGGAGAGATTCAGGAGATGAACCTGACAGAGGAAGATTTCCATCTGTTGGCTCTAGTCAATAGAGAACTGCAGACCTACATAGACAACATGGAGCAAATCAAGTAAGCTAGCACCATTCCATCAATCAAGTAAGATAGCACCATTCCACCAATCAAGTAAGATAGCACCATTCCACCAATCAAGGAAGGGCAGTTGTGATAATATCATTATTAATTAATTACAATTTTCACAGTCCCAAGATTTATGTGGAAATGTTCATTTTTTTTAAAACCTGTTTAAAATTTTCAAACTGGAAGATGTGTACAAAGAGTCACTACAATTGATCACTTCTCTGGATATTTGGATAACAATAAAATGGCAGGTGTTTTACATAAATATTGAATAATGATTAAATTGTTATCTTTGGAAAAAAGCTGTTTTAGATATACCTCCATATTTATTTCAGGTTGAGAGATTCGATCAGAAATATTCTAAGTATATCAAGGCTGGGGAATCAGTACATGCAGGCCAACAAACCCTGGGTCTTAGTGAAAGGCAGTCAGACAGACAAGTAAGTTTACATTAAATTCTGTAGACATACTTTTTTTCCAAGTATCATTAATTTAGTCTATGAACGTAGTCAAAAAATTTAGTTTATGAATGTAGTCGCAAAATTTACAGACTGTCAGAAATATTCTCAGTTTACTTGAAGTACCATCTTAAAATAGTGATTTCCTGGAAATATGACCCGTGGAGAAAAGTACATTTATGGTCAAAGAATGTTTTTCACAAGAAACAGGGATTAACTTTTTTAAACAGCCACTCTTTTCTCTGATTTTTTCCAGAACTCGTGCTGGTACTGTGGTCAGTCTCTCTGCTAACTTGGCCACTCTTCTGTCCGTACTCGTCCAGCCGTACATGCCGAGGGTCAGCGCGACCATCCAGGATCAGCTGAAGACGCCGGACGAGTGTAACGTCATCCACCGGGTGTTTGTGTGTCATCTCCCACCGGGACACAAAATAGGCAAGGTACGTACAGATCTACTGTAAATAGGCAAGGTACGTACAGATCTACAGTGACACTAGTCTGCTTCTCAAAAATACTTGGAGCTTGTGCAAAATAAGAAAAAATGATTTTAAAATTAATTAAACAATACATTTAGGAAGATAAATGATAATGGAAATTTTGGGTAAATTATTGCTCTAATTCTTGGACCTGAATCTTTAGGATGTTAATATGTTGGTTTTCAGCCCAGTCCTCTGTTTGAAAAAATAGAGGCTTCCAAAATTCAGGAGATGAAGAAACGATTCGAGGGGGAACCTGCTCCGCAGAAATCCTCCTCCAAAAAAGTGAGTGAACTCAGAATAACTTAACACATAAATCCTTCAAAAAAGTGAGTACACAAGAAATCATTGGACGACTCAGAATTCAAAAAGATTAAAGATATTTTCACAATAATTGGAGTCTTTTGTTAGAAAATTTTACAAAGCAGAAAATATATAGTTATTGTGGCATCTTTGAGTACTTTGATACATAAGCATTCATTTGGTGAAATGTAAGTAGGATACAAGTAAGGGATAGGCTTTTAAGTTTTAGTCAAAACAGCAAGTAATTGAGACTAAAAATAATTAATTTTTTACTGAGCAATATCTGTATTAATTTGTAGACTGCTTCAGGAAGCACTGAGGAGATTCAGAAACTGAATGATGACATTACGGCTCAGGTATGTACACATGATTTTTTGTTTCAATGCAGTTCTTCATGTTTTGACATAAATAAAAGATTGCCTTCTTTCAAGATATGAAAAGTTTAAAATTTTGCATTGCATCACATTGGCTTCTTTTTGTATTAAATTAATATTTAGGTATGAACATGTTTGAAATGTAATACAAGTATTTATTGTCAATAAACAGTACATTGTATATTCTCTTTCAGGGTAATGTTGTGAGGGAATTGAAAGCTAAGAAAGCAGACAAGGCTGTGATTAATGAGGAGGTGACAAAGTTACTGGCCCTGAAGAAACAGTTAACAGACATCAGTGGAGAACCAGCACCAGGGGGAGGCAAACAAAACAGCAAACAGGCAAAGAAGGGGGGAGACAAACAGAATAGTGGACAGGCAAATAAGTCAGCAGCCAAGGTAATGGTATATTCTCAAGATTCAATTCAGATACTGTGAGATCACTAATTTTCACAGTGGTTTAATTTTTGTTGTTTTCAAGGTATAGAGAGACCCATGAATTTATGACCACTTTGAATTGTAAAATTTTATATATCATATACTAGTAAACATTTTCCAACTAAGAAATCAAATCCTCACAAACCAATATTTTTCCTAAAACCTTGAAAATTTGACTCCATGAAAATATGTGATTTTTACAGTATTGTGCTTAGTTTTATCATTTCAGCATCTAAAAAAAAATGCCTTGTAATTAATTTAATTGATGAATTACTTGATTTTGAAAAAAAAATCTGAAAACTTAATTTTTTGTTAGGAGAATAAGAAAGCTGAAGCACCTGCAGTGAATGGAGCTGTTGACAGTAAAGAAGTAGAGAGGCTAACTGAGGCTGTAGCTCAACAGGTATGGGACATAACTTACTAAAATCTCACAAGTTTTCGTTGGTTCTTTAACAGATTTATACTTAGAAGGAATTGTTTTTACTAAATCATAGCAAGAAATCGTTAGTTTTTTAGCTCTACTGGTCAGAGACCAGAAGAGCTTATGCGATAGTAATGCGTCCGTCGTCCGTCCGTCTGTCTGTCTGTCTGTCCGTCTGTCTGTCTGTAAACAATTTTTCAAAATGCTACTCCTCCTACAGTTTTGGTCCAATTTCAATATAACTTGGCACACAAGTAGACTACACTAAGATACATAATTCTGTATATCGATTTTTGATTTTGATGAACGGTGTTGCCGTGGTTACTAAAAATAGAAATTTCTGTGAAATTCTTTCAAAATGCTACTCCTCCTACAGTTTTAGTCTAATTTCAGTATAACTTGGCACACAAGTAGACTACACTAAGATACATAATTCTGTGTATCAGATTTTGATTTCGATGAACGGTGTTGCCGTGGTTACTAAAAATAGAAATTTCTGTGAAATTCTTTCAAAATGCTACTCCTCCTACAGTTTTAGTCTGATTACAATATAACTTGGCACACAAGTAGACTACACTAAGATACACAATTCTGTGTATCGGTTTTTGATTTCGATGAACGATGTTGCCGTGGTTACTAAAAATAGAAATTTCTGTGAAATTCTTTCAAAATGCTACTCCTTCTACAGTTTTAGTCTGATTTCAATATAACTTGGCACACAAGTAGACTACACTAAGATACACAATTCTATATATCGGTTTTTGATTTCGATGAACGGTGTTGCCGTGGTTACTAAAAATAGAAATTTCTGTGAAATTCTTTCAAAATGCTACTCCTCCTACAGTTTTAGTCTGATTTCAATATAACTTGGCACACAAGTAGACTACACTAAGATACACAATTCTATATATCGGTTTTTGATTTCGATGAACGGTGTTGCCGTGGTTACTAAAAATAGAAATTTCTGTGAAATTCTTTCAAAATGCTACTCCTTCTACAGTTTTAGTCTGATTTCAATATAACTTGGCACACAAGTAGACTACAATAAGATACATAATTCTGTTTATCAGTTTTTGATTTCGATGAACGGTGTTGCCGTTGTTACTAAAAATAGAAATTTCTGTGAAATTCTTTCAAAATGCTACTCCTCCTACAGTTTTAGTCTGATTTCAATATAACTTGGCACACAAGTAGACTACACTAAGATACACAATTCTATGTATCGGTTTTTGATTTCGATGAACGGTGTTGCCGTGGTTACTAAAAATAGAAATTTCTGTGAAATTCTTTCAAAATGCTACTCCTCCTACAGTTTTAGTCTGATTTCAATATTACTTGGCACACAAGTAGACTACAGTAAGATACATAATTCTGTGTAGCGGTTTTTGATTTCGATGAACGGTGTTGCCGTGGTTACTAATAATAGAAATTTCTGTGAAATTCTTTCAAAATGCTACTCCAAATACAATTTTAGTCTGATTATAATATAAATGTTGCATGCAAGTAGACTGCACTAAGAACATAAAGAGACTTAATCAAGGATAATTATTCTATTTATCTGTTGAAAAGTTTCAATTTCCAACTGCTTAAGTACTTTTCTCTTCCTTTGCTATAAGTACAAACCAGTAGAGCTTCAGTCTCGACAGAGACTTCTGGTTTTTAGTTTGAACTTTGTTTATTTCAGGGATTAAAAGTGCGGGATTTGAAATCCCAGAAAGCAGAGAAATCACAGATAGACTCCGAGGTGGCAGTGTTACTAGATCTAAAGAGACAGCTAGCAGTGGCCCAGGGTCAGGACCCAGAGGCCCTCACAGGGGGAAAGGGGAAGAAAGGCAAAAAGAAATAGAGGCCCTCAAAGGGTGAACTGGAAAAAAAGAGAAGAAAAGGCTAATTTTATAATAATTATAAAGAAAGGCAAAAACTGTAAAAAGATGGGATTAAGTGATGGACCTAAATAGGTGGATTGTTAAGAATGTTCTTAATACGTGAAAAAATTTGACTTTCAAATGATCATCAGGATGAAACACAAATAAACAAGGATATTCAATTATTGTTTTTATAGTCTAACTCTTGAACAGTTTCTAATTAACGGCAATAGATTTAAATGATTGAGATTTATTAGAGGTCTGGGGTACTTTTTTTAAACAAAGAACCGAAACAAAAATCACAGTGGATGAAAAATCTTGTGATCAAATCATTTACAACTGTTTCATAAAAACTAGCCTAAAGGAAGCAAATGACTTTTTAAGATGCGGAGCAGGAATCTCCTGAACTCAGATGGTAGCTTCAGTTGTCATTGACAACTGCACAGTCCATCCAAGATGCAGTAACTATAACGCTAATTTTTTAAAAAAGTATAACTTTTAAGTCTGCACTACAGTACTGTTACGTATTGATTTGTGCGAGTTTTCAGCTTGAAATCTATATTAGCAGAGGATGCTTTTACATTATTTTGACCAGTACTGGCTATTTTGTTCTTGTGAAGATTTTTAAAGATTTTTTCCTATGCAAAACTTTTACAGAACATTGTGGCCCCAACCTGCTCCCGGTGATCATGATTTGAACAAACTTGAATCTTCACTACCTGAGGATGCTTCCTTATAAATATGATTAATCAAAGTTTTACTGTTCTTTAGAGGAAGATTTTTAAGGTCTTCCATTTCCAATGGAAGACCTTCTACTGATTCTGTTGGTAAAGATTATTATTCTTTTTTTTCTTCTGCTTCCTAGACCGCAACTTTGAGGCCTCATATCTCACTCATTTCTCAATGGATTTCGCTCAAATTTTCAGAGGTTATAGACATTTATAAACTCTATCAGAATGCTGACTAAAATTTCAAAAAGTCACTTCCGGTTTTGAGTTATTTCCCTTTAAACGAAAATTTATAGGCTTTCGTTTCCAGACAAAGGCTCAGAGACGGCTAAAGCTGGAGCAGAAATTCTACTGATTTTAGATAATTGAAGGATTGAAGTTGTGCACATCGGTTTTTGTTTTTCAATTTCTCTATTCAAAATGGCGCTATATAGGGGTCAAAAATTAGAACGCTTAAAAGAACCAAAAATTACTCATATTTTGCTTTTTATCTTCTAAACTAAAAATATTTTGTTAAAATATATAGAACATCATTTGTGCAGAATTAGAAGATCTTTCAAATGATATGTTGAAAAAGGGCTGACCCTAAATTAAGGGATCTAGAGGGGCCAAAAGTTTTTTCCATATATCTCAAAGAGTATTGAGAATTTGTTACACATCAAAGAAGCAAAGTTATTGAAAATGTCAAGCTTAATCTAATGGAGTCGTCAAAATACGTCCAGCGTCGTCATTTCCGGCCAAACCGGAAGTAGTCGAAAAACGCGTATTTTTGCCGTTTTGGACAAGTTTTTGGGTAACATATGTCTCTGGGAGCTTAAAAATTAATTTTCTGTGCGTCGTCGTCACTTCCTGTCAAACCGGAAGTAGCAAAAATGGCTTATTTTTGCATTAATTAACATAGCTTTAGAGGATTCAAAGCATTTTTGGGCGTTATTTCTCATTTTTGTTAAAAATGAAAGCTACTTCTGGTCAAACAGGACGGAAGACCTACTCGTTGCTTTGCAACGAGCTTTGCTCTAGTCTAAGATTATTTTTATTAATCCTATGTAAAACATCACTATTTGATGATCTTGCTCCCCTAGGGGGATTTGAACAAAACTGAATCTACATTACCTCACAATGATTCCAACATTTTTACAACAACAACAAACAACAGACAGATTTGAATCAGAAAAGCTCACATGAGCCTTTGGTACAGGTGAACTAACAAATAGGCATTCAATTTCATATTGTTTTAGAGGTATATTTTGGACATTTTCAGGCCTTTGACCATAAAACTTTGACAGTTGATGCATCTTTGGTCGTAAAAAATCGTTTACTGAAAATTGGATTACTGTGACCTACTTTTGAAATTTTATGGCCATAATTAAAGTCTTCCGTTTCCAACGGAAGACCTTCTACTGATTCTGTTGGTAAAGATTATTATTCTTTTTTTTTCTTCTGCTTCCTAGACCGCAACTTTGAGGCCTCATATCTCACTCATTTTTCAACGGATTTCGCTCAAATTTTCAGAGATTATAGATATTTATAAACTCTATCAGAATGCTGACTAAAATTTCAAAACGTCACTTCCGGTTTTGAGTTATTTCCCTTTAAACGAAAATTTATAGGCTTTCGTTTCCAGACAAAGGCTCAGAGACGGCTAAAGCTGGAGCAGAAATTCTACTGATTTTAGATAATAGAAGGATTGAAGTTGTGCACATCGGTTTTTGTTTTTCGATTTCTCTATTCAAAATGGCGCTATATAGGGGTCAAAAATTAGAACGCTTAAAAGAGCCAAAAATTACTCATATTTTGCTTTTTATCTTCTATCCTAAAAATATTTTGTTAAAATATATAGAACATAATTTGTGCAGAATTAGTAGATCTTTCAAATGATATGTCGGAAAAAGGGATGACCCCTAAATTAAGGGAACTAGAGGGGCCAAAAGTTTTTTCCAGACGTCTCAAAAAGTATTGAGAATTTGTTATACATCAAAGAAGCAAAGTTGTTGAAAATGTCAAGCTTAATCTAATGAAATCGTCAAAATACGTCCAGCGTCGTCACTTCCGGCCAAACCGGAAGTAGTCGGAAAACGCGTATTTTTGCCGTTTTTGACATGTTTTGGGTAACATATGTCTCTGGGAGGGTACCTGTAAAGTGCGAAACGAAATAGAAACGAAACGAAACGAAACGAACTGAAACGAAACGAAATCTGCCGAAACGAAACGAAATATACCGAAACGAAACGAAACCTACCGAAACGAAACGAAATCAAGACGAAACGAAATGAAATCAAAACGAAACCTGCCGAAACGAAACGAAACAAAACTTTCAGAATGATTATATTGTCTATTTTTACTTCATATGAAATTTATATAGTTCAAGCACCACGGGTTCGCTTCAAGCTCATACATAGGCATACGCGTCGGAAGGATACTAAAAGGGGGGGTTAATCAACAAAAAGGTTAATGCCTATATAATATATATCTTTGCAAAAAAAAAGAAATTTTTTTTTTGGGGGGGGGGGGCTAACACACCCACCCCCCGCTTCCAACGCCTATGTCATATTTTATTAATATCTTACTGAATGATTTACCTACTTAAAATTGACATCGTTTGCTTTGAGAGACTTTTTTCTTGTCAGTTAAATCGTTTTCGACGTCTCTTATGGAGCCTCTTTATTGCAAACCACTCATTTCTTCCTCGAAAATTACCTCGATAAAAAAGGACTGTATGTACGTAGAAAGGATACACAAGATTCCTGTTGTAGTTACATGTATAACTGAACAATAAAACCAGACACCTCGGAATGGATTACTAAATACTCTAAGTCGTGGGTTTATCCTATGTTTTAAGACATTCGCAATACAACAACACATGCTTGAACTATAATATATATAAATTTTATTTGATTAAAAAAAAGTCCACATGCAGTTACACATATATAATTATATACATGTACCCTGATTTGAAAAAAAAACCCAAACATTTTGATAGTTTTGTTTCGTTTCGTTTCGGCAGGTTTCGTTTCGTCGTGATTTCGTTTCGTTTCGGTAGGTTTCATTTCGTTTCGGTAGATTTCGTTTCGTTTCGGCAGATTTCGTTTCGTTTCAGTTCGTTTCGTTTCGTTTCGTTTCTATTTCGTTTCGCACTTTACAGGTACCCGTCTCTGGGAGCTTAAAAATTAATTTTCCGTGTGTCATCGTCACTTCCGGTTAAACCGGAAGTAGCAAAAAATGGCTTATTTTTGCATTAATTAACATAGCTTTAGAGGATTCAAAGCATTTTTGGGCGTTATTTCTCATTTTTGTTAAAAATGAAAGCTACTTCCGGTCAAACAGGACGGAAGACCTACTCGTTGCTTTGCAACGAGCTTTGCTCTAGTTAAATATATATTTACTTATTTAGATATTGATTGGACTAGAATTATAAATTTACTTACCTGGTCATTGGCCATTTGCAAAATTGTTTTGTTAAAACACATTCTGATTGCACACACAAGTACTCTGAAGTTGACATCAAGAAGATGCTTGAGTCTGATTGACAATATCTATGTGGTTTTTGGAGACCAGGTATTCCAATAATCTATTGAAATTCCCATGGGAACCAATTGCGCTCCGTTATTAGCAGACCTATGTTTGTATTCATATGAAGCAGAATTTATGCAAAATCTTATGCGTGAAAAGAAGAAAACACTTACTGTGGCCTTCAACAGGTCAGAGAGAATACTCGAAATCGGGTATTATCCGTGAAATCGCATATAATACCCGATATAAGTGTATCTCTGAATCCGCGAAATCGGGTATAGGAGGTGTAATCACCTAGTAAAACTTAAACAATGGGATGGCGCATGTCGCATGTTAAAAATAGGGCATAATTTTTTTTTTCAATATTTGTCCATAATCTTATGCGAGAAAAGAAGAAAACACTTGCTGTGGCCTTCAACTTGTCCTTAAGATATACATGTATCGACGACAAATTGTCAACAAATTAACAATGATTATTTCCATTCTTATGTCGATACGATATATCCCAGTGAGCTTGAAATAAAAGATATCACAGAGTCTACAACATATGTTTCTTATTAAGGATATACATCTTGAAAAAGACGTTAATGGTAATCTTACATTCAAGCTCTATGATAAACGTGACGACTTTAACTTTTCATTCATCAACTTCCATTACTTTTTCAGCATGCTCTAAGTGCGAACAATTTCTAAAACGAGGTAAATTATTGAGAAACAAGTTGATGAAACAATATCAGCAGTCTCGATTAACGTCATCATTTCGTTAGTTTCGTATGGTCGAAACAATGAACTTTGTTAGGGAAAACAATTTATCGTTGAGTCAAATGCTGACGGACAATTTTCATACTTATTGATGGACTATTATTTACACACTGAATTGTCGACATATTTTTCCGTTATCTCCTGATCATGACGATCGAGGAGCACCTAGCGGATGTGACACGCCGGC